GGAAAAGGACATCAAGTCGAAGTACGAGAAGTTCATCCTTGAGCACTCTGGCATCCGTCTGATTGAGCCTGAGCTCTTCGGCGGCTACGACCCCAACCAGAAGGAGCTTCTTCACGAGGTTGTCATTGAGGAGGACTTGGAGCCCTTCGAGGCCTCCAAGGAGACTGCCGAGGAGTTCAAGCGCCAGCACGGTGACAAGGCCGAGATCTTTGAGATCCCCGAGTCTGGCGAATACACCGTCCGCATGAGGAAGGGAGCTGCCCTTTGGATTCCCAAGGCGCTCCGTTTCGACAGACTGGTCGCCGGTCAGATCCCCACTGGCTGGGATGCTAAGAGATACGGTATTCCTGAGGACATTGTGTCCCAGGTTGATCCCGTCACCCTCTTCGTCCTCGTTTCCGTTGCCGAAACTCTGCTGTCCGCCGGTATCACTGACCCCTACGAGTTCTACAAGTACGTCCACGTCTCCGAGGTGGGTAACTGCATCGGTTCTGGTATGGGTGGTGCGGGTGCTCTCCGTGGCATGCACAGGGACCGCTTCCTGGACAAGCCCGTCCAGAACGACATTCTTCAGGAGTCCTTCATTAACACCATGGCCGCTTGGGTTAACATGTTGTTGATCTCGTCTTCTGGTCCCATCAAGACTCCTGTCGGTGCTTGCGCCACTGCCGTCGAGTCCGTTGACATTGGTTACGAGACCATCATGGAGGGCAAGGCTCGTGTTGTCTTCGTCGGTGGTTTCGACGACTTCGGTGAGGAGGGCTCTTACGAGTTCGCCAACATGAAGGCCACCAGCAACGCCGTTGATGAACTTGCTCACGGTCGTACCCCCGCCGAAATGTCGCGTCCCACCACCACCACCCGTAACGGCTTCATGGAGTCCCAGGGTTGCGGTGTTCAGCTGCTCATGACTGCCAAGCTCGCTCTTGACATGGGTATGCCCATTCACGGTGTCCTTGCCCTAACCACTACTGCCACCGACAAGATTGGCCGATCAGTTCCTGCTCCTGGTCAGGGTGTCCTGACCACCGCCCGCGAGCACGCCGGCAAGTTCCCCTCGCCGCTGCTCGACATCAACTACCGCCGCCGCCAGATCAACCTTCGCAAGAAGCAGATTAAGCAGTGGCAGGAGTCTGAGCTTGAGTACCTCTACGATGAGGTCGAGGCCATGAAGGCTCAAGGCTCTGAGTTCAACGAGAAGGAGTACGCCCACAACCGTGCTGAGCACATCAAGAAGGAGGCTGAGCGCCAAGAGAAGGAGGTCCTTCGCAGCCTGGGCAACAACTTCTGGAAGAACAACCCCGAGATTGCTCCTCTCCGTGGAGCCCTCGCTACCTGGGGTCTCACCATCGACGACCTTGCCGTTGCTTCTTTCCACGGAACCTCCACCAAGGCCAACGACAAGAACGAGTCCTCCGTCATTTGCCAACAGCTGCGCCACCTTGGCCGCAAGAAGGGTAACGCCGTTATGGGTATCTTCCAGAAGTACCTCACTGGTCACCCCAAGGGTGCGGCCGGTGCCTGGATGATGAACGGCTGCTTGCAGGTCCTGAACACTGGTTTGGTTCCTGGCAACCGCAACGCCGACAACGTCGACCCTATTATGGAGCAGTTCGACATGATCGTCTACCCCAGCCGTAGCATCCAGACCGACGGTATCAAGGCCTTCTCCGTCACCTCTTTCGGTTTCGGTCAGAAGGGTGCCCAGGCCATCGGTGTCCACCCCAAGTACCTCTTCGCTACTCTCGACGAGCAGACCTACGAGCAGTACTCTGCTAAGGTCCAGGCCCGCCAGAAGAAGGCTTACCGCTTCTTCCATAACGGCTTGGTCAACAACACCCTGTTCGTTGCCAAGTCTAACGCTCCTTACACTGACGAGCAACTCAGCAAGGTCCTGCTTAACCCTGATGCTCGTGTGACGGAGGACAAGAAGACTTCCACCATGTCTTACCCGTCCAACTTCATGAAGGCTTCTGAGAAGACTGTGTCCCCTACGGCTTCCAAGGCCACTCAGGACATGATGGAGGCGCTGGCCAAAAAGGTTGCATCCAAGAACAGCAACGTCGGTGTTGATGTTGAGGACATCTCAGCCATCAACATTGACAACGAGACCTTCATTGAGCGCAACTTCACCGCAGGCGAGATCCAGTACTGCTCCTCGGCGCCCAGCCCCCAGAGCTCGTTCGCTGGCCGATGGAGCGCGAAGGAGGCCGTTTTCAAGTCTCTCGGCGTCTCCAGCAAGGGTGCCGGTGCACCGCTGAAGGACATTGAGATTGCGAAGGATGAGTCGGGTGCCCCCGTTGTTAAGGTAAGCCAAGAAGACCCTGTCGATGGTACAAGACCCGTTTACTAACAACTAGACAGCTCCACGGTGATGCCGCTGCTGCCGCTAAGAAGGTCGGCCTCACGGACATTAGCGTCTCCATCTCACACTCGGAGACGCAAGCGATTGCTGTTGCCATCGCCAACTTCTAAAAAAAAAAAAAAAATAGCGATAGACTGTATAGTGCATTTCTAGTTTATGGGATATAGGCAGGCATGGGATCTTGTCCTGTTCGCTTCGATCGTGTTTTGAAATCATACAAGCATGGGAGTATAGATGGCGGGGACACTTTGGGAGGAGTGTCATCGCACAATCCATCATCGTCGGATGAATTGACGAGTAATGCACGAGGAGGGAACGGCGCACCGCGATAGACTGCTAGTTCCTCGATGCCACAATAGAATCTGTATCAAATCCATCAAATGTTTTTAGTGAATGTGTGCGTGAAGCGTGTGTCTTGGATGTTCATGCCAGGAAGGAGGTCTTTGGGCTCTGGCGCATAATCGCATATCCTCGTAGCGCGGGGGTTCAGGCACGACACCACATCCTTATCGTTATCTAAACTTGTCGGCCCATTACATTCCCTCCCATCTGTACGGAAAGGGGCAGTATGATCCTGGCTTGGTGCAAGGAATTTGATCTACGGCGTCTGCATCTGATGAATTGGGACGAACAGGGTGGAGGGGGGCTCACATTAAAATGACGTGATTGGCCTGGAACGAGGGAGGGGGAAGGGGGCTGGCTGACTTAAACTTTTTTTTTCTGTTCGGAGATTAGTAGTAAGTCAGATTGGAATGGTGTTTTGTGTAGTTTGCAGGTGCTTGTGACAGTTATGATGAGAGACTACGGAGGTTATACGTAGTACATGTTATATATATGGAGGTTGATGATGGAAAAAGGGTCTCGATATCGCCGTAGTTACGACGTGTGGTCTGTGAACTGTCTGTGAGCGAGACGACGACAGAGCAGTAAACCAGAAGCGGCGGAGGGCGTTGGAAAGGGTGAAGAAAGCCGCCAAGACGGCAGGACCAAGATGCGGGATGGATCAGGGGAGGGAGGGAGGGGGGAGTGGGCTGTGTCGTCACAGAATGGGCGCCAGGACTTGGGGGGAAGCTTGGACGCGTGCACGTTGGTGCTTGGCGGATTACTCTTTTCCTCTTTTTTCCCTTTTTTTTTTTTTCTTTTTCATTTCGCGAACTTTGGCGGCGGGGAAAGATTACGATGTTGCTTGTGGCTTTGGGGGGTAAAAAATATTGGTGGTCTGAACGTAGTTGTTTTTTTGGCACGTGTTGGCGATATTGTTTATTGTTGTTTTTTTCTTGCTTTGCTCAATGTTTTAGTTGGGCGAACATGTTCTAGTCAAGACATATTATTCGTTTTTTCCTATCTTTATCGTCTGATGAAGAGTGAGGGGGGTGAGGGTGAGGCAGGGTATTCTTCCCATGCGTAGGCCTGTCAGAAAACTTTTTTGACAGGAGAACATGAGACCCAAAGATAGAAATGCTGGAGCCAAGGAATAGGAGAAATAGACTTAAGAGTGGTCGGCCTGCTGCATTGAAACCGTGACGAGGAGGAACCCTGGCTACTCTACTGGTCTGAAACTCATCAAATTCGCACTTCGCCGCCCCCGATGAGCAAAAAGAACGTCAGATTCCCCCTACACCAATGTGACCATCTATACTACGGTAGTACCTACCTATTCGCCTAGGGGGCCGGCTACCGGCTGTCCAATGCCACGGCGATGATCGACGGGACTGGGCAGGGGGTTCTTGTCGTGCACTGCCGTGCCGTGACGGCGCCAGGAACAACTAACCTAAGGCGGTAGCCAATTGGAGAGCGTATGCTGGGTTGAGCCCCTGGAGGTTGTGAATTAAGGCTCTTTATGCGGTGATGCATCCCTTTTTTTTTTTTCCACCCCTTTTAACTTCACAGTAGTGTATAATACTCCGTAGTAGTAGACAGCGTGGGCCCTGGTCCTATCGATCAACCGCCATCAGCTTTTCCTGTTGGTTCCAAGGCGTTGAAGAGATGGCCTTTTTGAAGGGGGGGGGGGGGGGGGGGGGGGGGGGGGGGCTTCAGCAGTTGAAGCCGTCGACGGGTACCTGAAGCTAATCCAAGCCTCTCCCCAGTCAAAGATGCATTGATGTGGGGCCAGGGGGAGAAGAATGCAAAGCCGTTTCCCAGGTTTTTCATGTCTCCTTTACTTTTTGTTCCTTTTTTTTTTTTTTTTTTTGGCGCAGACATGGCGTTTGGATCTCATTTTGGATGTTGTGGTGGGAGTTGGGACCGTCTGTTCATGCAGCTGAGCAGGGCACGGACTGGGGTTTGTTTTGTTTGAAGGAGAGACAAGACAGGACGGGGGTCTGGGTTTTGGTGTATGGATGTGTATTATAAGGAAACGGACGTCCCCAAGGACACGCGCGCGGCCCTGTTTCCTGAGCTCTACCGCTTTATCAACTTTTGTGTTGTTGTCTTTTTTATATATACGTCGTGGGCCGAGATAAACTTGGCTTGGCTTTGGATTCGTGGGATTCTTTCCTTTTGGGAAATAAGAAAGGACACTATTCTGTAATACTTATTCCGAAGCTACCACTCATTTCGTTGTCGATACGGATATCGCCTTGTCTAATCGCACGTTTACGAATACCTAGCGATCACTCGAAACCAAGACAAGAAAATGACTGCCGCAAACAATATCAGAGGCCTCATGGGCAAGGGTGTCCCGCCCACCCCCTCCTTCTTCTCCATCATCCGCGTCTCCGTCATGGTTCTCTCGCTGGCCGTCCTCGCCGCCTGTGCCTACAACCTGTCGCTGCTCGGTGGCGTTTCCGGGACAAGCTACAGCGGCCCGCCGGGCTTTATGCTCTTCGTCGTATGTCTCCCTGGGTCTTCCCGCCCATATCAGTTTCTCCTGTAGCACAGAAAAAAAAAAAGCCGAGAGAAACTCGTGAAATATGGACCTCTTGACTGACTCCCGCCGCAGGCAATCTTCACCCTCCTCATCCTCGGCGGCGCCATGATTCTCGAGCGCTTCGCCCCGCAAATCTACTTCCGCATCGCCCTTCTCATCGCCTACGGCACCAACGTCCTTTTCTGGCTGTCTGGCTGGGCCTGGTCCGCGAGCATCGCTGCGCTGTTCCTGGGCAACACTTGCATCGGGACGACCTGTTTCGGCCCGACGACCGAGGAGAAGCGGTACGGCGGGAGCATGGCTGCTGCCGCTGCCATTGGCGCTGTGAACTGGTACGTTTTTTTTTTCCCCCCTTCGTCAATTTTGACTGTAAAAGCGAGAAACGGGATTCTAATTTGCTTGCTTGCATAGGGTCATGATGATTGCGGTCCTGTTCTGCTTCATCAAGGGATGCCTCGCGGACCCGGATTGCTACGGCGTGTCTACCGGTCACGGCGCTGAGCTCGGTAGCATCAAGGCCGAGAGCAAGGCACCTGCCCAGACGTCTGTCTCTGCGTAATGCTCTTGTCTACGAGAGTATGTGACAGAACGGCAAAAATGTCGGGGGAAGGTTTTGATGACAGGATACGCGATTCGCGAGGTGGTATTTGGGAATTTTTTCGTAATGACTGGAGTTTGGGGTTTGATACGGGATCGACCGTGAGATGAATGACTGACTGTGTTGCGGGTATTTGACATCCTGCGGCGGCTGTTTGCCACGGGGATGATTCTGACTGTTTGATGACGTTTTTTGGAAGATACCACTGGTTCTTATTATCTAATAAGATTTGCTCGATATGAAGTGTGTATGCCGTCTATCTACTGGTCGTTTTTGATGTGAGACTCGGGAGTTTATCAACGTCACATGTTTCTCGTAGGGCTAGTCCGTTGCTATCTATACCGTTGTATTGGTGACTATAGTCCTGTGATAGTCTTTAACGCAAAAAGAGGGCCACACTTTTGTCTAATAATACACGTAATCCGACAATCCAACGGTTCCTTGCCATCCGTAACCACTGGACAAGCCTGAGCCGCAGCAGAGGTAATAAAGGGGTACCAACCAAAACGAAACCGCCACACCGATATCCCACCCCCATGATAACCATGATATGGACTGATAAGAAAGGGGAAAAGAGAAAACAGACAGAGTGGAGAATGAGAAAAAAAACACACAAAGAGAAAAGAAAAAGAAAATAAGAAAAACTATGAGGGAAAAAAGAAGAGGCAGATGAAATCACTCCATCTCAGTAGCCTTTCTCTTCTTTCCCTTCTGGGCCTTCTTGCCAACCTGCACAATCTCCTGCTGCTGCTGCTGCTGCTGCTCCTCCTGGAAGCCCTCGGCCGCCTCGATGAGCTCATCATTGACAAAGTCAAACGGGTCGAATCGCTGATCGGCCACCATCTCCCTCTTGACAACCCCGTCGAGGTTCTCCCAGTCGTTGACCCCGGCGCCCAATCCGATGGCGCGAGCCTTCCAGAAGTTGGACTCGGCGCGCTTCTTGGCAAGCGCTTCGGCGCGGTACACCATGGCTCTCTTCTTGCGGTCCCGGGTGCGGTTTGCGGCTTCGTTGTTACGTGCCTTGTCCCGCCCGCTCCGGGCCTTGGAGACCTTGTTGTTGTACTCTTTCGCGGCCTCCTTCTCCGGTCCCTCCGGCAGGTCCTGGACCGGCTTGTAGTGCTCGACCTTTTGCTTGGGGAGCAGCGGGGTGATTCTGATCCGGGCTGGTTTCTGGCGGATCTTGTAGGCCTCGGAGGGGACGCCCGGGTCGGGGATGTGTTTGACCTTGGGAGAGGGAAGGGGGAGGACGTTGGCGGTGTTGGAGGCCAGCGTGGCCATTATGTCGGCGCAGCGTTGCTCAAAGACCTCCTGCGGGACGCCCAGAGGGATGGAGCACGCGTTGGCGAGCTTTTCGGTGTAGCCGCCGCGGACGACGTTGGGTCCGTTGATATTTGGGAGTTGGGTTATGAAGGGGGTGTATGAGAATGAGAGCTCAGAGGGGACGGGGATATCGGGGGTGGTGCTGCGGGGGATCTGGGAGGCCTCGTCGACCGAGATGGCGCCTATATTCTCTGTAACTCCCGCCGCGTAGTTGTCGACAGGATACTCCAAGTTGTTGAAGGAAGGCATCACGTTGTTGGAAGAAGACAACAAGCCGTTGAGTCCCTGCTCTTGAACGGGGTCTGGGTGGTTCTGGTGACCATAGAGCACCGGGGCGGGTTGCTGAAGTTGGAAGGTGGTGGTGTCTGGCATGTGGCCTTGAAAACCCTGGTGTCCCATGTAGGAGGTGCTGTACGTGTCGCCCGAATCAGATGCAATGTCGTCCATGTCGTACATGTCGGCCATGTTCATGAAACCTACCATATTCTGGGCCTCCTCGAGGTGGAAGCTGTTCGGCGCCGCCGTCAGACCAGGGAGCTGGCGGGGGAGGTCATTCACAGCGCCATTGCCGAAATTGCGGTGCTGAGAGCCTTGCAACTGGCCCTGGCTATTGTCTTGAATCATGGCTGGGTGCTGACCTGACATCGTGAGTATTTGGTAGCAGTGGTCGATGAGGTTTTTTCAGAGTGTGTTTGGGGCTATTTCGGAGCGTCTCGTCTCGGACGAAGCAAACAGCAATGAGAATTCACTCTCAAGGGGAGTGATGAAGATGGATAGTGGTGTTGGTGATGCTCAAAACAGGTATTTGGAGCAAGGAATGGGGTGTGATTGTGTGAATGGGAAAGTTTGGTAGGGGGGAAGTTCTGTATCGGTATCCTTATGTAGGACCATACAGCCAAGGCACAGAATCAGAGGCCTCTTTCCAGACGATATTTGTTGAGGAGAAGATGGGATTAATGGTCACGCCCAGGTTAGAAAGATATTTAGAGGGGCAAACGCGTCTCGTGGGGGTAAACAAGGGGGAACTTGGGACGACTAAGCATGCCATCGTCGAGTCGACCATGTGGACGAGACGTTGAGTGAGGCCCACGATGGCTTCATAACGGGTCGTCGCCTTTGTGACTGGTGCTCATGTGACTTTGTTGACATGGGATGACTGGTCTAGAACCTTGGGGAAACAAACGTGTCGTGTTGAGAAAGTTTCCGGGCTTTGTTTGGGGGCCTCATTATGGAGAATTCTGTTTCTGGGGGATGTGTTTTCAACATTTCTCGAGTATGGAATGATGCTTCGAGGAAAGTTCAAAGTCATGAGTTGGATAGGAGTCAGTGGTCGGTTGTAGTTTGGCAGTCACTTGCGATATGTACTGAGGCGTTTGCAGAATAGCTTGCCTTAATTTGAGAGCGCCTCTGGACACCTTAACACAGTGTATGTCTGTTGTGAAAGGCGTAGTCATGTTCGACGACACAGATATTTATACGAAACTTGTTGGCAAGATTTGCCTAGTCGCAGGAAGTCCTGGTATTCTCCAACAATAACATGACGTGTTGCAAAACAGGATTTAAACACAAGGTGCCCGGCGTGTTTCTTTTATGTTGTCAACCTGGTAGCGATATAGGATTTGGATGTTTGTCACCTTAGCACCCAAGCTGCATCAGAAAACACGAAATACGTTCAGCACGCCCAGCTAAGATATTAGTTAGTTGTGAATCACTACTAAAGCCAACCAAACCGGATACCAGTCCTAAATCACCAAGATTGCCGAATAACAAGAGCGAAGTAGTGCCTATGAATAAGGGTCCAATATCAGCAGAAATGCTGAAGCTATCAGAACCCCCCCACGAATTCGTACCTCAATTGTTTAATTCGCTTCCGCCTTGGCATCTTTAACCGGAGTCTGTTCCGGATCAGAACAAAGCACGCCATAATCCTCCCGTAGTCAACCACCACAGACGTTCCCGTTCCACAAAAGACGTTGCGGCTGGCAGCCAGCCAGCCAGGGGGTTGACCGTTGCCGCTACTGCAGGAACGGTGATCACGGTTAAACCGCGGAACCGGGCACCCCCCTTCGCAGATCGGACCCTCATTCCAGCCCAGCCAACCAACACCTTGGCGAACCAAAGGCGTAATCTGATCTTCAATCCGGGCGGGTGGCAAAATCTTGAACCGAATTTTTTGTTTTTTTAAAAAAATTTAGTGTAAAATGCTGTTAAGCTGTATTTGCATCTATATGTAGCCGGTTGAATAGGCTTCTAAGCCAAACGCTCCCCACTGGATATTCCCATTCGGCCATCTTAGGCTCGTAAACCGTAGTTATCATGCAATGCACCCAACAAATGAAACAAATAAGAACGCCCATTACAATGCCACTCGGCCGGCGTGGCCGAGATCGCTAGCTCCGTCTTTTTTTCTTCCTTTCAAAAAAACACAACAGCAGTGTTGCCTGTCGTCAAGGGGGTCTATAGCTTGCTCTTCTCCACGTCTTCTAGCTCTTTTAGGATGAAGTCGTTGAACTCCTGGCTGTTGTCGAGGTAGAGGTGGTGGCCTGCCTTGGAGATGATCTTCACCTTGGCAGAGCCGTTCTCTCGTCTCTTTTCCTCGTCCGTGCCGTGAAGCAGTGCCTGCAACCTCGCCTCCTTCAGCTTCTCCTCTGCGGCCAGGCCGCCGGCGACATCCATCCAGTCGTTCTCGCCGTACATCATGACTACGGGAATGCCGGTCTCTTTAATCTTCTCGCCGTTCTTCTCGATGGTTTGTCGGCCAACACCAGCTATCCTCTTGATAATGGGGCTACGAGCGAAAGCACCCGGGGCGAGGATGTAGGGCAAGGCGTACTCGCCGCTGCCGCGCTGGCGGAAGATGGAGAAAGCATAGTCGTGCAGAGAGCTCGACTCGGCGTCGGGAAGATGGTTGAAGCGGCGGGAAGTCCAGCCAGAGACGAAACGCGGGCCGAGAGGACCGGTGAAGCGGACGATGCTGAAGGGCGAAACGTTGGCGTCCCAGAGCCAGACGAGCCAGCCAGGGAGAGGACGTTTCGGGGCGTTATTGGAGTTTGTGGGGGCGTTGTTCTTGGCGCGGGAGGTCATTGAGTTGTGGTCGTCGGCCGTTACGGTGTTTTGGTCTTGAGTGAATTCGTTTTGGAAGGTTGATTCTTCGGGCTCGGGCATTTCCGCGTTGACGGCGTAGGGGTCCTCGGGGATGCCGACCGGTGAAGCCAAGATAAGCTTCTTGATGTGTCCGGGATACTTGAGCGCGTAAGCGACGGAGAGGTACCCGCCGAGGGAATGACCGATCAGAGTAAATTTATCAATGTTGCGCTTCTTGCGCCACTCCTCGAGGGCATCAATGAACCAGGCCTCAGCCTCGGCGGTTTTAGCCTCCTGCTCCTTGGCGTGGACCTTGAAAGGAGGGCGCGTCGAGTTACCCATTCCGAGCATGTCGAGGGCGTAGAGTTTCCAGCCCTTTCGGCGGGAGAGGGGCTCAAAGTTCTTGTAGAAGAAGCCAAGGCCGGCGCCGTAGCCGTGGAGGACAACAAGGGTGTTGTCAACATTCTCGCCAACTCGCTCAACGGAGTACTCATTCAGGGCGCGGTTCTTGCCAGACAGTTCGACCATCTGCGACTTCCACACGCGGGTTCCGAAAGGGTCGTGTTTGTCGGTGTCGAGAGAGGCGGCGTTCTCGCGGGCTTCTTTCAGGTAGGGGATGTGGGAGAGAACATTTCGCTCGGCCATCTGGGGTGTTACGCTACACCACTGCGATAGACTGTTAGTCTGCCATCCGTAAGGCTCTTCAGGGATTGGATACCTACCCATTGGTACACGGCATCTTTGTAACCCAAGGGGAAATAAGTGCCAGCAGGACGAGTTCGCGCATCGGGACGCGCCGGTGCGGCAGGAGCAGCCATGGTTTGGTTGTATCGGCGAGGGACAGTCTCCTCGGATGAGGCTCGAAGGCTGGGGGAGCTGGATTTGGCGGTTGCGGAAGAGGAAGTGATTATAGAGGAAGCAAGTTTGAATCGCGACCCGTTCACTACAGCAGAGGCAGTTTGTTGGTGTATCATACCGGATACTGGGGTGGCGAAAGGGAAGGGTGAGTGATTATATATGGGTAATGCGTACAGCAGCAAAACACACGTGGAATGGTGTCAAGGTGTGGCTGCGGGCGCCGGATGTACGTGTCCGGAGAACGGATTTTGCGTTGTCTCGGGGCACCTATGAAACTTTGCGACGACTAATCAGTCATCAAAAGATAGGTACCAGACCGGGGGGGTGTGTGGTCTTTGGACGGAGGATCAGATGGGTGAAAAAATTCGGGAATCCTTCCAATAGAGAGAGACCAGGCTGAAAGGTGGTGACGCAGACTGGTGGTGGCAGAGGAACAGGAACAAAGGGGGCAGTGGAAGTGCGGGAAGTGACAAAGCAGAGAAGAACGAACCAAAACCCTGGCAAGGCTCCGTAAATCGACAAGCTTGTTGAGCAGTTGAGTTGAGAGGGCAGGGGTAATAGAGTACTGCGGAACAAGGAAGGCCACCCCAGAGATGCGGGTTGGGCGGGTTGCGGATCGGTTCATGGACTTAGCAATCGGAGTTTGGCGGGATGACAGTGGGGCGGCCTGTTGCATTGGGCCGTGTCGGTGGTAAGGGGCCACGAAACTCCCGATAACCCGGCCAGAAGATTCCATCATTTCAGCCTGGCTGGCTTGTGATGTTTGGCGGGTATAAGGAGTACGCAATCACGATGTTGTTTGCAGTAAATGTCACTTTATTCAGGCCAAGAAACCATATATGTTTTGTTGTTCTGGACACACCGATGCATGATACGATGATACCGAAACTTTTTAAGGCTGCATTAAATCCGTGCGGCCGAGTTCGATGAGTAGGGATGGATGAGGTAGGTTACTTGGATGAGAGTCAACATGAAAAAAAAACAAAAAAACAAAGTCACCATCAGAAAGTTTTATGAGCCTCTTGAACTCTTCTTAAAACTCACACATTACCTGCCTCGAAGCATGGTAGAAACAAAGCCCCCGTTCCTGGATTCTGCAAACCACACTGACCTCAGTGAGACCTCTCGTTGTATGTACGCCACGTACTGTCACTAGTTGCCGCTACACCAATCCGCCAAAGGCATTGGAGTGGGAAAAAAATTACAGAAGGTCTAAAATGGAACCCAGCCTGCCCCCAATCTACACATAGTAGTTCACTGAAGCTCCCCTGTCTTCTTCTTCAACGCATGCCCCCCAACAAGCCTTATCCTTATCATTATCACTATCGCTATCGCTTATCGCCCTTTTCCGACCCCAACGCTCGGACCATCGGTCTCGCTATGACGTTCCACATGTCTGCCACCAGACGGAGCGGAATTTCCACCCCAGCAAAGCCTAGCAAAGCCAGCCCACTAGAAACTGCAGGGCCAGCTTCTGGCAACACTGTCTGACATCTGACCACCGTCCAAATTCCGCGCCCTTGTCTCGCACCAAGAAACATCGACACCACACATCTCCCTTTCCCCCATCCAAGGGCAGTGCAGAACCCTCTGTCCTTGCCCCCTTTCTGCACCTGCACCCCAGAATCCGCTCCGCTCCGACCACCGCGCATGCCTGCATACACCTGTTGACGCGCCTGCCGCAGAGGTCAAGGCCCCTCCAAAACCCTCCAATCCCGTCCCGAACGAACGTGAACGCCGTACCACCCGAAAGGGAAGACCAAAAGAAATTTTCTCCCCCGCCGGACACCCAGGTCGTTCCTGCGACCGGAATCATGGCCGATGTCGACTCCATCGTCAAAGGCGCCCCGCCGCCGGGCAAGGAGGACAAGGCCGCCGTCGGCACCACCGGTGTCGTCCCCGACTCGGGAAAGCAGGGCGACCCCTTGAGCCACACGCCCAGCTCCCCATCCATGATCTACCTCAACCTCCTTATTCTCGAGGCCTCTCTCCGCGCACAGTACCTCGAGCTGCGCGCCCGCCGTCGCCATCATACCTTCTTCTTCACCTTGCTCACCGCCTGGATATGCGGCTTCGGCTACGCCCTCTTCTTCGCCCCGCGCGAGGACGGCCGCGGCGTTGGCGGTTCCGTTTACTGGGGTGTTGAGACCTTTGAGAAGATTTGCTTCATGGGAGGTGTCATGACTGCCATTCTTGTGTGGGCTACAGGCATATGGGAACGGGGCATCAGGTGGCCGCGTCGGTGGTTTCCCATTTCTAACCGAGGCCTGCGCGGCTTCAACTGCAAGCTCGTCATTATTCGCCGTCCGTGGTGGGCCGAGATGGGCTCAACCATTGGCTTTTTCCTGACCTACGGCCTATTCTCTCACACCGCGAGCTCCTCATACCGATATGTCGAACCGTCCATTCTCCGCGAGGTCGAGAAAGAACTGAGCCTCACCGCCGAGAACCACCCCACGCTGCCGATTCTGGTCGAGGACGAAGAAAAGGGCGGCCACGAGGAGGACCTCGCGCCGGGAGGCGACTACGTTAAGCTTCTCCTGCTTGCGAAGCCATTTACGCCAACCTTTAGGGAGAACTGGGAGATCTACCGCACTGAGTACTGGGAAAAAGAAAACGAGCGCCGCGCCCTCATCCAAAAGAAGCTCTCCGCTCGCGACCGCCAGGTGGCCAAGCAGCGCTGGGGCATCTTCTGGTGGCTTCCCTGGCACCGCATCGACCGCTCCAACCCCACCTCCGGTTCCCCCTCCCGCAGCGAGAAGGCGACGCTACACCCGCGCGCGGCGGCCATTGAGCGCGAGCACCGACGCCGGAGTAGCAGCACCAGCGTACACCGTCGCAGCTCGACGAGCTCGTCCCGCAGCCTGACGCCCTCGGCAGTAGCGGCAGCAGTAGCCGATGACCCAGACGGAAGCGTCAGCAGGAAGGCCAGCACGGGATCCAACGCCTCAGACAAGAGAAGGAAGAAGCTGGGATCCATCTCCAAGTCCAAACGTCCGCACGTCGAATCGAGGTCCGTCACGCCCGACATACCGTCGCCGTTGGCCAGGGAGAGCAGCGTGACGCGGTCGGATAGCGGTTCGGGAGCCGAGTCTGTGGCTGACCGGTCGTTGCGGCATTCGTCTTCCAAGGCTAGCATCAGTTCCTCCACCAACTCTGTGCGGGAGAAGCAACGCAAAGCCAGCGAGGCGTGATACATAGGTTTAATGTACTTTAACGATTACAAAGAAAGAAGCGAGGAGATGAGAAATGAATACGGCACACGCATTTTGCCAACCCTTGACTCTTGCGCCCATCTTTGATTGTGAATTCTGAGTGTTCTGTCAGTTTGATTGTAGGATTGTTGTTGGCTGAAAGCCGCTGAACAACTGAAGCTACGAGTTAAGCCTGTTGCTTTGGAAACTTGTTTCAACCCGCATTCAAAAAGCAGTCTGGTATAATAAAGACAGCTGTGCCGACAGCGACGACCATGGCAACACCGCTACTGTCAATGATGAAATTTCAAACATGTATAATTCGGGGCCATCAGTTGAAACAGATTACATGTCGACCCCTGATCTACCCAGCACACGAGGCTACACTACATTGCAACCAGAAGCCAATCTTCCTCCCGCAACCACTCGTCCATCCTGCCCGTCCAAGGCCAAGTAATGGCTTCTTTCCCGTCAGCATCCACAGTGAAGTTTCCAAGGTGGGTGCCAATGTAAACACTTTTTACCCAGGGCATCTCCTCACGGACAAGCTGTCCCGCCAACTCCGAGGCCGCCGCGTCTGCGAGTAAGTCGTCACGCGAAAGCCTGCCTCTGTATCCCATATCGTACGTGTGCTCCCAGGGGTTGGGGGGATGAAAGCCCAGATTGAGAAGCCCGGACCATGGGAGGTGAAGTATCTTGAGTTTCGGGAGAGACGCAAAGGCTATGGTCATGTTCTGTTAGGTATATTGTCAGCTATGTCTACCACACGAACACAACAGAGCGGGAAAAGGGAAGAAAGAGAAAAAGGGAGAAAGAAACTCCATACACGCATTAACTCTCCCTCGGGAGCTTCTTCTTCGAAGCCGGCCTCGCCGAGCCAGAGTTCCTCGACATTGGGAAACACTTTGGGTATGACTGTGTTGCGTTCTTCGTCAGCTTCATCGCCCCCCCCACGAGAGATTGACTTCATGCCCCCTTGTAAGAGACAACTCACGTTCATGCATCGTGCGGTTCCAATTCGTCCTACCCAAATGAAGCCTCGTCACCTTCTCCAAACAAAGCGCTGTATCCATCCATTGCACAACACAGTCAACGATCCAGCCGGTGTTCCCTTCCGTTATAACCCTAGGCTCCCCATTCGAAGCCTCGATCATGTACAAGCCCGGTGCGGCGTCCACCAGCCAGAACGCAGGCGGGTTCGCGCTGAGCTCCTTCAGAGAAGCCAAGTGCGTGCCAGTCCTGGCAAACCCCTCTTTAAAGACCTGGTTCTCCTCCCATCCGGGAACGTTCCAATATAACTTCCGCAGGCCTTTCATCGAACCCATGACGTCAGCAAAGACTGACGCCAGTCCGCTGGGTGGGAGCGCCGGGTCGATTGAGTGTTTCACGTCTACTTCCAACTCGCGGACTTGGGCCACAGCTCTGGGGCACCCCTTCATCTCGAGAAGGCGGTTGCGCACGTCATGCCAGTTCTCGGCGCCGCTGCGGAGACGGCAGGTATCGATGACGAGTCGGTGGAAGAAGTCGTGCGGGATGACTAGATCGTGGTCAGGAGGTGCGCGATCATCGCCGACGGCTTCATCGGCGAGCGAGCAGAGGAATGAAGTTGGGTCGTCGAGCTTGGAGAGCTCGTCTGCGTGTGCGGCGTACCACGGGTGGTTTGCCTGGACGACGAAGTCCGGGACGTTGGGTGCTGGGCTGTCGGCCCAGAAGGGTATGCGAGGGACCTGAAAGGAGGGAAGTTGCCATGCTGCTGCGAAACTCTGGAATAGCAAAGCGGCGATGCAGAGCAGTGATAGCGTAGATGTGGTTTTCATCGTGTTCTGTCGTGTGCTTTCACTGAAGCGTCATGACCAACTCTCATAGTCTGCTCCTTTTTATACGGATGATCAATATTTGATCTATATTACGACATCTCGGCGGCACTGATTTTAAACGCTTCACGAAATGTGTCCTTAAGCTACGTTTCTCATGATTTCTGAAAAGTTCGAGGCAATCGTGTCTGGAGGTGGACAGCCCCGGACTCCTAGCGAACTCCAGGCAGAAGCTCAGGGGCTCGACACCTGCATCGAGCGGTTTTTGCTGTGCCGCAGGGTAGAACATACAAAATGCACATCATGGCCGGGAACACAGGACAAATGGCATCTCCGATGACTCATAAACATACATCGAAACATCACCGCGTGGAACCGAAAAAAGTGTGCAAATAGAAAGACATTAATGCAGTGGATATCGTGCGCTCGCATACAACCGTCAGGCACAGAGGCCACCTCGCCTCAACCTGTACCCTGTGTGTCCCCCATTAACCCCTCCATAAAAATCAAAACAAGTTCCAATCTCGAATCTCAATCGTCACATTCCAGGCAAGAGATGTAACACCCCGCCTTGTGTGTATGTTGCTGCGGCCATTTCGAAAGCCGCGCCAGGATTCGAACCATATACGTCGTGAAGGAGTGTCGGGTGGGTATCATGAACAAGAAATAAAGTCCATCCATTAAATATGCAAAAAAATTCCGATCCTGTACCCGCCCATAAGTATGCTGAATTATTCATTATTTCTTAAGGAGTGTCGTGAATTCCGTCGTAAAATAAATATCATCAAAAGTCTTTTGTCAACAACGCCTGAATGATAATCGGCCGAAGCCGGAAAGAGTGTCGTGAATGAGAAAGCAAAGTAACTTTTTCCCGCCTGAATGTAAAAAACTATGAAGAGCTAAGGCGCTTCATAAATGTCACCAAAAGGAGTGTTTGGAAAATTAGATGAGTAGAAGGGCCAAAAGTGGCGCGAAGATGGCGAGGAAGGTGGAGGTGGCGGGCTTCGCGGCCGCACCGGTGGGCACAACAACCGGGCCGGAGCGGGTGGTGCTCGGTCCGGTGAGAGTCGTGGATGCGCTCGAAGTGGAGTTGGAGGCTCCGCCGGTCACGGATGGCGCCGCCGTACCAGACTCCTCCGGGCCGGATGCCGAAGGACTGGACCCGGCACCTCCCACGGTTGTGGTCGATGCTGTCGAGGAAACGGCGGTAGAAAGCGAACCTGAGGAGCTTCCAGAGGGGTTTCCTGAGGGGGTTCCAGAAGGAGTTCCAGATGGAGTAGCTCCAGAGGAAGAAGCTATGGTCGACGAGGCTGACACTGATGGGTTGGAAGCCCCAGTCGTGGAGTCAGTCTCGCTCGGAGATGCGGTCTCTGAAAGGGAAACCGTCCCAGATGGAGATGAAGTCTCGGACGGGGAGGCAGTGACTGTTGTTTCCGGAGTGCTCGTGGGGGAGGATGTAGTCTCAGGCACTTGAGAGGGACTGCTAGACGGTGTGGGAGTGAGAGTCGGCGTCAAAGTCGGAGAAGTAGGCTCCGCTGCACTCGTCGTGGTGGTATCTGGAATGGGCACGGCCGAGGTGTCACTGGATCCCGGGTCCTGGCTTACGGTGGTAACAGTAGCCGTTCCACTCTGCTGGGTCTGAGGTGGCTGTACAGATGCGGATGAGGAAGTCGAAGGCGCCTCACCCAAGCAGAAGTTAACGTACTGACTAAACTTGGGCTCAAGGTAGACCTGCAAAGTGATCTTCGCGTCGTCTGCGTTCGCCTCAACACAAGCTCTGCAAGTCGCAAGGTCGTTCTGGAAAGCAGAGCCCTCCGCGCAGATGGCGGGAACCTTGCCGAGACTCTGGACTTCAATGTAGCAGTTGTTGCAGTTCTCGTAGCAGACAGCTGGGACAATGGTCTCGTCACGCTTGCTGAGGAAGGCCCGGCGCTCGTAATTCTTGCCCTCCTTATGGTGCTTACCGCCTGATCCTGGGGTAGACGACGGCGACGGCGCGACCGTTGGTGTTGCGGGAGCGGGGGGAGGGAAGCGTGTCAAGCTGGTTGCGGACGCCCAATTGCCCGTAGTGATGGTGGTCTTCTTGTAGCCGTGCTTGCCCTTGACCTTGGTCACGATGACGTCGTAGTCGAAGATGTCGAACGGAAGACCAAAGGCGTTAGGGTTCAAGTTGAAGTAGCCTTCGTTCGTAGGGACGTATCCAGTCTCATTATCCTTCCACTTCGCCAGAGTGTAGTGTGGCGCGGGCACGCAGTACTTGGGGTTGCAAGTGTATTCATCCGCTGGCGAGTCTGCCCACAGGTTGCAGCCTGACGGCTTGGGAGGGCTGCAGACATATCCAGGCTTGCAGCCCCAGGTACGGTTCGAGTGGGGGTTGAATTCGACGTCGGGGTTGAGTCCAGGCGTGTTTGTCGGAGCAGGGCATGCGGTTCTGTCGCGGATCTCGGTCTGAGTAACCGTGGTAGGAGGCAGAGTGAGAGTGATGGGCGGCAGTGTCAGAGTTGTAGTTACCACTGACGTCGGCCCAGGGACCACGGTCGTGACGATTGTTCCATCCTTAGTAATCGTGACTGTAGAGGCGGGCGCAGTCTCCGTCACAGTGGTGACAACGGTGGTGCCGGGGAGGGTGGTTGTCTCGGGCGGCAGGGTGATAGTATCAAAGTCCGTTGTGATGAAAGTCAAAGTAGTTCCCGGAAGCCTGATGGTCGTTACCTCACCGTCGACGGTCGAGATGATGGTCGATCCCGGAAGAGTGATGGTTTCGGGAGGAGACGTTATGGTTACGCCAGGGCCAGTCACCGTCGCTGTCGCCGTCAAAGTGTTCGTACGGGTCTTGGTAATGAAGGAGATGACCGGCACTCTGGATACGACCGTAGAAATTATGGTCTCGTATACAGTAGTGAAAGAGGTCTCCCTGATAGTTCGGTCATTCGTAACAGTGACGGGGACAGTGACTGGGTAACGAGTCGAGACGGTGATTGTTTCGTAGAACGTAGTGGAGACGTAGATGGTTGTCGATGAAGTGTACCTCTCCGTGAATCTCTCCGTCTGCTTGTCAGTGACTGTGGCTGTTGCTGTGGCTGTTGCCGTTCGTGTTTGGAAATCTGTCAAGGAGGCTGTGACTGTTGCCGTCTTTGTGTACGTTGCGTAACTGGTCCAAGTAGACACGCTCCAAGCCGTCGTAGTTGTTGTGTGGTCAACAGTGATGGTGTAGGGGATTCGTGTGGTGTACTTGTAAGTCGAAACTACAGTGGTCGGAGACACGTAAGTCTTCACTCTAGTCACTGTGGCAGTTTTAGTCAACGGCTTGGTGACAGTCGCGGTGTCGGTGTATTTCTTAGTCACATCTTTCGTAACGGTCGCGGTGTCGGTAATCTTCTTCGTCACAGTGTCCGTGGAGTAGGATGTCAAGGTCGACGTTTCAACCGTTGTGAAGGTCGTGGTGATGTACTGCGTCTTGTTGGAGACTACTGTTGTAGGGATGCGAGTAGTGTAAGTATGCGTCGTGACGAACGTTGAGATCGAAGTGTGAATCTTTGTTGCAGTAACGTGCTGGGTCTCGGTGAGCTTCTGAGTCGCGGTGCGCTCTTTGGTCTCGGTGAACTTTTGGGTCTGGAAATCCGTGTACTTCTGAGTGACGTGGATAGTGGTCGGCACTGGAACAGTCGAGAACTCAGTGTACTTCTTCGTCGTCGTCTTCCATACAGTGGTCGTGCGAGTTTCACAAACTTGGTGAGGAGTCCGCTTCTTGCCATATCCACCACCCGTGGGATATCCAGTAGGCTCTGGTTCATTGGTAGGCTCAGGCTCTACAACAGGTTTACAGCTGCGAACAATTAGCTTGACGGAACTGGAACCAAGGTAGAGAAATCTGCACTTACACAGCAACCGTGGTTGTAACCGGGTAAGATGAGACCTTTGTTTGCACAACTGTCGTGGTCTCATAGTCGGTAGTGGTATATGCTTTGGTTGTGAAGATGGTCTCCTTAGACACAACAGTGACCCTGTCTCTTGATTAGCAGTGCCTCTTGGTTCTCTTCCAGAATGGTAAATTCAACTCACGTTGAAACTACGTGCACAGGTTTCTCCACAGTCACTGTCTTCTTGTCGGTCGCATAGACCGTCTCCGTCTTGGTGACAGTGCTAGTCTCTTTTCCCTTGTCGGTAACGGTGACAGTCACTGTCTTTCCCCAAGGGCATTTTGAGCCCCAATGCGCGCAATTTTCCGTATCGGTACCATGATCTCCGGTCTTCTTCTCAGCAGGCGTCGGCTCTGGCTGGGCCACCGCCGAGGAGGCGGGCTCTGGGACAGATCCCGGCGTGGACGAAGGGCCAACAGACTCGGCTACTGATTCCGGTGAGGGTAAAGGAGTGTACTGGGCTGGGGTTTCCGCATAAGACTCGTTCTGTCTGGCGTAAATGCCATCTTGCGCAGCAGCACCGACGGCCAGGGTCCCAAGGACCAACAGCGATCTCAACAGCATGATAAACCCAACTCGAGTGAACGAACGACTGTTTCCCAAGTGGCCTACTGACAAGGCAGTGGGCAGGTTTGTCGCGTTACTGCGACTGACTAGCGAGTGTGGGAGGACGGCTTTTGGAGCTGAGGGTGCACACAAAGAATGCCGGGAGAGGGTTGGGGGCAGAGCAAGTTGGGAATCGTGCTCTGGGGCTCATATGTATGTACGATGAGATGCAGCGAGAGGAGTGGAGGCTGAGAGCTGAACCGGCAAGACAGCCTTACCTAAGTCGCGGACTCGAAGACAGCAGGATGATATCCCCCGTTAGCTCAGGCCAGAGGCAGTAGTCCGTACCTCGTAAGACAGCAACGCAATGTCTGCTCGGCGGGACCTCCGTCCGAGATGGTGTTGACAAAGGTGGGTGGCCCGATGAACTGGGCATCTTGCAAGCTTCTCCCCAGAACAAACGGGGAGGGGTCAACTAATTAAGCCAGCAGAAGATGACAGGGAAACGAAATGACGAAGCAATCCAACGACGCGGGAGCCAAGTCATGTACTGGCGTGCCACCACGCTAGAGGGGCGTGATTCGGACGGCAGTCGGGGTAGATGGAGTCAGGCTCCCGCCGTGAGGCTTCGTTCGACAGCCATTGGCGAATACAAGATCAGGTAAGTGCAATGGCGCGCAAGAGGCGAGAAAAACGAGGATATGGGTGCGGGAGGAGGGGTGTGGTAATCCACTGCGACCCCGGCTCGGACCTGCACTGATGATGACGACAGGGGTGTTGAATTTAGACGGACAACAACTGCCTTTCAAGGCAGGCGAAAGCCTTGGTCAAAAGGTGGACGGGTGTCTATAGCCACGGCACACAGGAACGGCTCCAAAGGTACGGTCGCCAAGAACAATAGAAGTGATGAAGGCAACATACGCCACTTGGGTACGTGTTCCGGGAGGATCGTGCAGGCAGTGCGGCGGTGCTTTGAGGACTAAAGCCAACGCCCGAATGCACTTCATTACCAGTATCATGAGAGGTGGCAGTATCGAGATTGAACACCAAGGTTGGAAAAGGAAAAGCACCACTGGAGAGGCCCCTCGAGAGCAGGACAGCATTCTCTGACTTGGCCAGATGTATGACATGATCAACCATGTTGGAGCTGAAAAACGTCTGTGGGTCAAGAAAGACACAGACAGACAGGACAAAGGGAAGAGTGAATGGATCACTGAGTAGTATAGAGTAAGACAATACCAAATCCCACGGCTTCGTGGGTGGTGAGAATGACGAGTCGCGACTCGCTAGAAGCCTAGCCACATGGATGGATGGACGAGGTCGGGCAACGGTGGGGCGGCATCGGCCGGCCATTGTTACTGTGCCTGGGTTGAGGCGGGTGGCATTGGCAAGGCCAAGACCGAAGAGAGTCCTGCACATTCAGGGGACCCGGGCTTGGACGGCGGATGCGACTGGCCAGATTCTGCTCTGCCTGCGCAACAACTATCCATCACTCTGCATTCCATGGCCGACTTTGCGTGTATTATGTATACCTGCTCATGTTGGATCAGTCTAGGTCTAAAGAGGTAGTGTGGGGTGGAGATGGAAAGTAACGTAACCAAACTCTTTGAAGCATACTTGTTGGAGCGGGAGCGACTTCTGGGGTCATAACATAACTGAAAAGCAATAGGGTGGCAGCCATGCGGGATGCGAAGCGCCTGTAACGGTTAAGTTCCGGCGTGGGGAACAAAGATTGAAGATCATCCGACCCAGAGACGCATGCGATATTATTTTTCAAGCGGTCAGGTACATCGGACAGCATGGTATTAGGAACCAGAGGAAAAGGCATGAGTAGAAAGCAAGGAACATGGGCAGTTGTGCAACTGTCATAATTGGTAAATGCTGTCCAACTGTACACCCTGTAGAAGATGGCTGAAGTAGTAACAAAGGAAAAAGAGACTTACGATTACCTCGTGGCACGGTTGATCTGCACCGAACAGGGGTTCTCTGGGAGGCAATCTAAGCTGCACAGCGTTGGTCTGATGTGCCACTTGTACGAATAAAGACGTTCCCTGAGAGGACGAGAGGTACCAGAATCCTGCGGTGCAAAATGCTCGTGTGATGGAGTGGTAATTGATGGAATCATGGGTAGTGTGGCGTAAGCAGAATAAGAGAGTCCGAGGCAGCTTGCCCACATTCCGAGATGAACAACAATTTGTTACTCTGGAAGCAGGCTTCATCAGGGTCCTTCAGCCCATTGTGTATTCCCGGTCATATATTGCTCAATGGGTGGAGGTGAGGCTGAGAAGGTAAGCACTGTTCAAATCTGGATGTAAAAAAACAGTGAGGTATTTGTAAGATGGTGGCTATGTCGCGAGCTCTGATTGACTGTTGCGGAAACATAGTACATGTCATGGTCTTGAGGGATAGATATGGGTGGTTGGGCAGGCTGTGGGAACAACAGCTAGGGTGAGATTTTGTGAATGAGGAGAAGAAGAGTTGTCAACAGTGAAAACAAGATGACTGGGATCAGGGGAGAGAAGAGGAAGAGAGCTTACAATAGAGACGAACTAGATCTTTATCCGGTTAGCGCAGGATGGGGCCATTTATCTTATTTAGGCCTAGTAAGCGGGCCTAAGCCTGGAGAGGGAAAGAGGGGTAATGGGTGAAAGTGGGTCTGTTGCGTCTGTGCCTGCCCACGCCTCTAGCTCTTTAAACATCAAGTTTTGAGGCATTTTATTGGCGGCAACTGCGATTACCTCATCCGAGTCTTACTGTATTGAGGTTAGCTTCCCATGTGCTCCTCCAGCAAGCCGTTGTCAACCGTCTTTGTTCTCCCGCCCTTCCTTTCTTCCTTATCAGTCAATGTCATAATAGAAGAAGCTGGCCTCATGGCCGGCCTCTTCATCCACACCCGACAGACTGTCATTTCGCTTCTTTTAGCAGCCTGATGTATGATGCTCCGTCTCTGCATGAAAGTGGTAAATACTACAACGACCTGGCCAAAATCTCTAATAATCCCAAGGTCTCACCGACAATTGATATTTCAAGGATACGTCTTACTTGACCCATCCTACAAGGCTGACACTATGATCCTACCATACTTTATTTAGTGAGCAACTGACTCTGCTTGTGCCTGGCAGCGCTATAACCTATAAGGCTGGGCATATCGACACTGGAGCTTCCCAGAGCTCCCCCCTGTCCTCAATCCCAGTCCGAGCCCACAGCTCCAACTGTGCTGGTTCCTTCCAGGCCTTGTAGGTAAACTTGGCAACCCATCTATTGACTGACTTGCAGATATTCATCCCTTGTATTGACCACTGCCACTACACCCTCATATATGCATGCTTATGCCGGGACCGCTCACGCCCAAAAGCTCATGAGAGGCACAGGCAGCAACTATACCATCTGCGTCCCGCTGACTAGCAGACTTTTACCTCTAGCGTGCTCACCCCGAATCATGTCATTTTACCCGATGGTGTTGTCTTGCGCCTCATCCAGGTCCAGATCAACAAGTACTCCCGGGACGATCAATGACACGCTCCGAAACCATCCAAGCAAAAGTTTACGAGGAAACTTCCATCATACCGAGAGACAGGAAATACCACGTTTGAGAACACGGGAAAGAATATTCTCTTAACAACAGTGGACTGAAATCCGCTTATTATTTACTAGACATAGCACACGTTTGCTTTCAAATTCATCCTTCTTTGTTGATAAGTTAAACAACCCATGACTGTTGTAGCTGCTCTGTCTCGGCAACAAATGCCAAGAGAGGCAGAAAACGGTTGCTCTTTTGAATGTCCTAGCCGGGGTTGCCGTCCCTCTTTTCCGTCTTTCCGCAAACTGAAGCACAGCCTGATTGTGGCACTCTTGCCTGCAGTAACTTCTCTTTTGATGAATGGGTGCTTAGTTTGTCAAAACTTTTGTCTATTGGTCATGGCAGTGGGAGCAGGAATAACTGACAAGCTAGCTATTTTTTTTCTCTTCGACGTGAGACATGGACACAAACTTTGCAGCGACGATCCGGTCCAGCTCGATTGCACTTTTAAGTTCCCTCCACGATAAACAAGACAGCAACTGACTTGCTGATTTGTTGAGCCGATGATGAGGCTGGGGCCAAGGGGGCTTCCACGAGCAGCACTACGAGTTTGCTGCACTGCTCCGAAATGTCACTCCTCGCCCGTCTTTACCCACCAATCATGATTGGAGGGCCTCCCACCCTCAAGTGAGTCTGTACGAGCTTCCTTTCCTCGCAAGTGGTCCTATCCATGAGCCCCAGGCGACCACCCCCAGCCTTGACCTGGGCCGAAGGCTTGCATACACCCAACACATCCTCTGCTACCCTCCATCTTTTCCGTTGCCTCTTCCATTCGTACTTTCGTCCAGTGGGTCCAGCCTTATACAGGTCGCTGAGTTGGGAGTCGTTCGGAATCTTCTTGTGGCAAGGATCCTATCAGTGTGTCTGCCGACTCTTTGGTTGTCTTCCATCGGGCCTTACTCGCCACCCACCGTACCGATCCGTTCGTTCTGGCACTCGGCGAAGGCGATGGTGCGGGGATAATCGTTATCGAACGTGTTCTCGAGCCGTCCGTTTCCATCCCTCTTGCGGCTATTCCTCGAAAGAAGAACCGTTCGTCTTGGAAGGTTTTCATCCCTCTTCTCTCACAGGCACCGCCTTGGTAGTTTTGTAGACCTTGTCTTCTCTTTCTCTTGGGCAGTGAGCCTGATCTCACCTGAGCCTCCGTTCTCTTTTCTGCTTACTCTGATCGTCCGCTCCCCCCGCTGCTTACCGGTAGACCCCTTTGCCACCCGTTTTTGGTAACGCAGTGGCATCCCCACCCCAGATAAGCACCCCGAACAGCCGCCATGTGCTGAGACAACGAAGGCATACGTGATTTCTTGCATTACGCCTCGCCAGTCCAGGAAACTCAGGCACAACGCCTTTGCAACGATGGCTGCTTCGCGCTCAGTCCTCCTCGCCGCCTTCGTTGGCCTTGTAGCTGGGCAATATGAAGGATGGGAGCCGGGACAAGTTGCCGGTACCATGTGTTACTGGGATTCACCAAGAGGTATGCGAACGCTGTGTGTAGACTGCCACATCCACATACTGACAATCACGCAGTTGCTGTCATCCGCGATACCCTATGGATTGATGGAGGCACTCTCGCCTGGGTTCCGACAATGCAGGATGGGAGCTACGGCGATTTGTCTTCGTTGAGTGAGTTTGCCAGCGGCGCAATCAACATTGTCATTAGCTGATAGCCGTAGATAACCCGCGTGGGTTGATGTACTCATTCAACTTCAGCAAGTCGTTTGATGGGACGACGAACCTGACCAACTTGATTGGAACCAAAGCAAAGTCATTGGGAGGATCTGGAAGTACTAACAGTATTGCCCCGAACATGATCGATGGCGCACTGCTTTACAATGACGCAGAGTTCTTCCTCTACGGAGGCGCACTGCGCAAGAAGACGGACGTCGCCGAGTCACCGGACGGCGACAGGGCTCTCGTCTGGCGTTGGTACGACTATCCAGAGAAACCATTGTTCGAGGCCGGCGGCGACCAAATGACCTTATCAAATGGCATTACCCGATATGTCGCATACGGAGGAGCCGCTAGCGCCCCTTCCGAGAACAAGGCCTGGTATGTAGGAGGCATGCGTTCGCCAGTCTGGGGTGATGTGTTTCGGGGGGAGACGAACCGAACTCTCACTGCGAATACTACCTCCAACTACCTCATTACCCTCGACATGTCGCAACAGTATGCTGAGAAATTCTCCAACGAAACGCTACCTAGCTTTATTAAACCCAGAGCCAACCCATCGGTTGTCTGGGTTCCGGTTGGACCACAGGGCATCTTGGTCGTGGTGGGAGGTGTTACCTATCCCGAAGTTGCCAACTTTGCGATCAGAAAGACTGATGATTCCGTGCTCAACGTAGGTTGTGCGTAAAAATTATTATCTCCTCATTATAGCTGACACCCAATTACAGAAAGAAGAGAGCCCCACGTTTATGAAGACGATTGATATATACGACGTTGCTAGTAAGAAATGGTATCAACAGGAGACCAAAGACGGGCCCCCTGCCCTTACGAAAGGCTGCGCCGTGGTGGCTCCTGCTCAAGACCGATCCAGCTTTAACGTCTACTACTACGGCGGCTACTCCGGTATTGATGCCAAGACGGGTTTCAGCGATGATGTCTGGGTTCTGTCCCTTCCATCCTTCCAATGGACCAGAGTCTACCAAGGAGAAAGCCTCCATGCTCGTGCAGGCCACCAGTGTGTGATGCCGTACCCCGACCAGATGATGGTTATCGGTGGCTTTGCAGAGACGTCCGGAGGTGGCAAGCCACCTTGCGTTGACAAGGCCATATTGCGGATGTTCAACGTCTCGAGTGCTCAGTGGTCAGACTCATACAGCCCTAGTAAGTGGTCCAACTACACTGTCCCAACAGCAGTTCAGAGCAAGATTGGCGGCAACGGACGGGGTTCAGCTACAGCAACAACACCCGTAGTATCAGGCTGGTCAAACCCTAGTTTGGCAGCTATATTCGCGACACCCTACGTCACCTCAAAGATCAATACCTGGTATCCGTACACTGAAGACAAGGCGACCCCTCGTCCAACTGTTCCTGGAGATTCAGATAACCAAGGTGGCGGTGGCGGCGGCGGCGGAACCCCTAAATGGGTTGCGCCTGTACTCGGCGTCGTTCTCGGTCTCGTCTTCATCACAGCCATCCTCGTCGGATTTTGCCTTTGGCGCCGACGTAAGATCCTTAGACGCGGCAATGGAACCGCTACAACGACAGACGACAACGGATCGCGCATCATCTCGTGGATCAGGGGTCAGCCCAGTGAGCCGGCTAAAGCCCCCACCGTCACGACGGAAGAGATGCCCTCTACACAGGACATGTCAGAGATCCGAACACCGCCTCCGCCTCCCGCGGCATCCCCCGTGCCATTCGTGGCTCATGAGATGGCTGACAACCACATCGCTGAGCTGCCTGGTATGTCTCCAGTATCCCTCAATGCACATTACGTACAGTAGTTCTAATCAAGTCACAGATACTTCCCCACGCGCAGAGCTCCACGGCGTGGGCCTCACCCCCGTGGAAATCATCAACAAACACACGCACTTCGGCACGGGCTCCAACCCCGGAACGGTGCACCAGTCCTCTTACTACGCCTCTGTCTCCAGCAACGAGAACGCCTCGTCAATCTCCCGCTCTTCAGGTGCCCTCGGCTACCAGACCCGCGCGCAGTCTCCGGACCCTGGCCCGCCATCGCCACCGATCACCACTTCCGCTCCTGCGGGACGAGTCGGTTCCGATGTATCAGGACTAAGCGAGCATGATGCCCGACACCTGAGGAACCTTAGCCAGGCGACTGTCAGCTCGACGTCATCAGGGGGAGAACAAGATGCATCAGGCGCGCAGCCGAGCGCGCAACAGGGTGCTCGCGGTATCCCGGCCACGGTGCCTGAGACGCCGACGCCAGGGCACCCGAGCCCGCTGAGCCCGCCCACGGGAGCGTCGGACGGTGAAGATTACATCTCAGCGAGGATGTTGCCAGTGAGCCCCGCTGGAACAGGGACGCTTAGGAGGAGCATGTTCCACGAGAGCGAAGACGACCTCGGATCGAGGAAATAAGGCTTGTAGGCTATTAGTGAAATGTTTGCCATGATATAAGGCGTTGGATATCCTATAATGTGTTTTTTTTTTTTTTTTTTACCCCCGTAAACCACATCTTCGGGTTACCAAGGATGGTCGTTTCCTAATTTAATTTGCTTTTGAGTGTCATGAGGTCGTTGTCAGGATTTTTGTGTGCCGTATTCGAAGTCTCAATTGGCCGCACCAATACATTAAATCCGGCCTAGATGTTTTGCCCTTCCCTCACAAGCGACGCCACAGCCTGCAATCTTGTTGCTGGACGTCATAGTGTCACGAATGTTGAATGTAGCGTCCTGCGTTCAAGGACGAAGTGCAAGTAAATACACCACGGAAAAGGCTATCCCTAAGAGAAGCTCTTCATCGTTCACCATACTCAGCCATTCCCTAAACCATGCATGCAAACCCACTAGACGAGACGAGACCGGTTTAGCGGCTACTGCACCAACACGTTCCATCTTGTACGTCTTGGTGCGCTCCATTTTACAACAACAGCTTAGTCACCTTGCCAGAGTGGTTAATGGGCTGGCCTGCTATTATCTGCTATCAAGCCAGTGTCTTCGGACGCGCAGGTTCGAATCCTGTGGGTGACGATTTTTTTGCTTTTCCTTTGTTTTTCATTCGATTCCAACTTCTCCGGGCCGGGTACCAGCGTTTGGAGCTGTGGTTTTGGGGGCATCACGAACCTTTCTCCCCTCACCACCCAGCCAGGTAGGTATGTTCGCTCACTCATGCAACTTTGTTTTTAATACACAATCAACGGCCATACCAGACTTCCTGCATTTTAGACAAAATCAGTCGCTCGTTTCGGAATTGCGGTTTCGTAGCCCATCTGTGCAGGCTGGCAAACGGTTGGAGACGGATTAGCGGGAACGAATAGTTTTGATGTTCCTATGCATTTGTATTGAGCACTTCACTTTCATACGTTGCCTGCTGCAGTTCACCATCATGGACCTCCTCAAGTCTAGTTCATATGGTTTGCATTCCCGCACAATCTAGATATGCGGTAGCCAGTAATAGAGAGGTATCATTCCAAAAACAAGAAGCATCCCGTCTGCGTAGGGAAACCAAAAGACTTTTTTATCCCACGATCTTCAAAGCCTCCCACGCTGTCTCATTTACCGCTCATTAATAAAATAAAATAAAAAACGCCCCTTCTTTAGTTCAGTTGCCCTTTGCCAGCAATTATCTCGAATAGGTTGTTCGTGTAAGCGACAACATCAAAGTGCAACTGCAGGCATTAACACCTAAACCTCTCTCCCCTTCTTGATGCAGACTCCACAAACCCATGATGCCCTGTATGTGTTTTTTGTGCAAAGATGGCAATGATATACATGTACACAGAAGGCAGGCCGAGGAAGACGTATGTATGCCTTGTCCTCTCCCACCATTCTTCTATAGCCGCAGCCGTACTTCTGGTATCGAACGAAAGCGATCTGAATACCTTGCTGCTCTATCGTGACTTTAAATAAAGTCCATTTCGTCAATGTCGGCTTCGACGTCACCCTCACCCTCGATTGGGTTCTTCCTCGGCCGGCCACGACCACGCGGGCGTGACGTGGAACGCTGGCGTTTCTTAGGGCGTCCGGCCGAGCTGCTGGCTTTTCGTTTTCGCCCTCGACCATCACCTGTTGGTTCTTCATCTTCGCCCTCGCTCGGGGTGTCATCTTCGCCATCTAAGTCATCATCGGATGCGACCTTGAATTCTTTATCGACATTCATCAGCTCGACGAAAGCCTTGCACTTTTTCAGAGTAGCTTCTTGGGAAGCAAGACCCTCTATGTGTGATGTGACCTCTTCCCAAAATTTGTCACCCGTGACACCTGGTACCCTAGTCGGTGCTTTGGTCAGATCTTTGGCCGCGGGCTTGGCCTTCATCTCGCGTTTGAGACCATAAACGCGCCGGAGGTAGGTTCGCGCTTCCCAAAGACACAGGAGGATAATAGAACCAGACGTTAGCTGCCGCAATCGCTTCGGGGGTATCGTTGGCTGGATTTGTAAAGGTGGCTGTCCGTCAGGTTGGGGCTCTGTCGGCTGATCTAAATCCATACGCATGTTGAAAATTTCAGACTCAATGACATGTGCCATGCTGGATCCAGTAGAGGAAAATAGCTTCTCCATAGCGTTGACCGTAACCAAGACCTCTCCGACTGTGACATAGTCAAAGTAAGCGAGGTTCTCAATGATAAATCGCGAGAGCTCGACATGCGCAGGCATCGGCTTGGAGACATCAAGTTTAGAGTGGTCGAAATCTACCTGAGCCACGAGCTTCTCCAAAAACTTTTGTCGATTCTTTGATTTGCTCACTTTGAGCACTTCCATCAGAAGATGAAGCTTAGACTGGAAAGGGTTTTCAGTTGCACCGCGAGTATCATGGACAATATCTCGCTGATACTCGAATGCAGCCTGAATCGCCTTGACGTACTCTCTTTCGAGCACCGTCTCGTGCTTCTCGTGAAGGGCTCGATGCTCCATGAAAGCCACTTCGGAAATTTTGGGAACTGAAGAGGTCTCCAAAGTGATGAGTGTGACACCCGTTTCCTTGGGGTGAACCAAACCTTGTCGGTTGATGCTGCCAAGTACCTCCACAGCCAGAAAAGCATGCTCATCTTGTGATGCTAGAGAGATACGAGTTATTTCTTTCAGGAAGCGTTGGGTAGTTGCGCTTGCTACATCATCGAAGCTCGTGCCACCCATGACAGTCAGCTCACGCTTCTTGTCACTTTCAACGCCGGCTGCGGCAGCCGCACTAGCAGCCTCGGATCGTCGTTCCTCGGTGACGAGGAACTCTTTGAATGACCGAAGGATAGTGCTCTCAAGTGCTGGAAGCCTGGCCTCGAAAACCTGCTGGAACTTGGTGTATACATTGGGCGAGACGTAGTTGCGTGGATGAGCCTGACAGATGAGACCTATGGCATCCAAGGCATGTCTTCTCGCCTCCATAGGCTGCGAAGCGTCGGCCCAAGGTGACAAGTTGTCAACCATGAGTTTGGCGACCGATGTGCCAGAGTACTTGGGGAAAATCTTCTTGAACACTGCGATTTCAGAATCTAGATCGCAGTGTTTACCAACCATTCCTACGATAATTGAGTACCTGGCAAATTTCTGAAGCTTTGTAGAATCCAATTGCGTGTTGCGCATGCTGGCAACTCCGCGTAGGCTAGAGGCACCAAGATGAGCCAGCTTGTCGCGGTTGTCCAGTAGTTCAGCAATAATCCATAAACAAGCAATGACATCGTCCAGCAAACTCTTGCCTAATCTGCCGACACAGGTTTGAAGCTGTTCTCGTAGCTCCCTTAAGAAATCGGCATACTTGCTCGAGAGCTGGGGCAATACCTGGCGATATATGACTGCGACGGCCTTGAACACAGTGAGGTCGTCTGTGCCGCTAAAACTGGCAAGGTGAGGCTTGAGAAGGCGGATTTCCTCAAAGGTGAAGAGCTTTGCATCTGCCTTTGCAAAGATTTGGAGGACTTGTAAAGCGTCCCGCCCTGACGGAATGGTAGGGTCGTCGGAATCGAGATTGTCAATCAACTCGAACATCTTCTCGACCAGCTTCATGCTGACACTGAAGGGCCCAGTGTTAGCCTTGTTTTGCCCTCCAAGAATGGACTGAAGCACTTTGTCGAGCACAGCTCCCACGTTTCCTGATTTGACAGTTTGTATCATGAGAGCAACATGGTCAGTGAGGGACGTCTTGTAAGTTGCTGTATCGTCAACTTGGTAAAATGGAGCAAACCAGACCTCTTCGATCATCTGGCGAGCAAGCTCCCGAACGCTCTCGTCTGGGTCTTGTACGCGATGAAGTAAGCCATTGGCGATTGCGCTTCGGATCTCTCTGCTGTTATTGCGTAGATAGATGTCCTTTGCCAGCTTCATGGCCCTTTTCCGTACGCCAATACCAGAATCAATAAATCTTTCAATGATTCTCTCCGCCATTTTATCTTCCAGCCTTGGGCGCAGGCCAATACACTTGCCCATAAGACCAATTGCAGAGTCACGCACTTGGGGTGATGAGTCGCTCGAGCAGTTGATGATGAGGTGAACAACCACGGAATCTCCATCAAGGATAGCAGGATCTGTCTCCAAGAGCTGGTTGATGCTCTTCAGACTCTTGCTTCGGACAGTAGCTTGATCACTAGCCATAGCTTTGAGAAGCACATTGAGCATAGCCTGAAAATGTTCGCAGAATGGCGACCGGAGCAAGATAGTCGCGTATGAGAGCTTTGTATGCATGTTGCTGACGTCCTTAAATGTGTACTCATTCGACAGCCACCGGGGATCTTCAATCATCATGCGAAGTCGGAATGCGAGGCGGCCGAATTCCTGATCAATTGATTCATTAGTCTCTTGCATCGCATCGTATCCGGCAATAATTCTGTAAGCCCAGTCCGCGATCATGAAGGAAATGGCGCCCTGTAGGTGAGGATCGTCGCTCCGGCGCTGCTGAAGATGCTCGAGAGTCGTTCGATACGGTCCTGACCAAGATACGTCATGTTCGACACGGGACTTTTGCTCCAAAGCGGCCGTGGCTAGCTCCGATAAGTATTTGGACAGCCCATTTGATTCACTAATGTCCATAGAATTCGCGGTTCTGCGGACATGTGATCGCAGTTTGGAGATCGCAGCACTCATGACACCAAGTAATTCGAGGGCCATGTTTTTGGCCGGTGCCGCAGATTTCTCTCCCTCCCACAGCTGCATCATGTAGTAGGTCAACTGGCGTAGAATGAGCTCCGCAGAAGGCCAGTCCGGAGAGTCGAGACATTCCGTAAAGTCCTCGACGAAAAGGTCTAGGAGGTTGCGATAAGGTGTATCACCAGACTTGGTGGACTTCAGAGCGCGATTCACTATGAAGTTGACAACGTAGTTAGCGTTGTGCGTCGCGCCTTCCGTCAAAGGCAGTGCCACGGCCTTTAGCTCTTCCAATGCAAGCCGGTGCTGAGAGGCTCCCGCTTCCTCGGACTTGACGGTGGCAATGATATTCGGCTTCCCCTGAGTATGCATCTCCTGGTCCTCGTCATCATCATCCACCATTGCTAGTCGACTGCGGGCGCCCTTTTCCTCCACTTTGCCGGAGCTAGCCTGAACAAGACGCATGATCAACGCCGATACGGGTTGGATACTTCCACCATTTGCTAGACGGAATTGCCGTGCGCTCTGCTTGCCAACAGGCAGCTTCTCCAGCGAGGTAAGAATATCATCAAATATGCCACGACGCTGATCGGGCTTGGCGAGGAAGATCTGGCAAAGCATGTCCATAGCAACAAGACGTATGCCGTCAAACTTCTGGACCCCAACGACAGAATCTTTCTCCAGATAGGCATTGTCCACAAATAAGAGATTTGATGCAGTAAATTCCAAGGTGCCGAGAGCTGTGTCCGACAGCTCGATGGTGGTAACGAGCTTGGCAAGTAATGCAAACAACTTCTGGCAGTTTGTCAAAACTGGTCCAATCGCCTTCTTGTGTGGTTGCAGCATTTTGAACAAGGCAGACGATGAGCCAGATCCCCTCATTTCAACGATGGGGATGATGATACCTTCAACGACACCTTTGAAGACATCGATGGACTTCTGGATGATCGTCTCTGCATAAATTTGCTTCTCCTCTCTACCACCACACATTATGCGCAAGCAAGTGCGAGCAGTTTTAAGCCCCATCTCAATCTCTGGCAGCTGGTTAAACCAGCCCGCAACTTCCGACTCACCCCAAGACTCCTCAACCCTAAAGTCCAGGTTCAGCATATGCGTTAAACCGGCTTCGCTCAGCCTTTGAATGTATTGAAGGTCTTCGATAGGGGCTCTATCGTAGCTTCCGAGATCGATAGTCTTCTGTATTGCAGTCTGAAGTTTTTGCTGGGTCGAGGCAGTCAAGATAGCCTCGCCGTCGCTGCCTCGGGTTCCGACATGCTCATATCCTGGTTCGCCTCCAAGCACACCTCTAATGGCCTCGAAAACGCTTTTCGTCAATCGCTCAAATTCCTGTAGTGCCGCTTCTGCTCGCTGTATTTGGTTAAGATTTGTATTAATCTCTTCCTGCCTGTTTTGGTAAGCGCTATCTTGTCTACGCGCGGACAAGCCCATTGGCTCGTCTGGCGAGTTGGGAACTGGCATTTCCAGATATTCGTCCTTGTTAAAGCCAGGAGCATGAGAAAGATCTATAGTGAATGAGCCTTCTCTTGGAGTAACTGATGCTCCTGGCGGTGTAGACTTCTTGGGTGCAATTTGCACAGCGCCAGGCTGGGCAGGAGCGAGTGTAGTGGATTCAGCAGGAGTGACTGGGGCAGGAACTGCCTGGGGAGTTGTTTGAGAAGGCGCAGGCTGCAACTGTTTATGGCTTTGCGTAGGAGTTTGCTGAGCGGAAGGAGGCTGGATTGGGGCTGAGGGTTTCCGGTCTTCAGACTTGATAGTAGGTTGTGGAACTGAGCCATCGGGGATTTCTACGTATGCGCTGGGATCAAATTTCTTTGAGGGAATGGCAACCTCAAACTTGAAATTATTTTTTTGGTGTGTTTCGGGAGGACCTGGTGTATGCTTTGATTGGGATGCAACGCTCTTCGGTGTTGGAGGATGTTGTGACTGAGCAGGTACTTGTCCATTTAGAGGGGCATGGCCAGGCGCTCCAGGGGGCGGTTTGATGAAGGTTGGAGCTCTATCAAACATCATCTTGGCTACCGGAGAGAGACCAGAGATAAGGCTCTGGACACCGCCCGTCGGGTTCGCATTCGAGTTGACGTTCGGTTTAGGTACGGACTTAAACTTGCTGTAAGGATCACAAGGTCAGCATCCATCATCTTGCGACCGGAAGTCCTCAGTCTCACTAGTATGTCCTTTGGTTCGGCTTCAAATCGTGAAGAACATGATCGACGGCGTATTTCAGGTGCTTCAGCCCTCGGTTCTGATTCGGACCTGTCGCCTCTGTGTTGAGGTTCTCGAACTCTTGGCTGTTAAAGAGGTGAGAGACGCTGGCTGCAAGCGATCCTGAACCGATAGTCGGGTCTGGAATCAGGTCTGGCAGATGTCAGCACAATAAAGCCTAAGCCCATAAGCCATAACATACCGGACGTAAATGGGATGACAGAGGTCTGTGGAGAATAAGGCAACGCCTCCGGGAGTGTGAATGGCCGCGCCATGGGACGCTGTTCTGCAGCTTGAGGCTGCATATAGCCTCCATTAGGAGGGCCACCCGGCATGACTCCTTGGCCGTTCACCATTATGATAGTGTCCTCGGACCTAGGCCTTTCCTACAAACATATTACCGAGTTAGATGTAGAATCGAAGCAATGAGGTTCGGTTGGCGAGTCGCGCGCTCGGAGGTGGTCGCATCTACGGAGGAAACGTCTGTCGTTTACGGAGCCAAGCGGGCAATCTAGTGGAAGGCTGGTGATAGAATTGGAGTGGGTTGCATCATCCTTTGATTGAGAGAATCTCAACTGCAACAGGCAAACGTCGAGCTGCGATCCGTCGACGTTGTCGTGTATGGGATGGAGAGTGGGAAGGTTGCGACAGCCTCGCGAGGAAAGACCCTTGTTCGATCCGTGGTCCGTGCGTGAGCTTAGCCCAGCCAGTGGCCAGTTGTTCCGTTCCTGACTCTCACCCCCCAGATACTGTTGCTGCCTTGCCTTGTCTTGTACTATGTATCGGTTAATCCGGCACCGGGCGGCTCCTCCCCTGATAAGAATAGTGCCGATAAGGGAGAGAAGACCGATAACGATAATGCCTGCCGAAAATCTTCCAGAGAAATATTTTGTCGGTCTCTTTGCCGCGACATTCCGTTGAAGATAGAAAGACAGCGATACCTCAACCGTGACAATACCAACTCATTAGCGCCACAATGTCTGCCATTGGAACCCTTGTCTTCTGCAACGACTGCGGCAACTTGCTGCCCGCGTCCATGGGCACTGAGAAAAACACTCTCGTCTGCGACTGCTGCGGCGCCGACAACAAGGGTACGTCAATCACTGGCGAATACTTTGCGACACCCCCCACTCACAGTTGAGTCCTACAGACACCGGTTCCAAGACGATCATTACTCAGACGAAGCCCTCCGATTTCCCTTCCCAGTTGAGACAAAAGTTGCAATCGAACGTTCAGACGGTCGACAGGAACATCAACACCGAGGCCACGATTAGAGAAACGTGCCCCAAGTGCGGAAGAGAGGAAGTTCGCTTTACTGCTGTGCAGCTCCGCAGTGCAGACGAAGGCAGCACCATCTTCTTCACCTGTGATTGTGGCTTCAAGTATGACTTCCCTTTTGACAATGCAGTGGACTTATTGAGAGACGAAATGCTGACGATTTCCAGGTGGTCTCATAACAACTGAAATACACTAAACTTTTTGCCCGTCGCTTTTAAGTACCTTATCCCAACTAAAGATCTAATTCCCGCCCAACCTAAACGAACTACCACGTATACCCTTCCCATGTGCTTCGTTTAAGCAGCCGCCTTGGCCCCCTCAGGGATCAACGCATACTCCGCCTGCCCACTGGCCTCGTACTCAGCCATGTCAAGGGCAACGATGACACTCTCGCGTACGACCTTCTCCTTGTCGTGCAAGAACTTCAAGAGCGTCGCCTCGACGCCCTCCTCGTCACCAAGGCTTCCCAAGGCCTCGGCAGCCTCATGGCGCACCATGCTCGCCTCCTCGGTGTTGCTAAGCGCCGCAGTCAACGCGGGGATAGAAGCTGGGTGCGATAGCTGGCCAAAGACAAAGGCAATCTCGTGACGGAAGAGAGCGGATGAATCGGCGAAGCCCTTTGCCAGGGCAAGCACAGCGGGGACGGCGGTGGGCAGGTCGGGCGGCGACGCAAGGTCGCGCAGGGCGAACATGGCGCGGTATCGGAGGAAGAGGGGCAGCTTGGGGTCCAGGAGGGTCTTCTCAAGGTCCTCAACGCTGCGCTGCGACTCCTCCATGGGCGGCGCGGGGTCTACAGATGTGAAGTCGCTAAGCGGGTATAGGCGTTAGCACATAGAACATGATACCCTTGATTCCAGAAATGTGCGCGTAGTTTTCTTTGGTATCGTACCTCTTACGAAGCTTCTCCTGCTTCCTCTGCTCGGAGTTCTCCCACTCAATGCGGTCGATGGCAATCTCGCAGGTCTCTACAATGCAGACATCCTCTCCCTTACGGTCCCTGAACTCCTTCAGGATCTCCAGCTGGCCCTCGTCGCCCAGCGCGCCCAAGGCCTCAGCGGCCTCGTGACGGCACATGGGGTCCTCCTGCAGGTCCTTCAGGACAGCGCGCAGCGGCTCCACGGCGTAGAGGTTGCCGGTCTGGCCAAGGCAGTATGCGAGCTCATGCTTGAGCAGGGCCGAGGGCGAGGCGAATCCGGCGGCGATGGCATCGATGGCAGCCTCGCTGTCGGGGCCCTTGGACTTGGAGGCGACGTGCTTTAGGGAAAAGAGGGCGCGGAAACGGAGAGGGAGGGGGCTAGTCTCGGACGTGAGTGTCTGGCGCAGCTCGGCGATGGTCTGGGCCTGTGACTCGTCGGCGGCGGCAGCGATGGCCTCGAGGGCCTCGCGGGACTCGGGGATCTCAGCGGTGGAAGACATGATTGCTGTCTATAGGGTATCTGTATGCAAAGACGGAAAAGACTTGAAAAGAAAGGGTAAGAAATTGGACAAAAATAAAGCTGAAAGGGGGGTAAAAACGAGGAGAGGAAGAAAGAAAGCGAGGCGTGGGCCGATTTTCTAGAGGGTTACGTACGAGGGAAACAACTTACCTCCGAGCGGTGGTGCGGGCGGCGCGGGCTTGGGACAGTCAGTCACTGCTCAGTTTGCGGATCTGATAAAGAAACTGTAGAAATTTTGCGAGGGGCAACAGCGGGGTGTTTTTGGCTCCGATAAGATCTGCCCCTCACTGAAGGCCACCCTGTAGCCCTGTAACGGTGCCCACCACAGACCCAGCCACAGGACAGCCCGCATTCTGCACGAAATCAGACGAGGGGTTTCTGCTGAGTTTTGTGGTCTCAGTCGGAAAATTCCCGTCATAGGTCGCAGTTTTCGCACTAGCATCAACGAACAACAAGCCTTCCACGGTCTATTAGTCTAGTTGGTTAGGACGTCGGATTCTGATTAACACCAGAGCCTTCCGTAAGCCCAGGTTCGAATCCTGGATGGACCTATCCTTTTGTTTTTGCTGCCGACGTTCGTGATCTCTCTTCTTCGTTTGTGTCCCTACACCTTTCCCACGGAATCTTTACTCATGATTAGAAATAACAAGAAACTTTGTCATGTTTAGTTGTCAATAGATTGGGCATCGCTAGTGACTCTATTAAGTGGGGTTCCATCTCCGCGGGTCGACCGTGGATTTGAGTGTGTTTCGCCACCACTCACTCACAACAACTTCTTTTGTCAACCATCGCTCACTCACTGCAACCTTTATTCGCATCGGCGCATCGACAAAAGCCTCTCAATTAACAGGCTTATTATACCAAGTGATATTCACCGCTGTCAAAAAAAAACGTAGGAACTCATCTTTCACTCCTGTTACTCATAAGGTCCCCATTTTTGACGCTGCGACAGAGCCACTAGTTGAACCCGGCTTATCAATCAACTTGACATCAAGTCAACGCCGGTCCCGGAACTTTCGCCTCAAGGAGACAATATCTCATCCCGCCATACGTCTCTCTCCAACTTTGACCAACTTCACCTTCATCCACCACACACACAGACATACACACACACACATACGCTCCTCGCCAGCTCGCCAAAATGGCACCCTCACACGAGGCGGACACTGAAACCTCCGTTCAGGATGTCATCTCCAACCCGCAAAAACAAGCTCCTGAACTCGTCGCCCCAGAACCGGAGCACTGCCCGGGCCCCGAGTCCGCCACAGCAGGCACGGCAGACTCCTGTGCCGGCTGCCCGAACAAGGAAATCTGCGCCGCGACGGCAACCAAGGGCCCGGACCCAGACATCCCCATCATCTCGTCACGGCTGTCCTCCATCTCCCACAAGATCCTGGTGCTGTCAGGCAAAGGCGGCGTCGGCAAGTCAACATTCACAACCCTCCTGGCGCACGCCTTCGCCACAAACCCGGACAGCAGCGTGGGCATCATGGACACGGACATCTGCGGGCCTTCGATCCCCAAGATGCTCGGCGTCGAGACGGAGACGATCCACGTCTCGGGCGCAGGCTGGTCGCCCGTCTGGGTCCTCGACAACCTCGGCGTAATGTCGATCCAGTTCATGCTGCCGGACCGCGACGCGGCCATCATCTGGCGCGGGGCGAAGAAGAACGGTCTCATCAAGCAGTTCCTCAAGGACGTCGAGTGGGGTGCCCTGGACTTCCTCCTGGTCGACACGCCGCCGGGGACGAGCGACGAGCACCTCTCGGTGAACACGTTCCTGCGTGAATCCGGCATCGACGGCGCCGTGGTCGTCACCACACCACAGGAGGTCTCCCTGCTCGACGTCCGCAAGGAGATTGACTTTTGCCGCAAGGCCGGGATCAAGGTCCTCGGTCTCGCGGAGAACATGGCGGGCTTCGTGTGCCCCAAGTGCACGAACCAGAGCGAGATTTTCAAGGCAACCACGGGAGGCGGACGGGCGCTGGCCGAGGAGATGGGGATTCCGTTCCTGGGGAGCGTGCCGTTGGACCCGCGCATCGGTATGGCGTGTGACTACGGAGAGAGCTTCTTCGACAGTTTCCCTGATAGTCCCGCATGTTTAGCGTTCAAGGAGGTGGTGAGGAATGTCAGCAAACAGATGGGGCTGAACGAGAAGGAGGTGCTGCCGGAATAGATCTGGTCTTATGGGTGTATTTTCTTTTTCGTTTATATCACGAGTTACGTTTAAAATTCAAAGATATCCCGTTCGCGCACACCATTCTCAGCTTGAAGACTTGTATTATGTACGCTTGCTGCATACCACCATCCCGCTCCATTGTGACGGCCAGCCTGTCTGTTTCTATGTGTACCATCCATATGCCCTCAGTATGTTTTGTTTTATTTTAAATCATGCAGCGCCCAGCTTCTCTGGTATCTCCTCCAAGTCCTCGACGTCTTGTATGTCAATCACACGACCGACCTCGCTCGTGTTCCGCATCAGCTCCTTGGCGCCGGCGTAGAGCATGCGGATCTCGCTGTTGCAGGTGATGGGGAGATAGTAGAGCAGTACGTAGGGCACCGACAGGCGGCCGGAGGGCTGTGCGTCTCGTCAGTCCTATTGTATTTCTTCCAGCTGGATATTTTTGGTGAGAGGAGGGCTCATACCAGCGTAAGCGGGTAGCTCAGCAGAACGAACCGCGGGCTGTGGTCTGGTAGGTCGTCTCCGATCTCCTCGAGCGTCTTGTACACGACCTTGTCGTCATCCTGCTTGATCTCGTGCGTGTTCTTGTCGATGTAGTCTGTGGTGGCGAGCTGTAAGCAAACGTCGCGCCTCGTGTTGTCTAATTTATTGAATCGCGGAACAGACAGCTAGGAGACGCACATACAGATAACAGCTTGAGGGTCGTTCGACCGCGAGGTTCCGAGACGGAACTTGCGCAGGTGGTCCTTAGTCTCCTGCGAGAAGGTATAAAGTCTCGACTCGGACGCCTGAAAAATCGTTCAGAACGAAGTCAGCGCTGTGATCAGACGAGACAGCCACGCGGCCGGGTCAGAGAAAGCTTGCGCACCATGACTGCTTAGGTCTAAAGGCGGGGTGGGCGCTTAGGAATCGAGCAAGGAATTCGAAGTCGCCTAAGAGTGGGCGACAAAGTATTCGACGATACAATAGCTTGAGGAGTACCAGAACCAAAAATCAATGAATAATCAAGCAACCAAGAAGAAGAGTTGCTGGCTTCGACAAATGACTTCTCAGGGTCCAACGACCGATGCTTGATTCGGGTCGCCACACTAAGGACGTCAGACCAAAAAGTCAAGCCACCCCTCACTCCCCTCCCCTCCCCTCCCCCCGCTCTTCTGGCGGGCAAAAGCTGAGACCGGCGTCCAACTCAGTACCCGTAAGCACCCAAAACAGCAGGCCCCGCCATACACTAACAGTACATAGCAGAGAGCTGTGAGAGGATGCCCCACCAGTGACCTCACCCGCCGACTAGTGGGGCTTACAGCTGGTATAGTGACGCCGACATTCTCCCAGGGCACCTCCGAACAACGGCGGCCACTCGTTCAAGTTTACACTGCAAGCTCGCGACTTTCAATACATAGCCGTCCGTCCATTTTACTTGACGCGTATCCGCTCCGTTCATTAACTTGATTCGTGCGATTCATCAACCTTCCTTTCTGCAAAGCCCGCAAGAGACATACGCACATACAATTGGCCAGTATCCAAACCATTGCGTGCGTTCCCACTCATCCGCAGTCTTACCGTTGGTCATTCCTTTTTCCTTCCAAACATCGTTCCTGACAAAACCCAAAATAGACACGGTCAGAGAGCTCCATGTTCTCCCGCCTGTCCCAGCTGTCTCGGCATCTTCCCTCGGCGCAAACAATAGTAAACGCCGTCAAGCCCCCCGCCGCTCCGAGCTCCGGTCTCGCCCGTAGAATCATGGTCTCGGCGGATGAGCGAAACACCCGCATGATCCACACGGCGGCGTGTCTGATCATCGGAGATGAAGTTCTCGGCGGAAAGGTGACTCATTGTCCGTATCCGGCCTGAGATTATCAACATACTGATGCATTCGTAGACGGTTGATGTGAGTGTGGCCCCGCGTCATGGGGTCGACCTAAAGGCTTGGAAGGCGTATTAACCCATTGGTCAGACCAACTCGGCCTACATGGCCAAGTGGTGCTTCAACCTAGGCATTGTAAGTTGGCATCTGGGACCAGTAGAGGCCCTATGCCAATGCTGACCCGAAACTAGAACCTGAAGAGAGTCGAAGTCATCGAGGATGATGAGAGCGAAATCATTGAAGCAGTACGGCGGATGAGTGACCGCTACGACTTCGTAGTCACTAGGTTGGTACTCCGAGCCGAACAACTTTGAGAAAGAAGCTAACGGGATATTACAGCGGCGGAATCGGGCCAACGTAGGTTTTTGGACTAGCCAATTCACAGATCATTGCTCATCGATGACAGGCACGACGACATCACTTATCAATCAATAGCCAAGGCCTTTGATCTACCTCTGGTCCTCAACCAGGACGCTTTCGAACGCATGAAGAAACTCTCCAAGCCACACCCGAATCAGCCAAACTTTGACTGGAACGTCGACTCTCCCGCGCTGCAGGCCAAGCTGAGAATGGTCATCCTCCCTACCGATGAGAAGCGCGATCCCGCCAAGCAGTTCCTCTTCCCCCACGATGATCTCTGGGTGCCGGTCAACGTCGTCAACGGCAACATTCACATCTTGCCCGGCGTTCCGCGGCTTTGTAGGTCATCCCCTAGAGACATGAGTCCGGTAAGGACCGACTAACACGCCGACAGTTGAGAAGCTCTTGGACGGACTGAAGCCGGTCATTGTGCCCCGACTTACCGACCCGGAGGGTAAGGGTCTCTGCCGAGTTCTCATCTCCACCCCGCTTCCGGAGAGCGCCGTTGCTGCTTATCTGACACAACTCGCGGCCAAGGTGGAGCCAAAGGGTGTCAAGGTCGGCAGCTACCCTCGATGGGAACAGAACGGTACGGTGACGCTTGTCGGAAGGTAAGTTGACATTTACTCGGGCCGCGCCGCAATTTTGATTCCATTTTCAGGGTTCCCTCTGAGAAGGGAAAAAATACCACCCAAAAAAAAAAAAAAAAAAATACTAATCCTCTTACAGGGACCAGGCGTACATCGAAAGCATCATAGATGAGGTTATCGAGGGCGTTCAGGGTAAACGTGTATACGTTGAAGGAGAGGATGACACCGCCGCCGCCGCCGCCGCCGCCGCAGCGAGCAAAGGCGAGTGAGTGATTCTGTAGAAACTCAAATTAGTTAGCTAGCAAAACCCCCCCACGATCCGAAAAGCATGGCGCCGATGCGGCAATTACATGTCCTTGTCGTCGGATTTCCCGACTGTAACCTTGTCATCTCGAATAGGTGATTACACTACTGCACGACCATGGATGTGGCTGTTTCTCGCTGCGCGGTAGATGCAATGTTGTTGCTGGTCATCGGCTTTCTGAATTTGATACGGATACCGAGCATCACAACTACCTGCTCGGTGTCCAGACTCGGATTGGCTCGCCGCACTTTCGTGACGCTGCCGTACGATAGAGAGAGAGACCTGGGTCTCGTCCGGGTCAACCTGGCGGGAGGCAGGCGGCGCAAAACGCGCAAAGACCACACGTGGGGACGGTCCTCGCCAGACCTGGAAGCCAATTTCGGCCCACGTGGAGAGCGAGGTGGGAATCAAATCGCAGATCTTCTAATGGTGCGGGAGAAGGGCAACTCTCGCACAGACTGACTCGACGTCGCAAGACAATTGATCCCGTAATTCCAGACGCTGCCAACCATCCATTTGGCCAGGGTCGAAAGGCAGGCTCAGTATCGTAAATTGGGGTTTCGACGTAATGCATCCCCGGGTACCCGTATAGAGGTGTGGTTACCACGCGCAGATTGCAGATTAACAGCTGCAGAGTCAGGGGCCGATCGAAATGATTCTACTTGGCTTCTAGAAAAGTTGTTGTTGTTGAGCACGCCGTGGGGGCAGTCTTTTGTGTTACCAATAAGATAATAGGACCCGCGAGCGAGATATGGCATCCAGTTACCTACCGATTGGAGACTGGCTTCGTTTCGACGGGAGATGAGTGTGGGTTGGAACTCGGTGCTATCTTGGATTAATGCTTGACAACATTTGGCTAGGTCCCCGTCGCGTGACGGCACGATGGGGCAGTCGCTTGCGGATCCTTATCGACGACTTCTTTTGGCGTATCCGTACATAGCAATAGGAGAATCCTCTGAAGACTCCTAGCGACCACACTTCGGTCACGCTATGCCTGTTGCATCGAGTCAGCCGAATATGAAGACGTGATGGAAGGTCGGTTCATGCTCCACAAAAGTATGTCTGCGAAGATAACCCAGTCGTTGTTGCAAAGGTCACCTCAAACGACATGGATCCGTTGTTCATCGGTTGGCCTATCGGGCATTTCACCACGCCAAAGTGATCCCGCACTGTGCTCTGGTTCAGCTTTGGGGCCAGGTCCCTTCGGGTGTCAGGAAAAAAAGACCAAATGTGAAGCATGGTTTAAGGTCAGGCCGGTGCTTGTATATCGGTGTTGGGGGAGACAAATGCCCGACATGATAATACTCCAGGGCCAGCTCTTGATTATCGGCCTCATCAAGATGGTAATACCCATTACTGACTTACTATGCCCGACTCGGCCGCAGTCTAGGGCCGTCCTCTGACCCAGACAAGGCTTCTAGAAGCTAAGACCCAACACATTTATCACAACGCCTTGTAGCGAAGCGATCACTAACAAGGCGACGTGTTTAGTGCCAGCGCCCAAATCCGGGGCACGAATTTAGTGTTCACTAGATGTCTAGGCTCCAAGGTTATCCACTGTCTAATGAACCATAGAACAAATAGGTTGTGGACCATAAGTCGCTGAGAGGCGATTTTCCCCATTAGACAATCATTCGTGTGGTATGTTGGGTGATACGAATTTGCTTGACACGGCGAACGGCCCCGTTAAGGTGACTTGCATCTTCTGTTGTGGGTGTCGTGCATTCATCCATCCCCAGATGGCCTGTGGATGCCCCTGTCACCTCCACTTGAAAGACCAGAAACCTGTCGAGGGGATCAAAAGAAGAGTCCTGAGCGCAACATCATGGTAGATCGACACAAAATGCTAGTAGAACTTCGAGTAACACGATCGGCACTGTCTTACTGGTTATGACAGCTTGGAACGGATAAGAGGCCGGACGCGTGGGACGGTGCGATGGAGGATGTACTCCTGCGCTTTGGCCCTTGGGGCATTTGACCCTGCACGATTAATGGCGCCTTCACGAAATCCGATTGACGGTTTGGGTCGCTGGACCCGAAAGGAAGTATATAATGAACTTGGCGTATTTGGCGGTGCGCATGGACAGCCACTCAAGATCTGACGGCTCACGAGGCGTTGGCTGGCGGTTGTCTGACGACAGTCGCAGCGCAGTCAAGGCGCTCTGGCAGAAGGAGGAGCGAAGTTGAGATGTCAGGGCAAAGCAAAGTTGGCCCATGTCCGGGTGGTCTGCAGGGATGTCAGTATGGGCGACAGTGTTCCGGTCTGGAGTTTTGAGTTATGTTGCGGCGAAAGTTTAGCTAAACGGAAGATGACAATCCATGCCCATTCTGACGCTTCATTGCTTCAACACGTCCGGGGCAGAAGCAAGCTCGACCTGCTCTGTCATAATGACAGAAGCCACCTAGCAGCTTTTGCGGTATGGGGTGCAGTAGCCCATGCACTGTTGCGCCGTTGAAACAGAAAGCTTGAAGTAGCCAAAGAATGAACGAGGGGATGTCCATTACAGCGCTACAACTGGAAGAATAGGAATGAAATGTGATTAATAGTCCGGTCCTTCATGACAGGCATCATGGAGCGAGGCCTTGTGCCAAGTGCTTGCTGCCGTTGCGATACCGTACCATATGGCTATGCACACGGTATAAGCTCGTCTTGTAAGCCGTCACCCGTCTTCCGTCTTACGTCTTCATTCAATTTCAACGTCAACTATACCCAGTTGGTCTTATTATCAAGATGGTACTCTGTAAGTGGATTCCGCGTGTATGCCAGTGATATCGAAACTAAGCAGGTCGCGAGAAAGGTCAAGTAATTGTGAAAGGCATTTATGTTGGCCTGAGCACATCATCCCCGTCTCTACGGACTTTCTGTTATCTCCACTGTCTTGAGTTGACCGCATGCAGCTGGGTGCGATGATGGCGTACTCGGGCAAGGGTTGGGTAGAGCCAAGTCTTTGAAGATGGTGCTCAAGTAGCCGCATTCGGTCTAAGCTGGGCTGAGGCGGTGCATTAACTCATGTCTAGGGATAGATTCTTTCACAAAAAGAGAGTATTGGTATATCAGATAGTAGCACCGCACTTCAGTCCGTATCATCAGCCGTATCAGCGAAAACTTGGGATGAGTGCCGATGTGGCACCTCATATGTGTGAGAGGCGGGAGATATTTAGCGTTCCAACGCGTTGCCCCTTGCATCTTTGCAGTCGTGACACGTCGAGGAAGTTCCGTTGTCAGATTGCCGTGTGCAGCACGAGGCATTCAAGCAAGACGGCCAACAGAGACTCGTCTTTGTCGGCTGCCGTAAGGACCGGTTCAGGCTGACAGGCTAGCAACGACTGGAATGAGAATTTCTATAAGATGTCACGATGTCTGGGCAAACATCGCCGCCACCCGACAACACACACACACCAAGACTAGCTGATTGACATGTCGACCTGGCCATGATTGTGTAGTGTAAGCTGAAGGCAACACGAAAGGTAAGGACCTTGCTTTGGTGCCCGGATGGTCAAAGCCGCCTAACGGACTTCCACGTGGACGCGGGGAACGCAAGGAGGCTCAAGTTCCAAGGTGAAGAAAGGAGGCGACGCAAGCAGATGGATCCGTAATAAAGCTGGTGGCGATTTAAAGCACCGAACCAAGGCTAGGATGTGGCAGGGAGCTGTCGAGGTTTGTAGCAGGACATTTTACATTGAGAACAGGGGTTTGAATGTTTGCCGATGGCGAGGCGGAGTTGAGCGTTACCTGCCATAACAACGAAGGGGGGCGACGAGGCGAATTTAGATGATGTTGGGGCGAGACCGGAAAGTTGTAGCGATGGCTCTCTCACTGCAAAGATTAGCTTAGGGTTGTCGTATCTTTAACTTTTACCTCGGGACGGTTGAGGGCAACCGGGAAGAGATGGAGGAGGTCTAGGCCGAGCAGCCCTTGATCAGGGTGAAGCGCAGTACGAAATGTAGAGTTTTTTTTTCATGGTGTTGTTCCATGGGTCTAAGAGGGAGATGGACATGAACGGGGGACACTGTATACACCGTGCCAATTGAAACCGGAAGGCACGTGTGGCCAGAAGAGCCCCCCTGTCTGCTGCAGCTTAGGTATCCACATTTCCGCCCCTTTAGCTACATATGGTCATGCTCCCGATTCCACTTATCGCCAATCGTCAAGGCACGGTAAAGCGGTTGGACGAGGAGCCCTGGAGCCCTGGATGAATTTATCGTCATCCTGGCCGTTGATTGGGAAAGGATTGCGGCTGTTTTTTTTGTTTTTTTTCCTTGTCATATTGTAAAGTGTCTCTGGACGACAGCAGTGACGGATAATGGTCGATCATGAACCGGCTATAATATAACCAGTTTGGTCAAGGCTATCTTAGTCCCACGCATCACCAACAATCGGCCGAGGCAGAGCCGTGGATTTTGATGCCTTTCAGTGGCTGCCAGTGTTGTAGGTGGCACAGCTAGATAAGTAGATGACGAAGAATCAACCCAAGCAAGGGCAAGAAAAGGCGGTAATGAGGTGTCACTCACTTAGCGGTAAAGTGAGATGAACGCGCACAGAAAGCGAGGTAACTCACCTCACTTGACCTCGCGTGTTATTAAAGCAATCAGACCAGTGGGGCTGTAGAACGAGGGAATGCGATACGTCTTTTTGCTCTGTTACCGTGTCGGGGGGGAAGGGGTTGTTTAGTGAGATGAAATGACTGAAGAATTGGGGGCGGTTCCAACAAGAGAGCCCATGTCGCACCACCATGAGACCAGTAACATTGATTTCATTTGATCCTGTTTTTACGCTTTAGTATTTTTTTTCGTTTTCTTTTGCTGTGAAATCACGATCTGGATGGGCAGAGACGGGAAGCTGGGGACGAGGTTTCGTCTACTCGCACTAGTTGCATATTTGCTCTATGGCAAAGGTCAATAAACGAATAAGCCCACTGTTGTGCTTCCCTGTCACAGGATTTGGGAATTGCCGCTGGCGTCGCTGCATTTCTGCCAGTGTTGGTCCTTGTTCAACAAGTACGTACCTCGGGCCACTCTTCCCTCTGTTGCCTTACAAAGTAGGATTCCCCATCTCACACTCGCATCTCAATTCGACCTGCGCGAACCGCAGTACAACACATGCGGATACCACCCCCCCAGTCCGCCTTCGATATCCCTCACCTCATTGATCGATGAGCTTGCGCTCTGTGGCGTCCCCCCCCCCCCCCCCTTGGAGTCTTGGGCCCCCTCGCCTTCTCGCTGTTAAAGTCTGCAGGCGTCTGCACTGGGCCTCTTTTTATGGTTCCAGGCCCCCCCTGCTGCAGCCCGACGCTACTGCACAAGAAAGCCGCCGCGACAAACTCACCAAGAGTTCCTTTTTTTTTTCTTCTATCCCCAGTCAAGTGGCACTTTCACCAGAGCCATCTTCGTTATCCGTACTGTAGTTGTCACCCGAATTTTGTTTTTCCCTCTTTCGGTGTATCTAAAGGAGGACGGCCAATTCCATGGCAAAGTAGGATTGCACTCGGTATTGACTGCCAATACGACCACGATTTTAATATTCTCATTCCCATGCCCAGACCTCGTCGGAGTCCGGCCCATGCGACTACCAGTCAATGAAGCAACGTTGGCGCCAGCGCAATAGCGCTTCCGTCAGATAGATGCTAAATAACCTACGGATGTGTGCTGCTACCTCCCACTGCACTCTGTTTGTTGCGTAGCGCATGCGTACCCTAGCATTAGTGTGTGTGCCTCGAGAAGTGCCTGGGCTGTCTGCAACTGTAATCGTCAAATCATAACTTGAGCGCTAACACCGGGCCTGCGCTGACCAACCGCATCCACCCAATTCTGCCTTGAAGCAAGAGAAAGCGACTAATAGGAAGTCAAAGTGCCTGGGTTAGGTAGAGCGAGCGAAAAAGCGCTTGGTGTGGCAGAAGCCGCGCGCATTGGGTCTCTCGTCTCGTCTCATAAAAAGGAGGAAGAGGAGGAAGGGTGAACCGAGAAAAAAAAAAAAACCAGGAAACAGGAAGTATCATTAGAGACCGAGATGGGGGGAGGACTGCTGGCACTCCCAGTGCTTCTAGAGTGTACTTCACTGTACTGGTTCCTAGGTAGTAAAAGCCATGGTTAAGGTACCGTTTCTGGATAAGGAGAGAGTGAGAGGGACCAGGCAAGGACAGTGAGAAACAGAGACGGACGGAGAGAAGGAGATGACAAGAAGGTCCAGGCAAGGCACAGGGCGGGTGCTAAGGCCGGCTCTGGCACCAGTGTAGGGAGAGGTAAGGTGAGGTGCCTCAGGGAGGTAGGTAGGTGTACGGATAGGTACCTTGCCCTGTTTCTGTGGGAAGTAGGTACTTGCCGTTCCTGTTCCCCTCCTTGCCAAAAAAGCAAGGGCCCTCGAAAGAGGTATCCGCAGATACAGGGGAGGGTACAAATTGGCTTGTGCAGGGCCATTACGATTTTCCGCCGTGCTGCAGCTGCAGGAGCAGGAGCCCCGGTAAAAGGGTAAAAGGGACCTGCTGGATGGCCCTAGGCAAAGCAGGTTACCTTAGGTAAGTGGCTCCTTCCTTACGACTGGACCGACCCGTTCCCCCATCTCCACATTTTGCCAAAAAGCCCCCCTTAGCAACGAAACACCACCCCATTCTCTCGTTCTCCTTCTCGAAAGACTGTCTGCTGTCAGTCCCGGATTTCTGCCATCGAACCTCGTCGTTTCACCTTTAAACTTCGCAATCCGGCCTGTGCCGTCCTAGATTCCCGCCCGACGTTTCGCTCGCTGCAAATCCGCCTGAATATCAACCATTCGAGCCCCTTCCCGATCTCCCATCTGGTCCATTCCCCTAGTCCGCCTGGCTCCTCCTGACTTGCCATCCGGATTCCAGCGTCGCCTGCCTTAGCTGCTGCTTCGAGCCATCAACAAACACCACGAGGAAGCCCGTCGTCATCATCGACATCTTCAACCACATACACACATCACAATGGCCTCCAAGGTTCGTCTCTACATGTTCGCATTCCTCATTCGTCGTCCAGCCCCCGTTGCTAACCTGTCATGTCATCTCGCAGTTTCTGAGGGAGTACAAGCTGGTCGTCGTCGGCGGCGGTGGTGTCGGTAAATCCTGCTTGACCATTCAATTGATCCAGAGCCATTTCGTCGACGAATATGACCCGACAATCGAAGGTGCGTCGCTCGACAGTTCCCATCGTCCCATGATGCGACCGCAAATTAATCGCGTGCTAACCTCATCATCCCATTTGCAGACTCCTACCGCAAGCAGTGCGTCATTGACGAGGAGGTTGCTCTGCTCGACGTCCTTGATACCGCCGGCCAGGAAGAGTACTCGGCCATGCGAGAGCAGTACATGAGAACAGGAGAGGGTTTCCTGCTGGTCTATTCCATTACTTCGCGACAGAGCTTCGAGGAAATCACCACATTCCAGCAACAAATTCTGAGAGTGAAGGACAAGGACTACTTCCCCATGGTTGTCGTCGGCAACAAATGCGATCTGGAGGGTGAGAGAGAGGTCACACGACAAGGTATGATTCCTGCCACGCCGCATTTTCTATCCCAACTGCTGCGATATGAAGACTGACACTATTTTTTTTTTCTTTCGCTCTACAGAGGGAGAGGCTCTTGCCAAGTCTTTCGGCTGCAAGTTTATCGAGACATCGGCCAAGTCCCGCATCAACGTCGACAAGGCTTTCTACGATATTGTTCGCGAGATCCGGAGATACAACCGCGAGATGCAGGGCTACTCGACGGGCAGCGGCGGCGCCTCAGGCATTAACGGCCCACCAAAGCCCATGGACGTCGAGAACGGCGAGCAAGAAGCAGGATGCTGCTCCAAGTGTGTAATAATGTGAGCGGTTTCTTTGCGACATTGAGAGAGCGGGAGGGGGGTAGTGGCGAACCGAGCGGCCACGGGCATGGAAACATCTGGGCCTTGACTGGGCTGGTGGATGCTGGCAGGATGCTAAATGCACGGTTTCTTCGTCCAGACTCTGAGGCGGCCCAAGCTGGCCCTCTACTGAGTCAGGAACGGAGACGACATGTTGACGCGGGGATCAATGATCAAAAACTTGTTTGTGCTGCATCGGACGGGGAGTCGGATTCTGACTTGCTGCACTTTTGGACCATGTTTTCTTTCAAGGGCAACTTCATGGACATGGCCGCGTCACTAGAGATGTATGGATGGCGCGGGGAGGTGTGTGAGCCTTTTGACAGGGCTGTCAAAGGGTGTCACTCATCAGATGTCATGGAGAAACCATAGGGCTACGGGCATGTTTGTTCACCAGCCTGGTTGATGGCCTCCAAACCTCGCGAGGGGCAGACTCGAGATTCTTTACGCACTGGGGGGGCCATTTTGAGACCAAAAATCGGCTCGTCTCTGTCTCTTCTTTATATCGGTACTCCTTTTTTCTTCTTTTCATACTGTAATTTTCTTCTTTCTTCCGAGACACCGCGAGGTTTCGAGGTCAGAGTCAGTGGTCAAGTCATACAAATTCCCTTTTTTCGTTAGTTGAACCCAGAGGTTATGCCTGTTTTGGATTTCATGTGATGTTGACGAGCCAAACATCCGCTGTGTCCTTGTAGTGTCGGGACTACGCCTTTGGTCATGTGAGTAAGAACTCCTGTGGTTTTAGAATACTGTCTTTAATAGCAATATGAGGTGTTGAGCTTGAAGCTGTACTGATGATGTGTGGATGGCGAACTGTTCCTCTCTCACGGTATTTGCTACTTGGTATGAAGTAAGTAAGCACAAGTCTCGAGCCATGTCCAAGATTCAACTACGGAAAGAAAGCATCACCAAATGATGTGACCAAATAGCATCAAACGAGCTGGTGTGAACAGAGAGAATATTCACGTCCCAGTTCCAGTTCCGGTTCTAGTTCCAGTTTCAAGTCCGCGTACCCAGCAGGATGTTGAAGTGGCTCGCTCGCCCACCTCTCAACAACTCACATGTCGAATCCAACCACTCACTCACATTCACAAACACATACACAGCCCCCTGCCTCATTAACTAATGCAGCCAACCCCCCTCCTCATGCAAGAAATCTCAACGGCTGCTTTACGGCCCCCTCCGTCGGCATTATCGATCAACCACCCGCATAGCCTGAAAGAAAGAAAGAAAGTACGAAAGATGTCACAACCAAGAATGCTTTCTTTTTCCATCGTCTATTTCTTTCCAAAACAAAGCTGCAAGCCTCCGTACGTTTCACCACTCACCGCCATGGTGGTATTCACCGAAACCTATGCTAAAAAGTCTCCGTCCCCCGTGGTTATCCAATCCTAAACCGCGACCAATCCCTCGGCGTACGCTCCGTATGCTTCAGCGGGCCCAATCACCATATCCTGCTCAGTCTCCCTTACTTCCCCAATGTTCCCTACCTCGTCATAGCAACAAAAAACCACAGGTCGTTCATCTAAGGAAAACCCAACCTACAATCGGAAATTATGACGGCATGTCAGCAGGAGGAGGAGAATGAGGAGGCGGCAGAACACTGCCCCAGTGCTGCTTTACAAGCGTCGCGGGAACCGTCCCGCCCAACCACCGCTGAACACCATCCCTCAACGCCGGCTCGAAGCTCTCGGCCACGACACCCTGGCAGTTCAAGCACAGGTAGACCAGCGACCCCAGGAAATCCCCCCCGAGGTCCGTCTTACCGGTGCCGCCGCCCTTGCAGAAGAGACACGCGTCGGGGCCGTAGTTCGCCACGGCCCACTCGGCCACGAACATGGTTTGCACCATGAGCTGCGTCGCCAGCCCCCAGCGGTGATGCATGCAGAGCCTCCTCCCCAGGATCTTGAGCCCGCACATGCATCCCGTCAGCGCGTGCGCGGGTTTCCCGGGGGCGCCAAAGTCGGCCGCGGCCTTTTCGCGGCCGGAGCAGGCGTCGCAGGCGTACGCCCGCATCCTCATGAACTCGCCGTGTGTCAGCGGCTGCGCGCCCTCGAAGAGACTTGTCTTGCTCTTGCCGTCGCAGCCGTCGCAGACCATGTAGGCCGTTGGCCGGACCATGTGTTCCAGGTTCTCGCAGGCGGCGCCGTTTGGCACGGGCCGGTTGCATCTTTGCCCGTTGGCAGGGCTGGTCTGCCACTCCTCGCAGGTGCGGTTGTCGTTACCTTCGGGGTTCCATAAGTTGCCCTCCGCTAGGGGTTGATCGGGGATGGAGTTGAGGACGTTGAAGCCCGGCTTCTTCCACTTCACCAAAAGACCCTGGAGGTGCTGCTCCTGGGCGGTGGGGTTCGCGGACCTGGCGAATGGTTGCCGGGGTGCGGCGCCGGGTTGGTCAGTGAGCTGCAGAAGGATCCGCTCGGGGCCCGGGACCCGCGCTTGCTCGGGCACTTCGAAGAGGTCCGGGATGGGGTAGTGGCGGAGCTCGACGGGCACGAAGCGGGCATCCCGGCAGAATGCCGTCATCGCGTCCCGGACTTGGCCCAGGATGGACTTTTGCTCCTTGTCCTCTTCAGCCTCGGCGTTTCGTATGTCTGCTGCCATTTCCCGCAATATCGGGTCAATTATTTCGTTGGCAAGCCGTTCTGCATCCACGTCGCTCATAACGACATCCTCACCGACGATCCGCTGGATCTCGTCCAAGTTTTGCGGCCGCCCTTCAAACGGCGCCATGCTCTGGGGCGCAGCGTTAAAGTCGTTGAAATCGTTAAAGTCCGTCACCCAGCTCTCCCAGTCCTTGCCATTCTGCGTGGCCTCGGCAGCGGCGAGGTTGTCGCCAAAGTAACGGGGGCTGCTCCCCACCGGCGTGTTCACCCGTGTGGCATCATCCCAGTATGAACCCTTAATTGGTGAGAAGGAGTTCCAGAAAGCATCGTATTTCTCCCCGACGCCTTCAGAGGTTGGCGTAGGGGTTTGTGTTGACGATGTTCCCGGAAGTAGTTGTTGTTGTTGTGAAGCACTTGATGCGCCGCCGCCTCGCTTGGTAGACCGCGCAGGTTGTAAAGATCGAGGTGCCCTCTTGGACCGCGGCGGGTTTCTTCTCAGGCCATCCGGGGCAGCCTCAACCCCTCCATACTCCCGCGGCAAGACATTCTGCGCCTCAGACCTATGATGTTGCTCTTGTTGCTGTTGCGTCGGCTGGACGTTCGTGACCACCCACTTTGGCCTATTCGGTCCGATGAGCTCGTTTTCGGGCACATCCCACCGAGAAGTATCCACGCCTCCCGGCCCGTACCCAAGAGCCATGTAGTAGTCCGGCGAGTCGGCGCCAGTCAGGTTCTCGTCACGTCTGCACCGCCCTCCGCCGCCCAGAAAGGCGTCACACTGGGACCCGAACTTGACACAGCTATCGCACGGCCGCTTACGATCGCAGTTGCGCCCTTTCATCCGACACGTCACACAGGCAACGAACAAGTGCCCCGTGTCGCCCGTGTTGCGCGTCCAACCGATCAACTTCCGGTCCGGGTGCGGCAGCTCCACGGCGGGCTTTCCCGGTTCGCGCTGCACCATGCAACGGAGACCCCAAGCCGTGCATTTGGAGCACGCAAAGCCAGTCGGGCCGTCGAAGCCGCGGCAGGAATGGTGGTTCACCCTGCAGTTCCCGCACTTCCGGTTTCCTATGCGGTTGACGGATTTGCCGTCAATGACGAGGTGGTCGCCGTGCCCCGGGTAGACGTACGGTTCGGTGAACTCCCGCTTCGTCCAGGGGTCGACGCAGCGGCGGCCCTTCTCGGTGCAGGTAAGACACTTGTACTCCCCGAGTCTGAAATCGTTGATCCACGAGCAGGGCGTCCAGCGCTTGTTGTCGAGCTCAGGGATGCAAGCCTCGCACAGGTGTCTCCACCACGGCCTCCGTCCGGGTGCGAGGTCGCCGTCACTCGGGTCCGGCCGGTTCCACATCTGCTCCGCCGCCGTCGACTCGCCTTGGAGCGTCCCGTTGGCACGTCTCTCGTTGTACGCTTCGCAGAGCCGGCCTTGTCTCCTACACGGCGTGCACCCGATCTTGACTTGAATGTCGATGTCGCACATCTGAGGCTTATGCGCGGTCCGCTTCTTCTTGCATCCGGCACAGCAGCTCGCCTCACTATCGGTGTTGGGGTATAAGGGCCGAGAGTTTGCGAAGCGCTTCTGCCAGTACTCGCCGCCGCCGCGGACCTTGCATATGTGATTCGGGTCGGCGAGGTTGCGGTACTTGGTGCACTGCGAGCACTCGATCTGCTCGGCGTGGTTCGCGTCGCAGTCCTTTCCCTCGTTGCCGCCCGCGCTGCAGTGGTCGCAGGAGCCGTTCTCGGTGAGGTTGTGAGGGGACTTTATGCGATGTAGCGGAGGACGCTGGATCTCAGGCTGCTGTTGGAACTGGCCCGTCTTACGACGCTTCGCGGATGGATCGTTCGGGGCCACCGGTTGGCTACCCGCTGCGACATCGAGGTTGCGCTTGCGGTTGCGAGAGACCTTGGCGCCGGCGCCAGGGAGGAGCTCGTACTCGCAGCGGACGTTGACGGTGACGCATACGTTGCAGGGGCGTTCACCGGAGCAATGGTGCCGTCCTTTGCGACAGAAGTTGCAGGACTTGAAATAGTGTTCGGGGTCCTCTGGTTCGGCCTGGTGCTGGATGTGTTGTTCTTGTGGAGCGTGGTCTTGGGGAGGCGAAGGGTTAAAGGTTGATTGGCCTGCGAGGAGATAGTTCTCGTTAGCTTCGGCGAGGAGCCCGATGTTGAAGTTGCCAGACGGGTCCGAACGCAATGGCATCTGAGGCGGCTGCTGCGGGAGAGATGATTGATAGCCATAGAACCCATCTGAGGATGGGGTCGGGGGGAGATCTTGTGGTGTTTCCGGTAGGTATCCGTTGGGTGAGTGGTGTTGTGGGAGTTGCGGTTGCACCTGTAGCAGTCGAGGATCAATATATTCTTCTAGCTCAGGCTGCTGTGGAAGTTCTGGCTGTTTCGCCTTCGGTTCTCCCGAGGGTAGCGCAATTTGATCAGGGACTAAGTTAGAATGTAGCGACTGTTGCTGCGTAGATTTGTGCTCTCCTGTAGGAAGGGCAATGATATCAGGCACTCGGTTAGACATGTTGCGCTCCAGACGTTGGACATGTAGCTCTCGGTGATTTTAGGCGTTCTGTTCTGCGATTTGTCCAAGTTCAGGGCGTGAAATCGTGATTAGAAGATGGCGCTTATAGGAAATAGCTGATCACCACAAGCAGAAACATCCATCTTGGGATGGTATTGGCTATTTGTGCTTTCATTTGCCTTCGTCCTCGGTAACGGTTGCACCTTGCTACAAGGGTAGACATGGATAAAGAACGATAATAGTACGGCTTCTCTTGTCATTGATGGCTAGTGCTTTGTACTAATTTGGGCATCGATGTCTTTATTTGTCAATGCTGGTTGTGCACACAGCCTGTCTGTCACATTGAAGCCAAGGACAACTGTTTAGAGCCCCCCCCCCCCCTGTGAAGGCTTGGTCAAAGAGACTTGCTTGAGGAATATGGATGCCATCGGGATTTCCAACTCTTTTGACCTAGGCCTATGTTCAAAGACTGATAGAATATTATGCAAAGCTCAATATCACAGCATAGGGGCTCACGACGAATGGAACTAAACAATGACTTTGGGCCATTTGACACTGATATCTCTGAGAAGCTGAAACATTTGAAACTAGTCACATGGCTACAAATTGAACCGTAACTTTTCTTACTGAGAACGCAGGCTGTGTATCACTTAAAATAATGATCTTGTTAGCAACCCACATGCGCTAATACTTGCAAGAGTCACTTGAGCAGGAGACATGTCAAGGTACCAGGAAAGTTCCTGCTGCTATTTTATTCTCGTTCTTGGCACTACATTGTATTAACCGACAACCCAGATACGCATTGCGTTCCACTGCTCTGGAAGTCGTAACCAGATATGGTACGATTTGTCTACTAAACCACCCATAACGCCGATCTGAGGCTCACGTCTCGTGTGTAAATCGTCTCATGCCATCCACTAGCCAATGCTGACTGCAATGCAGCACGGCGTGAGCACTCTCTCAAAAAGCAAAAGTAGTCCTTATGCCTCGGGGTATCAATTCAGTTTACGTCTCCTTTCGCTCTCTCTCTCTCTCTCTCTCTCTCTCTCTTCTGACTAAGGAAAATAGGCTGGTGGTAGTACAGGTGATAGCAGGACTGTTGTTGCTGCTTAATGTCATTACGTCGTAAGCCCACGGTTATAGTAGCATGCCGATGGCCGCCGACTATATTGCTCGTGAGGGAAATTTTGCGTTTATTCGCTGGAGTCGACAGTGTCGAGCCAAATTCGCACTGCTTCGCGGAGTGCGCTTTCTCGGTCCCGGTCTGTATGGCTGTTGGTGTCTGCGTTTTCCTGGTCGCGTTCTTCGATGACGTCGCGAATAATTTCATCCAAGGCCGACAGTACTACTGTCTTACATTGATCGCGGGGCACTTCTTGAGATGCCATTGGAATGCGAGGGGTGTTATGCGAGTCGACTGATGCCGAAGCTTCACTATTGCTGCGGTCCCGTCGCTTACTGGTTGATCGAGAAGAGTTTGACGAGCTCTGTTTGCTCACTTCATTGCTCTGAGCAATAACTCGTTCAACTGCCTCGATCAATACTTCGTCCAAGCTTGCAATTGGTTCTTCGATGAATTCGTCGTCCAGTTGTGTTTCGTAAGGTAGGATGGATGGAGTCATAGGGGCCGCGCTGTACGAACTGGAGCCAGCAGAGCCGAGAGGGACTGACCTATCCGAGAACGGCTTGGGCCGGATAAGTCGACGGTAGCGAATCCTCATGATGGTATGTGTCGTTGTATCTGCAATGAGAGCATTGCTGACGTCAACCCATCGGTCCGCTGGTTGTTCCATCGAGTAGAACGGCTGCGTGATGAACGGAGTGGGCTCGGCTCTCATGGACTTCTTGATGTCCTCCATGAGATCGTCTTGAGGGGGTACAGCCTGAAGAATGAAGTCCTGGTGGTAGCGCTGAAGAAACCCAGTCACGTTCATGGGAGAGTCTCCGTCAATTGTGATCCTCGAGAATTGTTCAAACCCCTCTAGTCCGCTGCCGATTCCTGGCGTCGAGAGATACCCGCTGCTTGATGGCGAGCTTACTGCAGTCTCAAAAGACGTGATGTAATCAGGGAAGGGTATATCAACGTCAATGACTCCATCTTCAGCATTGATCGATGTTTTAACGGGGGACTGGAAATCACCACTTGGATCGGGAACCCGCTCGGGAAAGGTAAATCTCTCGGGGGCATCTTCAATGGCTTGTTCATCAAACCCACGAGGCGTATTAGGACCATTCCCGTTGCCTTGGTTGTTCTGCCCGCGATCTTCTGGTCGGCGAAGACCTTCAGTTCTGGCCTCTCTGACCATTTCTGCAAGCTTGTTTCGACCGTTATGCACAGATTTTGTCGGAGAGGTCGGGTTGCTGCCGTAGGGGTGATTAGGTGTTGTAAGGCCAGTCGAGTCCCTTCTTTTTCCATTCCAAAGAGTGCTAATAACACTACCCCATCTTGAGCCTGACATGCGCGAGTCGGTACTCGCTGTGCTCACATGTCCTGAGCTTTCTCCTCGCTTCAATGTTCTCTTGAGATCATCTGCGGCGACACTTCCGCTGCTGCCAGGCCTCAAACTTCGCCGGTTCTCAAATCTCTGCGCGGTAGTAAAGTGCGGGATGGTAGTTTCTGGAGTGATTGTGGTTGTCGTCGCCGCGCTGCTCTTCCTGCTAATCTGATCATTACCAGGAATGGGAAGATTAGATCGAATCGAGGCCGCATCTGAAACACGTCTCTCATGACGGCTTTCCATGCTCAGATGCGCCAACTGAGGCGGTACGCCAGAAGCCCGCGTACTTTGACTGACAGTGCGGGAGTGTGAGGCCCGCCTTGGACCAGTTCGTCGGTTAATCTTGCGACGCAAGGACTCTTCTCGAAGGATTGGTATGATGAGCGAAGGGGGAGACTGGGAGAAGGCCCCAAAGGACGTGGATGTACTTGGTCTATGGGGACGGACTGAAGAGATGTGCTGATGCGAAGGCAAAAAGGCAGAGAGGAGGAAGAGGAGCCGCCGCGCCAGCATCTTGTCGTGGGCGATGATGACGGTTCGTGCCGGTAATGACAAGTCCTCCTCACCCTTCGCCTTTTGTTGCTGATGATGCTTCCTGCGATACCATGCCGGACTCATGGCGTTAAGCCAGTCGGTGTGTGTTGCAAGGAACCCGGTAAGAAGGTTGAAGAAGAAGAACCCATGTTCTTTTTCTCCAGCCTTTTTCGCCATCCACCTGGCTTCGTCTCTCCAAATGCCCCACCTTCCTTGCGCGGTGATGACGCGCTGTGCTCTCAGACCAGTAACGACTCTCACCCTTGCCAGGTTTGCTTCCTGTACGATGTTCTCCTCGTGCTGCAAGCAATTGGGTGACAAGGCAATTACTTTTGCGTTAGTCTTGGGGGGCTTGATGAAGTGCGGTTCCTCGCGCCTGCCGCTCATCGATGGGGCTCTGCCAGCCCATGACGAAAACGATGGAGGGTAGGGATCAGGGGAAGCAATGTCCGCCTGCTTGAGCAGCCCCCCAAGTGTAGTTGCAACGACCCCCTGGAGGTGTGTCAGTGTACGCATTATAATATCCCAGTGCTGAGTAATGGTGTCCATTCGGTCATCCACATCGGTCGAACAGGAAGAATCTAGAGAGTCAATGGGAAAGCCAGATCCCGAAAGAGTCCACCCAGAGCGCCGTGCAGAACTCATGGATGATGGGAAGGACTCTTGTTCAGTGTATGAGCTGGCGCCGCGAAAGGTCGACCTGATGGCGGAGGGAGGAATCGGCTGGGCAGATGTAGGGGGAAGCTGGATTACCAGCACCACGGCGTACATGGGCGTGCGTTTTTGTTTGGGTTGCGGTTTCTTCTTCTTGGGTGGGTTAGTATCATCCGCCGACTGAGGAAATGGAAAGCCGGTATTCTGGTCCGAGAAGCGGCTCAAAGGAGTGTCACTCTGTGCATCAGTGTCGTCACTGGGCAAGAGAACGGGGAACAATCGTGTGATGAGGATTTTCCTCCTCTCTGGGAGACTCCGTGGAGTTGGCGCCGAGGAGTTGAATCCTTGTGGTGGTTGGATAGGCGAAACATTGTCCGATGTGTAAGACTGAGCCAGTCTGCTGGAGCGCATACTTGAGCGGCCGATAGAACCACGGCCGTCGCCGACGTAAGAGCCTCCATACTCGGGTCGATTGTCAGTCGGAACAATATGAACCTTTGTCGAGGTGCCTTTGTAGGCCATCAATTCCGAGTTTCCAAAGACGGACCCAGCAAAGGCATGAATCTCGTCATTGTACTCACGTCGTGCGCGCTGGAGTTCTGTCTCAGCTTGAGATTGAGTTCGGCCTTGCATTGAGGCCCTGCGGTCGAAGGCACCTTGGCGGGGTTGGGGACTGTCCGGCTGAATCACCAGTGGCCGTGATGTCTGGTTCAAGCTGCTTTTTCGAGGCGAAGTAGGAGCTCTTTGAGAGTCCTGGCCAGGAATACCCGTCGCCGGGCGATCAGCAGTGTTTGGTGGTTTTGGGGGAGCGGGATGGCTGTCGAAGAGAAGCTGGGCCGGAAAAGAAGCCACGGCATCTTGCATGATGAGGAGGCGAACATGCCGAGTATCTAGATCAATGTCGCCGTCATAATCAAAGGCACTTGCCATGGACGCCATAGGAAGGGCAGAAGCCATGGAAAGTGGGAAAACTTGATCATTTCGATGTTGATATAGTGCCTCAGTGTCTGGGAACAGGAGGTTGCGGGTGTGGATGTCTTCCTGCATAGACTCGAGGGATTGTGGGGGGTCTTTGTAAGTATTGTTATTGGCTTGTGATGGGGTGGGAGCGTTCGCAGCACTTCCAGTGCCCAGGTTGAAGAGCTTTCCCAGCATTTTGAATGAGCCGGCTGGGAAATTCCAAGGTACGAGAGGCTTGCAGAGACTCTAGTCGTTCAAATTCTGGGGGACACGGCCATTTTCTCAACAGGGCGCGCAGTGATGATGGCTTAATGGGGGCAGCATTGCTTCCGACAGAGATTCCATGTGATTGAGGGTAAGCGACGTGAGAAACCGTGATGGTGCAGGGTGAGGCTCATCCAGAAGGCGGTATGCGGTGGCTAGACGCGGGCTGAGACCAACAGAACAGAGTTGAGGGGTGCACGGAGTTGGGGAGAGCTAGCCGGGGCCTGAAGCTTAATCGTGGCGAGTCGTCGGAAGGTCGTCGAAGGTTGAACAAATTAGGCGTTGCTACGATATCGGAACGTAGCGACGAGATGCTTCTTTGCAAGCTTACTCGTCAGCTCCAGGTAAGGTGCAAAAAAGCACACTTCGGATGCAGTACAAGCTTTGGTACGGATTGCGGGGATCTTTGCAGTAAACGGTCTCAGAAAGACGAAAAGGCTGGGATGCGGAGCGAGGGAGTTAAACGCGTCAAACGGGCGGCGAAGGGCGTCACAAAGTGATGTGTCGCGAGGGAGTAACGGCGACGACGTAAAGTGAACTATCGAAATCGGGGGGGCGGAAGGGCTGATGGCAGTTTAGAAGGGAGGAGGGTGAGAGAGAGAGACTGGATGTGACGCAGGCGAAAAGGGAAACCAGATGCTCGGGACAAAGGCGGCGAATGGCAGCGGCGGATCAAGAAGTAGCCGGGGTGCTGGGCTGAGTGTTGCTCGGTATTTGTTCGCATTCGTGCTGGCGGCAGGTTGTCGAGCAAGGTTACGGGAGCAACAACACAGAGGCGTCAGAGAAACGCAATAGCAATCTGTTTGGCGTCGGTGCGGAGAAGAGTACTTGAGTTGCAGTAGATGTCGAAGATGGGTGGTAAGTAAGTGAGTGGTCGAGGAATGGGAAGAAGAGCGGTGATATTTCGATCGGGATGAACTCGGCGGGCCGGGGGGTCGGTATGAAGTAATGCAATGTACTACTATTTGTTTAGGAGCGTCGGGGCAGCGTTGGGCGCGGAGGGATGTGTGATGTGCGTGTGCGTATGCGTGTGGTCGAAGGGGAAGGCGAATTACTCCGTGTAACTTGGCGGGGACAATCAAGACGGGAGGACCTGGTCAACAGGCAGAAGAAACGAAGGCGACGCTGGAAGGGAGTGGTCGGGACGAGCGTCAGGGCGAGGGTGGCAGAGAGATTGACATGGACATGGCCCGGAAAGGGTGGGTGGGTGTGTGAGAAGCTATGTGGTCAGGTCAATGTTGCGTATCCGGCCATGGTGTTTTGTTTGTGAGTTTGATGTCTCGAGCGTTGTTGGAGTTTTGGGGGGGTGGGAGTGTGTGTGTGTGTGTGTGTGTGTGTTGGTGGGGGGAAGAGCGTCTGAGTGAGGAGAAAGACAGAGATGAGCAGGAGAGACAGCTCAAACCAGTGGTGCTCGACGACGATAGCGCTAAGCGGAGCCGAGAGAGAGAGAGCACAACGGAAGTGCCGCAATCGTCGGTGGCTCGCGTGGTGGCAGAAAATACGTACCGGGTGGGTGGATGAGCAGGTGGATAGGTTATGGATGTGGGTGGGCTAGGATCGTACCTTCCACTACGCACTGCCTAGGCAGGCTAGACTAGCAAGCTAGCAGGCCAGGTAGGGACTAGTACTAGGTACGATACAGAAAGACTGCCACTACGTAGCTAGCGGTGCTAGGGGTTGATGCCGTATAATGGCGGTGATAATGAGTGGTTGGCCGATTGATGGCAAGGCCCCAGAAGCCCCAGAGACACTTCCTAGTACTACCACTGAGAGGGAAAGGCCCCGCTAGCCGGTACGTACCGAACATTTCGTGGGATCCTTCCCGCTCCTCCTTCCTCCTTTCCCACCAAACGCACCCAACCGACTCCAATCAGCAGGAAGAAGCAGCGCCTTCTGTCCTGTTTCTTTCCTTCTGGTCTATTGTGTGTTTTGTGTGCTGTGGCTCTGTAAGGCTTGGTAAGCGGCACATCAATTATAACCTAACGGCAATGGCAACGGCAGCCACCACCCTCAGCTCACCACACCCATGGTATCTTCTCATTCCTACCCTGATGAGATGCAGTCACACTGCACTCAGCGCTCTTTTACCCCAAATATGACATAGGAGGGTATGAGGAGGGGGCAAAATTGCGGTGAACACGGCCGCGGTACTCCTTTCTGTCCTTGCCTCTCCCGCTACTGCATACGCACCTTAGTGCTGCGTGTGCCTGCCGTTTGCCCCTCTAAAATGGGCGACGGCTGCGGGGGTCTTTTTTTTATTATATTTATTCTTTTTTATCTTTATTTTTTCTCTAAGTCTAAAAAGGGAAAAAGGAGAAAGAAAAAAAAGAGAGAGAGAGAGAAGAGAAAGACGAGGCCCGGGACTGGGGTAAACCTAGTTTAAGACAAACCCCCTTAGGTAACATTAAACTGGACTCGTCCCGCTCAGCTCTTTTACTGGACACCAGCGCGTGAGAGCCTCCAAAGGACCCTTGCTAAATGACCTGAAGACCCTGAATTTTGAGGCGACATAGGGCGGGCTGCTGCGCAGAATAGCTTTTGCCATTATTACCCTCCAGTTTACTACCTTCCCTAGTTATGTATGGGGTACGGAGTACAACACGTTCAAACCTCCAGAGACAACAGGCGGTGGGCAATTGTTACCTGCCTTGTCCCTGACTCTTCCCCTTCCTGGACCTCGTGACCTCCCATTTTCCCATCTTTCTTTCTCCTCCGCGTCTTATGGTGAAATTGTAGCCAGCATCTCGGCGCCTCAACAAGTTCAGCTTCTGCCCACCTGAGCCCCCCGCCATCCAATCCCACGCCGACTAATTACATCTACAGGACCATACCTTGCACTTCCTCCGCCTTTACTCCGTCTTCAACTCCAAAGTGTTTCTGAGAGTTTCTTCTTTAGAGTTCCGTTCAGCTTCCTTCTCCCGAGGCAGCCCTGCCTGTCTTGCTGTTCGACGTGACCTCGACCTCCCGTCCATGGCCCGAACCATGCCTGCTTCAGGTCATAATGAGGACCCTAGTCGTTCATCCCGCCGGCGACGTCGTCATCCACCCTTCAACTTCCCGTAAATCATCCACCTCTACTCTGTACAGGGTACGACTGTCACTGATTGGGCTTCGCTGTGTCGCCTCGCCTTCTCCCACTTCTGGCCGTCATCGCCCCTGATCCTGGCCCTTGAACAGGTCGGACCCGTTTACAGTATGACAGAGCCCTTCTACTCTGTACATAGTATTCATGGTTCATTGTCAAAGTCATTGGTCATTCGGTCTCACAGCCTGTGGTGCACACAATACGTTGTCAGCGTCTCATTGTCGGAGCCGACCCGACGGAGCTGTGCCCTCTGTGCCCACACCTCCCCACGACAACACGCCAGCGTTCCGCCTCTGATGCCTCATGTCCAGCATACCCCTGCGAGGCCAACAGATGTTCGTCGCTGCCCCAACCCGCAGACCCCCAAATATTACATCAGTCGCTGACAAAGGCTGTTGTCGCCGACTAATAATCATTCGCCGACCCTCATTCCCGGCGCTTGCTCCTGCTCGCAACAGCGCCAATCTACTGGGCAAAAGCCAGTCTCTTGCAATATGCCGCGTATCCCGACGAGCGGAGACCATGGTCCAGCACGCTGACAGGTCAACCATGATGAGGGGCAGCAGTGCAAGTCCATGTTGAGCGCCCACACAATGCTGCGAGTGACCTACTGCTAGTCATCGACAAGGTTGCAGCAGCAAATGGACCAGATGTCTGGATGTGGATTTCTATCCCAATCGCCGTGGCTGGATTCGGGGCGGTGGAGCGACGCGAATCACTTTCGGACAGGATACTTTGACACTGCACACAGTATCTCGTACAACCCGATAAAACATCCCAGGGTGAAAGCCTATCCTCCCAGATCAGCTCACCTTATCCAATAGGCATGATCTACAGGAACATCACCACGACAGATGTAAATCTGCCTTTCGTCGCTCCATCCGCCAGTCAATCACCCCGCCCTTTGCGTCTATGATGTTCTAGTAAACCCCCTGGGCAATCCTCCCCATCAGTCATTCTCACCGCCGCTCGAATTCCAATCGATCTACGGTTTCCCATGCTGCCATCTTATCCAGTTGCTATTTTGCCTGCCAAGCTACTCGGTACTCTCGGCGTAGTGCCACAATCCCTTGACCGACGACGAGACAAACAAGTGCCCGTCCGACCAGCCTTGACCCTGTCCTTTCACCCAGTTGCTGCCCAGAGGTCAGATGCCTGTCACTGTCTAGGCAGGCATAGCAGGGTAATACTACACCGGGCTTCCGGAACCGGAACCCAAAATGGCCTTCGCCCATGGGATCAATCTTAATTCAGTTCACATATTCAATTCCTGTCATATCAACAGAAGTTCTTCGTGTGCACCACACATTGACTCACACACCGGATGACGTTAAAGCTGCTGTGCACACACTGCTGTTGCGTTGCACCGCCACGTCTGCGGTCTTCAGAGCCTACGAAAGGGTGGATAAGGCCTTCTTGGCCCTGTCCACGCGCCATACTCGAGCCAAGGTGCAGTGCGAGCTGCAGATAAGACACCCATTCACGTAAGGCAGCTGCAAACTTCTTGCTGCGTCTCTGCTGTGGTTGAGGGGGCAGCCCTGTTGCCATGTGCCTTTTTGTGCTCCAACCAGCTGCGCTCGCTCTGCCCTGTAATCAAGAATGCAATGTGCAGACAGGCAGAGTACAGGGTATCGCACAAGTTAACCGACATGCTCATGCAGACTTACCTGTGGCGCGACACACATCACTCACTACCTTTCAAGACTTACACCCTACATCTGAACACGCGAGGCGCACATCGCATGGACCATCTGCCAGCGATGTACTAGGTAGATTAGATTTGCGCCGCCGGCCATCAGAAGCCTTGCCACGGTACTCTCCCTCAGGTTTTTGATACCCGGCGGTCCTTACAAACAACTGGCACTTAGAGCCAAGACGAAACACAACCCATGTCCAGCATGGGCCCGCCGATCAGGTTGTGGGACGGGATACACCTTCCGTGATGGGCACCTGACCAAGGCCCCCTGCGCAATCTCTTGCAATCCTCTGCTGCCAAAAGAGGATGGGCATCGTTTTGCAAATCGCGATGTACAACTGTATGATCTTAACAAGAGATTATGGTCATGGGATTTCAACTCGGAACATGCAGAGCCCAACGTCCAGGTTCCTGGCGCAGACGCCATCCAGCCATGACGCCATGACAGAAGCTACCCAACGCACGGTTCCCCGGGGATACAATGTAGTCTTCCGTGACTGACTGGTTCGTCCTTGCAATTGCTCACTAGCGAGCAAGCCTTACCTTGGCTTTCGCATGGCTTGTGCTATGCGTTTGGTCTCTAGTTTGCTTTCTCTGAATGTCTAAAGGTATCAACGGAAGTCGGAAGCATTCACGCGAGAGCGAGCTATCTGCGCACGCCCTTCGCAAACTACCTCACAATTATTGAACTTTCCGGCCAAACGAGCTGCGAACCTCTCCGGCCGACATTGCGTTATGATCTCATTTCACATCATCCTGGGGGATAATGACTAGCTATTGGCTGTCCTAGCTCAGCAAAGGTAGCCGTGCGTCTTATCGGTACCTGGGCTCCTCTCATTTTCAGACATGACCTTGCAAAAGGGCATGCCCAACGGAACGTTTCCCTATCGTAATATCCCGGTGACATTGGTCACCGACTATTTCCCCTGGCCCAGCGCCTCCGTGTAGTTGGCTGTCATCCACCGCCGGTTTCTTTCGTTTCATTACAGCCTCACTATTCATTTATATGGCAACATTGAAAAAAGGCTTGTTCCTCGGCAACTGCTCTTGCCACTCCGCCGGCGGACGCCGCCTCATGATGACCCATCTGGTGGCTAAAGGCCTCCTGATTCCTTACGGTTGTCTTAGCCTTTCATACTCTGAGGCCGCCGTTGATATTCCATGTCAATGTAACCTGGTTCTTACATAGTACAACGAGCCCTTTCTTCCGCCCGTCCAGCCCGCGGGCCGGCCCTGACCGGCTTATGCCAGCAAATGTGATTTCTTTCTGACATTGGCATACTGGCAGCGCAAGTTTAGATAAGACAACGAGCAAACCCCATGGATGGGCTTGCGTAACATAAAATGTGACGAAACTTTCCATTCTGGGAGCCGTAACACCTATAAGTCACCAAGAAACTGCGACTGTTACAATGCTGCTGATCACGGCATTTACAGTCTTATTGAGTCACAACGGATAAGACGTGTCTTGATGTCACTTGCCGGACCTATAGCGAAACATATGCGCCTGCCAATTGCCAACAGTGAGGCTGAGAGGTCATCGCATCAATCCCACGAAAAGGAATGTGAACGAGGTCTCGCTTGCGCGCAAGCGAGTCTGCCGCTCGAAAAAATCGGCTCACCTTTCGGGTCGTCGATGCCGAATCGCTTGTGTTTTTGCACTGCCAAGGGGATCTCTGTCAGCCACTCGGATATGCAGCCTCCACCACGCCTCTTGATGCAGACTCTACAGGCACGTTCACCCCCATGCATTTTGGAAGCGCCCGCGCACCCCGAATAGAGGGGCTTACCGTAGCCTCGGGTTCTTTAGAGATGCTGTATTATGAGGCGATTATTTAGAGAAATGGCGATGACCAATAGTTCAAGTCACCGCAACTCCATCCGCCATTCTGCGCATCTTGTTGTTGCACATACTACTATTCTGCTCATATAATAGACAAGAGGGAATAATGCGCCACCGATTGCGTTGCATTTCGGTAGTTCGTCGGCATATTCCAACCAGGCAGCCTTAGGGCAGCAATCAAGATGATGTCTGATGTCTTATCGGTGGCGCTCAGCCGTAAAGTCATGATTCTTCCTATCGTCTTATCCTCGGCTAGTTCAATCGTTATCTAAAGGGTGGGATGAAGAGTCCTCTTCCGCACCATCAATCAACTTGATCACTAGCTTCACCGTAAAGACTGGCCACACTTACCTCCGTTTTGGGTTAAAGACAGGACGAATTATGGTAGCTTGCAAGACGGTTGTCCTGTACCTGGTATATCTAAATTTTGCTTTTTGATAGATGTCGGGTCTTCGGCCAGAATTTCAAGATCTTACCTGCTATTTAACTTTGCGCAGTAATCTCAAGAAGCCATGGTTTTCCCACTGGTCATCAACGGTCGAGCTCGGTAGAAGCTGTTAGCGTTTTATTATGCTCAGTCACGCTTGATACAAGAAGCTACCAATCACATACATTCTCACACTGCCAACTTTGGTATTTTCAATACTTGAATTCTCACGCTGTTAACCAGTTTCTTGCAAAGTGTAAGCTGACAGAACGATGACTGGAGCACGAAGATATTGCTTCGAGGAAAGAGTGGATTCAATAAATCAACATGCGTAATTTCTCATCAACTTGATGACGGGGAGCATATCGCTTTGACGGGCGGAGAACGAGTATGATCTCGTGTTGGTATTATGGCGTGCTCTTGAATCTTGGAGCAAGATACTTACACATGGATGTGAAGACTTACATGCGAAGCTTAATTAACATTGAGTATTTTCTTCTCCGTTGCGACCTCCTCACGGAAAAGACTGCTGGTGAATAGCATCGCGAATGGAACTTGACATTGCGTTTTGTGACAGTCCGAAGTATTGGTAATAAGATTTAATGATAATGTGTCTATATGTCTTATTGATTGGTGCGAACTTCATCACTTACACTAAGATACTAGAATTTAATATATATATATGTATATATATATACATAATAACCACACCCTGAACGCCAAAGAAAGCCTCTGAAAAGCTGGAACTATCTTAACAACCCGTTAATCCGTCAGAACGAGCACGGTCTGCAGTCCCACCGAAGTCGGCAAGGTAAGACAGGACAAGACAGTGGGGGCAACAGATGTCAAAATCCTGGGGAACCCCCAAAGAAGAAGGCGGTGTAGCTTAGCGGAAGCTCGATGCCACAATTCTGCCGTCGCGATGGAGCTGCATCTGCCATGATGCACCACACTCCACGATAGAGTCGAGTGGTGCGACTAATAGACTCCCATTGACGACGACCACTGCTTCTCCGCGCGCAAAATATACTACAAAAGAAATATACATTACTCGAAGGAACGAAATGCCACTGCGAAACCACGTCACAGGCCCCCCGTGACCGAAGACGTCCTCCCCTCCCCCGCCGAGATTAGCGACATGCCTCCACCAACGATGCGCAATGGCTCCGGCCCGCCGCCCTCCATGCGCAAGAGCACCAACTGGCCCTCGCACCTACGTCAGTTTAGTAGAAGCAGCCTTGAGCCGCCATCCGCCACTTCGTCGGTAGACTCTCCACGATCCCCAGATACCGTCTCCAGCGCTTCTACGGTTCGCGGCGATAATTCGTCGACGTCAGTGAAGCAGCGCCGATTAGAGAAACGGTGTGTTGTCGGCGTAAATGAGGGGTACTCGCGTGATGAGGTGCTTCTCAGCCCTGACCTCGTGAAAGGCGAAGTGAGGCCGGGAAGCCTGGTTGCCATCACGGTGTTGAAGACGGAGGGCGATAAGACGGCGACCAAGGACCATGTGCGCACCGCCGGCGGAGGAAACACCGCGGGTGCTGGAGCGAACTCAAGCCAGAACGATGCCACAACTGCGAATGCGGAGGGTCCAGTGTTGGGGAAGAAGTACTTCTTCATCGCCAAGGAAATGTCCAAGGAGCTCAAGTGCAGGCTGCCGAACGTCGACATCTACGTCGTCAAGCACATTGCCGACGCCTTCGGCATGAAGAAGGGCACGCAGGTGCTTTTGACTCCTGTGGATGCGGATAACCCCGCCACGGCCGCCTCGCACGTCGAGCTCTCCTTCAAAGACCAGTATCTATCGAGGTCAGATATGTGGCGCCTGGCTATCGGGGAGTTGACGGAGCGGACCGTGTACAAGGGCCAGTCGATACTGTTCATGGGCACGATAAAGGCGCAGGTGACGGCCGTGTACGTTGACGGGCGCAAAACGCATTCAGCTTTCTTTACCAAAGACACCCGGCCTATTTTTAGGAGCGAATCGGCGCGGTATGTGCTCTTTATTCAGATGGCGCGCGAGATGTGGGACTTTGACTCGGAGGGCAGTGGAGAGATCCTGTTCAACAAGGTCGTCAACGGCTTCCTGCCTGCGCTGTTCAAAAAGTGGGCGAAGCTCAAGGCGAAGCACCTCGTCTCCATTGTCTTGTTTGCGAGGGTGGAATACGACACCGGCCTGACGACGGAACTCGCGGGTAATACTCTGCATGGGGATTACTACACCGGCACGCAGATCTCGGGCGAGAAGAGACCGTACAAGGACTTTTACCGGGTCGTGGTCAGCGAGATGGCGAGCGGAGAGTGGACCAAGATTCTCTACCAGTTGAAGCGCGAGTTCAACTTCTTCCGCCGTGACATCAGTCTGCACCACCAACAGGCAGGGAGCGCATTTGTGCCGCTGGCGGAGGAGGGTTCAAAGGGGGTTACGTCGAACAGAGTGAAAGCCGAGTCTTCGTTGGCAATGCACGGCAACTTTCTGGAGGCGATTAACCTTGCATCCTCGCAGTTTGCGCACGACTACATCGATCGCGATCTCATGCGGACGGGCATCTCGATTGCCGTCATCAGCCCGGGCCCGGGAGTGTTCGAGGTTGAGTATGAGAGCCTGCGCAGGACGACAGAGGCGCTAGTGGGGAACGGCATCGGCATCGACTTGATTTGCGTGCCCAAGATGCCCCTCCACTCGGTGCCGCTGTTTCGCTACCGAAACCCGCAGACATCTGGGGATTCCCACGGACTGTCGAGAAAAAGGTCTGCCAGGAGCCGCGAGGGCACGCCGAAGCAGCAAGCCACACCCATTATCGGGAGTTACCAGTCTCTGGCGGAGTCGCTTTCTCCAACCAAGGGGCTGGAACTCGTCCACCGCATCGACAGGCTCGCGAACCCGCAGGATGAGTGGTCGTACGCGCTGCCGCAGTGGCTTCATGTCTCGTACTGGACAGGCACCTCAGAAGAGGCGCTTTCCTACCAGGGCATTGCGATATCTGTGGCTGATCCGAAGGAAGACGAGGACCGGGCTGCGAGCGAGGACTTTGCTATCCGTGCAAGGATGTACGATTTGCAGATGCGGAGCGTGCTCGAGACGAACGAGATTGAGACCACGCCACTGCAGGCTGACCCGCTGTTCCCGGTTACAATCGCAGAGACGAAGACCTCGTTGAAGTCGAGACTAGCCGGGGCGGATGAGATTGCAATGATACCTTTGAAGCGCCATCCCGATGGCCTTGTGGATCATGTTTACGGGTTTCAAAAGTTCATTCTGGATAGGCTTGTCCGACCTGGGGAGAAGAGTCTGTGGAAGCAGTTACAGGAGTATGACGAATCGAGGGCGCGGCTACCGACGTCGAGGCGCCCGGCGCTGCCCAAGGTGTCGAGGGACTTGGATGAGACTACGAGAAGGCAGCTGATGGAGGACACCGGGTTATTCGGCACCTCTCTGCCGGAAAAGAAGATTGTGCCGAACCAGAGTCTCGCTGCTGTTGCTGCTGGTCGGAAACTGTCTGTCAACATTGGCGACAGCGAAAAGGCCGAGATTATAGCTGCTACGAGGAAGGCTGGGAACCCGGTCCCGGCAACGGCGTCTACAGCCGCGTCTTCAACAGCCGCTTCTTCAACAGCCGATTCTAACAACCACACGTCCAAGGCGTCGTCCATGAGCTCACCCTCAAAACCACCAAAGTTCATGCGTCACATCAGTCTCGGCATACGAGGTTTCGGTATTGCCGCGCCCAAAGTCGTGGCTGCTGAAGCTAGCTTCGAAACGGTGCGCGCTTCGACGGAGCAGAACATTACCAGCCCCACGACGCCGCTGGTCATGTCGACCCTTCCGCGCCCTTCGTCGCCACAGGTTATCAAGCCGGCTATTTCGTCGCTGTCGCCGGGGCTGTTCCGTTCGGACTCTAGGGACACGCTGAAGGACTTACCCTCGACGCCAAGTATACCTATCAATATGAGGGCGTCACGGAGAGGAGAATCTGCAACCGCACAGCAGCATCGCCACGGCTCAGTCCTGCCGTCTTCGCTGGCGAGAAAGGATCATTTCCATGAAGATCGCGATCAGAGACACTCTAATGTCTTTAGGGCGGAGGACGATAACCAGAAGATGTTTAATAGCAAGTTGAGGGCCGGGGTCATGCCGGAATTGCCGTCTACATTATCGCCTACCACGGCTATTTCGCCTTGGCTGACGGTGTTGAACCCGTCAAACCCGGATAGACACAAGGTGGACGACACGGTGCTGTACAGCCGGTGGCAGCATGTCTTCCCGCGTACTTCGGAGATGAAGGTCATGAAGTGGAAGGCGTTGTGTTGCCCCGCCGCCGTGCCGCTAACCACCGAGTACTTCCCCAGCAAAACACAGTTCGACACGGAGTACCAGAGGCAGCCGTATGTCATTGCGCAGAACGCGGATGACGAACTTTCTGAAGAACCGAAATCGAGAGAGGAGTTCCTACGGGAGCTGATCAGTCTCCGTTTCTCGCAGGGCTTCCAGGTCGTTATCGGACCGTCAGTCGCCAAGGCATTTGGGCAGAGATTGCTGCGTATTGCGGAGATTTTCTCGCGCGACCATGTGATGGAGGACGGCACAAGCATCTTCTTGTCTGTGGGCAACACGATCCATCAGCTCTCCTGCGTCAACGGAACCGAAATCGAGGTGAATATCTACATTCGCAAGCCGGCCGAGTCGACGGTGGGCAGTTCGAACTCGGGGCCGCTGTATAGGCCTGCCATCCGAACTCTGATGGACGTCGGGTACCAGACCCAGGAGGTGGACATCTCTGCGCCACGGCCAGAGAGAAACTGGAATTATATCGACTCGTACCTTGCCGGTCACCACGATGAGATGACGGAAAACCTGAGGTTTTGGCGGGCGAGGTTTGTGCTTATCCCGATAATATCACGGTCGTCTGCCGTTCCGAGAAACCAGGCCGGCGACAACGCGGAAGAGGTCCGGCTGGAGGGTATCAGGCGGCTGTCATTATCGTGGCAGAAGCACCGCTACATCCCGCCTTCTGAGCGGAGATACCAGACCGTTAATGACCGCCGCGATCCCAACCCGCTGGATATTGTCTACAAGACTGAGGATCCTTCAGTCGTCATCGCTGCGGAGCTGGACAACCTCCCGCTCGTGGAGGGCATGGAGGGAAACCGCCGGGGGCAGCTGATTTCCTCCCGGGAACGCTTCCGCAAGTCCAACTTGAATCTCGGCGCGCTGGCGGAGGCAATACAGCAACCCGTCGAAAACGGTGGCGTAAAACTTCAAAATCGGAGGTGGCATCTACGGCTGCATTACAACTGCTTTATCGGCTCGGACATGACAACGTGGCTCATGGACAATTTCGATGACCTCAATAGTCGTGAGGAAGCGGAGCAGTTGGGCAACATGCTCATGGTGGAGACGTATGAACGGTCCGAGGACAAAAAGGACCGCGGGGGCCTGTTTGAGCACGTTGAGAAGCGGCATCCGTTCAGGGACGGCCAGTATTTCTACTCCATCGCAGGCGAGTACGCGAAGCCGCAGCCCGGCTGGTTCAACTCGCGCAGAAAAGACTTCTCGGTGCCCTCAACGCCCATGACGGAGACAATGCCGAGGGACTCGCCCCGTGGCGGCATGATCTCACGGCCTACCTCCATCAACGAGGGCAGCTCGCCAACGTCCGGGTCCACGACGCCGACCGCCTCGGTCATGTTTAACAAGAAGATGCCAAAGGTCGTGCTGAGCAAAGTCATCAAGTACGACGTGGATCACAGGAAACGCTCCTACCGGCCCGAGAGGGTTGATTTGCACTACGACAGGCTGCATAACCCTGATAACTGCTACCATATCCGTATCGACTGGATGAACGTCACTGCCAAGTTGATCGAGGATGTCGTGGAAGGCTGGGCGAGAGAGGCGGCTACCTACGGACTCAGGCTCGTCGAGGTTCCCATCAAGGAAGCGTGCTCCATCACGGAGGTGAACCCGTTCAGACGGCCGTACCTCATCAAACTGGCCGTACTGCCGCCCAGCCAGCAGCCCGTGACGTACTACGAACCCAACTCGTTCGCCCCGCAGACAGCCCCCGGCAAGCATTTCTACCAAAAGGTCATTATGCGCAAGTTCGACTTCGTACTCGACATGGAGGCCGCCTCCAACTACCCCAAAGACGTGGACGTCAGCTTTTCGTGGGGCAAGCCGGACTTCAAATACAGCCAGTACATACATCGCTCCGGCGTACTACTCGCGGAGATCACGGACGACGGGCACTTCCTGGTCCTGGCAAACAGGCTGTTTAGCAACCGCGCCTCGGCGGCCAGGGACAAGGAGCTGAAGGATATAAGAGAGTCGGCGAGCGGCACGGGGGGGAATAACAACAATAACACCACCAACAACAACAACAACGTCGTCGAGAGGGGAGGCAGGATCATTCCCGTGGGAAGCTACACGCCCTTTGGCATCCCGGAGCCTACGCCCATCAGCTCGCCGATGGTCAAGCCGGCTCACTTCGGCATCGGCTCGCCCGCGATACGGTCCGTTGAAGGGAAGGCGACGGGGAAGGAGACGGGGCTGGTGGGCGACCCGATACCCATCATGGACGACCTGGAAAGGTTCTGCAGCGACGTCGCGGGGCTGGAGGCCTTCTACAAGGAGACGCTGGAGAGGGGACCGCCGCAGGCCATGACCACGCCGGGGGCCATGAGGCCTACTACGCTGGAGGTGGTCCCGGAGGCTAGCATCCCCAGTCTGAACATGCCGGCGGGCGTGCTCGGGGATTTGCAGCAGCAGCAGCACGGACCTGGCGGTGTGAGCGGGGGGCCGGCGTTCGAGAGGAGCGGCATCGGAGGGAGCCCGAGTCCGGGGCCGAGACTGATGAGTAGTCCGGCGGATGGCATGAGGTTCTTGAGGAGGGCTAGTGTGCAGGATGGGCTTGGGCTGGGAGGCGGGCCGAGGGGTCGCGAGAGGGAGAGGGGGGAGAGGGGGGAGAGGGAGTAAGAGGGTTGACGTGGGTGGACGTCAGAGGGTTAGAAGGGGGAAACAAAAAGTCTCGATGCGGAGTTTGGGATTGTGTGAATAGTGTAATTCTCTACGCTTTACGATGAATATCATGAAAATAATGGCATATTAGGTTGTGTGTGTGTGTGTGTGCGTGCGTCTGTGTTCACGGAGTGATGTATTGGATGGATGTGGTTTGGTCTCCTGCAACATGTAATGTTTACATGCTACATTCCCTATCTGGCCACTTGTTACCTAGGTAGATTGAAACTCTCGAGATGAAGGTGTCGAGAGCGATGATTCTTATCTAGTTGTGTCACTACGAAAAGGGAAAAGAGCTAGAAGCTGCTCTGTTTGTCTGGGCAACGTCGTAGCTCTAGATTCCGTAGCAGTACAACTGCGTATCGGGAGTCAGGACATGCCGGTACCTATGGAGCAGGTTTTTGACGATTGGTTCTGACACGAATAAAGCCACCAGAGACAGCCTTCAGCGCGTCATTGTAACAACGGCGTCGGAGACTTGCCCGTTGGGGACGACGCTGAAGAGGTGTGGCGGTGCATTGAGTTTGTTGGGCGAGGACCCCCCCCCCCCCCCCCCCCCCCCCAGTTACTGGTGTAGGTATACTGGTGCTTGTCATGTCAAATGTCGTACCTCGGTGTGGCTTGGTCCGTGCGGGTCTGGAATCATGTGCTGCGCCACGACGGAGGGTTTTGGCTCGTTCACTCCGGGAGCCGGTAGCGTCACATGATGCATGCGCGTGTTGTGAATGGAAGGCGGGGAGGATTCAAGGCTAGAAGTCATTTCGAACAATGCATTCAAACAAGGTGGCGGGATTGTTGACATAGTATTCTTGATATCCGGGGGTGGCTGTTGAGGCATGTCAGCCACACAGCCTCCCAACGCCCGTGAAAGGCCTCTGCCGGGTTTGTCGCCGTGAGGCTTGTTGAAATCTTATTCGCCGAGATATACTCAAATTCTTTTAGCAGATGAAGCTATTGGGTGAGTCTTGCCTCGTTCGGGAAGGATGGTTCATGGCTTTAGGAGTCTACGATTTGAGTTGGCTTTTGGGGGCTAGTTGCTAATTGTTTGCCAACGTTAACTCAGCATATCCCCTGTTCAGGTATGGAAGCAAGCCTTGTTGCGGGTAAGGATCAGGTCCGCCTGAAAATCAGGTCTGATGTTGGGCGAAACTCTGTTGTGAGCCTTAATGCGCGGGCAACAGGTGTGACGGTCTGGCGCGGAGAGATGATGATTTGTTCGTCAAGGTTGATGTGGCTGGCAAACGGAGTGTGAGGGATGGTGTGTGTGGCTGATGTCATCGCGCATCTCATATTGCTCAAGATGGGGATAGCGATGTCAAGACACAAATGTGTACAGGTAGGTAAGCTACAGGGCGGCAATTCATTGCATCTGCTTTTCTTCAACGGTAAATAGCAGTGGTTCCTGTCAGTAAAGAATTGAGTTGAGAGAAAGATGGGAGAAGCAAAAAGCCAAGGCGACGAGATCGACTGGTACCGCCTTGGCAGAATATCTTGGCTGAGGGTTGTGCCTTGGCAGAAGCTTGTTTTGGATGGATTTTGGTGTGCTGCGTCGAACATAGTAGTATTAAAGTAGGTGGCGCGGCTTGGCACGTCACCAGGGCTTGCTGACGACATGTTTTCAAGTGCGTCGGGACTCGCTTGACACCGACTACCTCGAAGATGATGGGACAGAAATTCCATTGCCAATCCAGTCCAATAAGATGAGAAAATAATGCATAGACTATTCTTGCAGTGTAATAACAGCCAATGAATAATACAAAAAAATAAAAAAAATAAACATTAAAACGAAAAAAAGGGGCGTTAAATGGGTGGCCCCACTTTCTGGATATGGTTGAGTGATGACATTGGCTGGTTTGGAGAAATCGGAATTGGAAAAGTCACTGACGGAGGTGAGCAACAGCAGAATGGACAAAATTGGATAGGCGGAAGTGAAGGTATCGATTCAGGGAAATTAGCGCTGCACCCAACGTAGTAGCGATGGATGGCAGAGGGGGGGAAAATACTGACGTAGGCGGGTTCGTTTGAAACGGTATGAGCGCTTGTGTCTACTTTCTTTGTGCTGAAGATCCTTCATCAGAGCTCTCTCCCCTATTCCCTGAGCTACATTCATAGTACAGTAGGTACATCTACCCTCATTTCCCTTTCCTCACTCCCACCCTCATCTGTCATTCATTCCATCTTAACATCCTTCTCGCCTTTCCCCCCATTTCCTCACTTCACCTCGAGAGCTTTTTTTCGGCGCCCTGCTAAGCTCAGCTAGGTCTACCAACGTTCAAGTTAATGTTAGTCAGTCTCTAGTAATAAGAGCTGTGGAAAACCGTAGCAACCGCCCGACACGACTCGCACTCGTTCCAGAGCTCCCACTTTTCCGGAGCACAGCCTCATCGAGAGTGCATACTGCATACGCTACTACACCCGCCGTCGCGGACCAGAAGCACCAGCGGCCAACCCGCCTTTGCCCTCGATACTTCTTTTTCTCCATCGAACCTGCACGCACACACACACACACAGCCCAGCCAAGCCCATTTTGCAGACGACGCCCGACTTGTTGGCTCGTAGTCATCAACTACACTACTACTGCAGCGGCAACCGGCCTTGGCTTGCGCGTCTTCCCGCCCTGGCTTTGTCGACCTCACCACCAACCGATCTCGGCCCCATCTCATCTCCGGTCAGCAGCGGTTGCTACCATCCCCCAACAAGCGGAAACGTAAGGAGGCCTCTCTGGCTACCGCGCCACAACACATACTCCTCAAGCTGTATACAAAGCGACGATACACGAAGACAGTTTGGCCACAAGGTTACAAACTTTTCGGAAAGAAGGCAACCTACAATACCCCGAGTACAGCTCGGTTCGCGTTTCGTCTCATCATTCAGGCGCTGATCCGAAGCGATCTGATCTTTGCCACAACCAACACCCGACAAGCATAGCAGTAGGTACTCGGCAGGCAAACAAAACACACCACCTGTCGTCAGCATGAGCACCTGTAAGTGAAGAAATCCAATCTGCATCAGCTTATTACCTGCCCATCCCCCTCTACCCCCGTCACTGTTGCATTTAGCCGCGGGAGAAGAGAACAAGAGTCTCAAAACATTCTTACCACGAACCCATTGCCCAATAACACGATACAATTTGTTGTTTTCCACTCTTGGCATTTTCATTCCCACTCCTTTTTTGTATGGTGGGAAGCTATCTCGTTAGACTACCGCTCTAGAGCTTTTAGCCTACCCACCTGCCCCCAATCATTTACCGATTTTCAAGGGCGGATTCGAGCAATCTTCGTCCACCCCCCCCGTTGCCTCCATCCTCTCCATATTTGTCCACCCTGCACTCCACACCACCAGTTTCACGTCATCACCCTGTCTTACTTAACGAACTACTTTACTTTACTCTCTTCACTCTCACTCATCCTCGTCTTCTCCCGCCTTCGTCGTTCAGCCTGCGTTTCGTTCGCCCTCACTAACCATGCCCAACCTTATTGGTTCAGTTAACCATTTCGATATCAAACGCAAAGCTCACGGCCTAAGCCGCCGGAGTCAGGAGCAGACATGGAATCCTTTTCGCCATGTTTCTTGGGATACCCGCCCCCGCAAGCGCTCCACCTGGGATGGCGCCAACCTTGAAGCCCAGCGAGTGGTACCCGGCACCACGCCAGAGGAGGAGGAGACCGAAGAGCCCATTCACCATGTACAGAGCGAGCCTGCGCCCAGGGATTCGGATACAGTACGCAGCATGAGCAAGGAGACGAGGTCAGGGACAGGCAGCGGTAGCGGTGAGACCATGTTCGAAAACAAGGAGCAGGAGGGCGGCGCAGCCCTGAGGAATCGCAAGACCGACAACTCGACGGAAGACAGGACGCCACCCGAGGAGGAAAGGGAAAAGCCCAAAAAGCAAAAGTCGGGTTTGATCAAGCATGTGCAGCCCAAGGCGCCCTTTACCGTTGCCAACCAACTGCAACGAACGCTTCTCAACTCGTGGATCAACATTTTGATATTGGCCGCCCCAGCCGGTATCGCCATCTCATACGTCGGCTCGGTCAACAAGATTGCCGTCTTCGTTGTCAACTTTATCGCCATTATCCCGTTAGCAGCAATGCTAGGTTTCGCAACAGAGGAAATTGCACTGAGGACCGGTGAATCATTGGGAGGTCTTCTCAATGCGACTTTCGGGTAAGTCAGTTTGTTTTTGCACCTCCGTACATCCCAACTAACACGTACAGAAACGCTGTCGAACTCATTGTCGCCATTATCGCTCTCGCTGAAGGCAAGGTACTCATTGTCCAAACCTCTCTCATTGGCTCTATCCTTTCCAACCTGCTCCTCGTCATGGGCTTCTGCTTTTTCTTCGGCGGCCTTCGTCGGCCTGAACAGTACTTCAACACCACCGTCGCCCAGACTGCTGCCTCTCTCCTCGCCCTGGCCGTTGCTTCCGTCATTGTCCCGACCGTCTTCGACAAGAACGATGGCACGGACAACAACGTTCACGTCGCTGCCCTCTCCCGCGGAACCGCCGTCATTCTCCTCATCATTTATGCTTCCTACCTCTTCTTCCAGCTCAAGACTCACCAGGCTGTCTTTAACGAGGAGTCGCAAAAGGTCGCCGCCAAACCGTGGAGCCGTGGTGGGCTGAAGGAGGGCGCGCTTGCTCGTGGCCTCGCCGGCACTGGTGCGCGCATGGCACAAACGGGCGTCAGAGGCGAGAACGAGCGGGAGGAGCTGAGCAGGATTATGATGCAGCGTCCTGCTGAAGATGACGATGAAGAGGAGGATCCCCAGCTACATTTCTTCGTTGCCGTCGGCACTCTCACCATCTCCACTGTTTTAATCGCTTTCTGCGCCGAAGCCATGGTTAGCTCCATCGATTATGTCACCAAGACTTCCGGCATCAGCGAGGAGTTCGTCGGTCTTATCCTGCTACCCATTGTTGGAAACGCCGCCGAGCACGCGACGGCCGTTACTGTCGCTATCAAGGATAAGATGGACCTTGCCATCGGCGTCGCTGTCGGCTCTAGTATGCAGGTCGCTCTCTTCCTCATCCCGTTGTTGGTTATCATCGGCTGGGGCATGGGCAACGACGCCATGACCCTCAGTTTCGACTTGTTCCAGGTTGCCGTGTTGTTTGTTGCAGTCCTGCTGGTGAATTATTTGATTGGCGACGGGAAGAGCCATTGGCTCGAGGGGCTGCAGCTCATCTGCTTGTATGCCATTATCGCTGTGTGCTCGTGGTGTAAGTACCATTTTCTCGCACCCATCCATGAAATATCACTAACATGTTTCGATAGGGTACCCCGCCTCGGGCGTCGCCGGCTAAAGAGCCAACTCTCGTTACGACTTGATTCCCCTTGCTTTCTTTTTGCAACAACAAAACATTTGTTCTGAGCGTGTATATTTTTCTTATTGATCGTAATGTCTTGTCTTCTCTCAAAGGAAACATGAATTTCCTTTTGTATATACAGGCCTTGAGCGGGTTATTTGGAGGAACTGTACATTTGAATCCGCCTTTTGGGTATATTGGTTGTACTGTGCGAGATGGGCGACTAGTGAAGAGCAGACATGGCGATGAAGGCATCCGCCATGTATACGTGGTTCAGAAGTGACTGTGGCGTATTCGCCCGCCTGAAAAGAAAGTCAATTCCTATCAGGCAATGAAGAAGAGATCAAATGACATTTATGGCTATCTGACACCGGTTATGTGTGTGCCGGCTGCATGGTCTGCCGCCGCCCACGAGTTTGGATTAGAGGTGAGTTTGGTTGGAACACCTAGTACAGCAAGGCAGTCTGCATGGCCATACGAATTTTCCGCGTTCGTCTGAGTTTGGTGATGACTACAACGTCGCATCTCCCCAGTCTTTCCGAAATGGATAGTAGAACAATATGGCCCCTGAATATGCGTGATTTGCAGATAGTCTCGCGCTAGTTCGAATTCACAAGGCATCTCTACACTTTATTAGATCTTTGTCTCCCAGAGTTGAGAAAATGCCAAGGTACAATCTGAGCAAGATACCTGCTAGATAGAACCGGGGGTCGCCGGCGGGCACGTCGCGGTGACGGGCGATCTGCCCGTTGTCCCAGATGCTCGTCGACGCCGGGGAGTGAGTTACAGGTCCTTGACAAGGAAGTCAAGCCTCATACTTTCAAGAGTCTGTACAGCGGCTTGAGTCCCCTTCCAGAGTTTTCGGCGTCTTTATACGACACTTTCACTGCGGGGGTAGTTTTCCAACTGTTCTAGATTTGTGTTTATTGAGCAAAAAAACTGATGAGACGAAGCCATGTCAGACGTATACGCTTTTGCCATCTAGTATTCTCGCGTCCGTGGTCCCTTTGTCCCACCGCGTTCCCACATCCGTTGTCGCCGTGGCGGTGAGTTTGTGTTTGAGGACGAGGAGAAGAAGGGCGTGATGTGGTGTCATCGGATGAAGAGTTGTCGCGATCATACCGGGATTGAGGAGCTTGCTAGGGTTCTGGGTGTGGAAGGTCATCATTTCTCACGAGTAGAGTAAACCAGTGTAACCACAACCGCTTTCATTAAGAAACAAACGCGTAGTCATAGGATCTAATGCCATACAGATGGAGATGAGTTCATGTCGTCTTCAATCCCAGAAGACTATTAATCCGCTTGTAATCAACAATATGTGAAGCAACGCTGGGCTACCGTTTTCCAGAGGAAAAATACCTCCGTGGGCTTGCTTTCACGTTTTTCTACCAAAGCTCACACCTGGGTTCTTTGACGGGGCAGTTGAAAGCGGTTTTGAACTCCTTCGAATTATCCAAGGGGCCCTTGATGCGCGCGAAGCCGGGCGAGTGCGGATCGTTCTTGATGAGCCAAACGTCGAATCCCCTGGCGCTGGAGACGTCGCACCAAGACTGGGCATACTTGATGAAGAAGAGCTGGTCGTGGGTAAAGTTACCGAGGCCCGGGAGGTTGTAGTCCTGGGTTGTGCCACTTGCCTGCTGGCGCTTCCAAGCCGCGTACGAGGTGGTGAGGCCGCCCGAGTCAGCAATGTTTTCACCGAGTGTGAAGTTGCCTTCGACGTGCACGAGAGTGCCGTTGGGGGCCGTGACGGCAAACTCGTCGTACTGCTTGGCGAAGCACTGGGCGCGCTCCTGGAAGGCCTTCTCACTGCTCTCGTCGAACCAGTTGGTAAAGGAGCCGTCGGGCCCGTAGTTGTGACCCTGGTCGTCGAACCCATGGGTCAGCTCATGGCCGAGAACGGCGCCCATGCCGCCGTAGTTGATGTACGAGGGGTAGTCGACGTCGTACAGGGGCTGCTGTTGGATTCCCGCTTGGATGAAGATGTCGTTGAATTCTGGAAAGTAGAAGGCGTTGACCACCGACGGGCTGAACAGCCAAATGCCCTTATCTGTAGGCGTCCCCAGCTGAGACCACAGCTTGCCGGTGAACCAAAGAGCAGCGCTGACCGTGTTGTTGAAGTAGGAGTCGCTGACCTTGAAATCACTATAGTGCTTCGCGATGTCTTTCGGGTCTACCGTGTTGGGCCCGACGTCGGGGTAGCCAATCTTCTTCGTGATGGCGCGGACTTTCTCCTCGGCAATCTTTTTAACCCCGGCGGATAACCATTCTCTATCGGCAAGGCGTGTTATGAACTCCGTCTGGATATTGCTCATGAGGTTCGTGGTAAGCTCTCGGGCCGCCTTTGAGTAGGCTTTGTCGACGAAGAAGCGGCCGAGAATCCAGCCGAGCCCGTTGGATAGTTCAATCCATGAGGCTCCTTCCTCGACGTGGGAGACACATCGTTTCCAACGAGGGGCACGGCCAACTAAATTGGGGTCCAAACCTAGTAGTGTACCCCTTATGTCAACCAGCGGCTCCATGACCTCGGCCTCGACGTACCCGGCTAACGTGCGAACCGCCTTCCAGATGAAAAACCCCTTTAGTGTGTCTGCTGTAGTGTTGGACAGCAGTACAGACAGATTGCCGAAATAGCCAGGCGAGAAGACGAGGTCGGTGGGAGTGTAGCCAGGCGGTGCCATGCTCTTGATGACGAAATCATGTCCGAGTTCCGGAGCGACGCTTGTCACTTGCTCCAACGTGAACGTTTTGTATGGTTGCTAGGAGCCGTTAGTATGAGGATTTCATCATGATGATGACGGAGGAATCGGCTTCTGCCACACACATATTTGCCATCCTTGCTGTCGTCAAATTCTCCCAAGTTAGCAGCATCTATTTCAAACTTGGTGACACCCGATGCAAGCTTCGCCGCTGCTTCCTCGGTGAGGTTTGCTGGGTGAACCGCTCGAAGCACTGATGCCTGGATAGCTAGATACTTGTCGACTGTCTCATCAGGAGTATCGGGAGTGAGTGGCGATCCGCCGGCGGGCAAGACTCTAATGATTGTCCTGTTCTATAAGTTATGAGCTTCTTCTTTTTTTTTCTTTTGGCACAATGCAAGCTGATAAACTTGGGCTAGAAAGTATCGATCGTTATGAGTAGAACCGGGAAAATACTAACAGAGTTGGCTTCATCCCAGGAAGGTTGAATTAGTTCGAATGTGGGGATAGAGTGCTGGGTAAAAAGAAGGAGCACTTTGCCCAAGTTATCGTCCTTGGTGATCAGGTCCTCAGGCTTCTTTTTCGGAAAAGCCTCCTCGATGAGGTCAAGAACAGCGATGAGAGGAGCCAGCCCTGCGGCCTCGACGGCGGTGTAGTTCAAGCATGCATTGTATGCATCGGTTGTGAGCTTGAAGTTATCTCGGTCGACAGCAACCTGATCTGCAGACAAAGATTCAGAGATGAACCCGGTTGCCGGTCCCGAGGGGTAAGGGTTCTCAAGGATATTCTTTAACAAGGCTTGAACCGAATCAGAGTTGAACGTGGATGCTTGGCCCGAGCCGGCGGATGGCACACTTTTCCTTCTAAAGCCATCACATGCGACTTTATGAAGCAACGTTAGTCTGCGAAGAAATAAACCATTCTTCTGGAAGTGGAGGACAACATGAACATGGAGACGCAACTCCAGGGACGGTGATAGAGGGGCAAGCAGTCAGCAGTCTTACGCTTGTCAAAGTCTGTACAGGGATCGATTTCTGTATAGTTGGCAGCAAGATTGAAGAAAATGTCTGCGGCGAGTCCGAGGCATGCTGGGGTTGTGCAGGCAAGACCGCCTGTGTCGAGTCCCGTAGAATTGGTAACGGGAGCCATCTTGTTGTTAACGAGGCTTGATTATATCAAAACGTTGTGCTGTTTATGATCATTAGGCAACTTAGAACGAAGCTCAGAATACCTAATTAACGAGCGTGTCTTGGGCTAGGTCATAAACGATTGTATTCTCTGTTGTCCCCGTTGAAGACCATCGAAAAAGATTTCTCCCTGTTTACTCAAAGATTTGGCATAGGTTTTATATCCAGGCTGCCCCTGAGCTATGAGCTCTGCGATTTCCAAAAGAACGGCAGGAATGCACGGGAAATTTGCAAGTAGCGCCAATTACCACAGCATTCCCTTCAGCCAGAGAAACCTCGCAGAACTTCCCAACTTCTGTTTCACACCGGATCTAAGTCTACTAAAACACCAGGTTATGCAGAATGGTAATTTAGCTTGGCCAATTCCCCATCGTGTAGTGAAAGTGACAGCTGTGGGGGAAAAGGCAGCGTCACCGGCTGAATGGTTAGGTTGCTAGTCGCAAACATGTGTCTCAGCCTATATTGCACGTGTCCGGCAACATCTAGCTTAGCTGTCAAGCCTTACCTGGATGATACTAGCATCTTTCTGCGAGGCAAATGTTGACATCGCACTGTTGTCAGTCTTATTGTGAACAGAGCAGTGTACCAAGTTGAGCCGGAACACCAAAGATACACTAGAGCACTGCCGGGAATGTACCGTCATTCTGAGCATCTGACTGAGGCGAGACACCTTTACATGGACGGAAATAAGTATCTAACCTCAGCATTTCGGCTGACTTCACGTCTTGAACTTCCATTGTCGATATCGTTGAATGTTCAAGTAAATTATACACCTTTATATACTAAGCACCATCAACTTTTGGGCTACAATTTTTCAAACTTCCCCTCATTTCCTTCCCATTGTTAAAAGACCCATTACTATTTCAGACAGATCTGGTTTGAATCACTCTTATACCGACCCTTAACTTTACTTGGAGACTCATTACGCTCAACTACGGCTATAGATGAAACTACTGCGAACATGCAGTAGCCAGACATCTCAGCCGCGATATGTTGAAGCATATTTTTCGGTTTTGGGACCTTGCAAAAGAATAGAGAGAGACGTTCTCGATTTTTTGAGACCTCACGCACTCAAAAAGCAAAATATTAGGTCCATCCAGGATTCGAACCTGGGCTTACGGAAAGTTCTGGTGTTAATCAGAATCCGACGTCCTAACCAACTAGACTAATAGACCTGTCGGGATGATTGAGCCATTACTGGCTGTTGTCAAATCTAAGGAAAATTTGCACTATGTTCTGTGTGGGTTTAGCCCTCTTTGGATCGTCGTTGTGGGGTTCCGTTGCCACCTCCATTTAACTGGGATCCACGATCTAACCAAAATCAACACATGCCCCATCTTGAGGATACTTACTTGGGTTACCTCAATTGTTCTCTTTGTTTCCGGTTTAACGTTCTTATCAACTTCCTGGGTTAAGTACATTCTATGAGCGGCCCTGACTTGACCAACTCAGTATCCAAAGGATTCAAGGCAGTCAGTCAAGTCCTTCTCCGCAGCCTTCCGCATTTCTGTGATCTGCTCTGGCGTTTGCCCCCTCAACACCATTGGGTGCAACAAAGCAAAAGGGCATAGTAGCCCCTCAAGCTTTCTGAGTTGATCAAGCGCAGGCATTTGGGGAATATCGCTTGGTCTCATGGTGCCCCTGGCAGCTAAAGCGTCATCCCACGCCTTGGCTGTCCTAAGTTGTCCAGTTGCCTCCTCCGGCAAGTCAGGAATGTCAAAGTTGCCAGTAATCATAGCCTTCCCCAAGCGACCTCCGCTGAGGTCCGGGTCTCTTCCGGTACCGCCGCCAGTGTTTCCTCCAATGTCCCCAAGTGAGGCAAAGAACTCATGGCACGGGTGAGAGACGTAGGCAAAGTCGAAATCGAGAATTCCCGTCAACTTGTTCGTTTCAGGTTGGTATTGAATATTGTTCGTGGCTGTCGATGGAATCAGATCTTGCGTTACAAAAGGCTAGAAATGGAGTTACGACTTACTTAAGTCCCCGTGTATAAGTACACGCTTGGCTGTGTCTAGGCCGGTACTGGCAAAGTATTGATCGAGCCCGGAAGAGATGAAACGGCTGATGCGTTCCTCTACACCATTGGGCTTCCAACCCTCTAGTACAGGGCTTTCTCCAGAATCCTCTAGCTGGTAAGCCAACTTCGATTTCCAGAAGTCGAGATATGAAGCCCAGGGACCTCCTTTGAGCGTTGTCATCTCTCCGCCTACTATCTTTCCAGCATCATCGATAGTCAACCCTCCGTGAGACTGGATGCTATCGGGCAGGGGAGCCCGCTGAATCCCTGAGAATACATCCGCAATCTGCTCGAGTATATTTTTCTTGTCTTCGTCAGGCAAGTCCCGGAACTTTCTGTCAAGTGGGATGCCCTCCTTGAACTCCATCAATGTCCAGCCGAAACCACCTTTTGCGCTCTTATGTGACCGCCAAGCATAGACGGCTGGGATGAGAAATGCAACCTCTGGTCTGAAAGCTAGAAGGCCCTGACGGGCGAGATGGATTGCTGCGACTTCATTCTCGATGCGGTTGTCTTGCACGATACCCTCCGCCTTGGGGTTGGATAAGCGCATAATAAAAGTCGAGACGCCTCCCGCTGGCGGAGGGATGGTGTATGGTCCACCATTGGCGAAGTTTCTCGCCGTAGCCGAGTTTGCAAGTGTGATTTTGTAAATAAAGTTGTTGTACTGGAATGGGGAATTCTCGTCATAGTCGACAGGCAGAATGTCCGTTGGCTTCGAAAAAGTATTAGCAAGTTTATTTTATGATAACGTGGCCAAGCTCTCACCTCCAGATCAAAACCGACAATGATAGCCTTGACAAGGTCAAGGCGCTCTTGAAAGTGTTCGTGGCTCATTTTCAGAGATGGTCCACAGATGGACAGGTAAGAAGTCTGGGTTTTTGTTGCAAATAAAGTCAATATGTTTTCTCGACGGCTGAGACGCAGGTTGCGAGGACATTTATACTTCACAGCCCGGCATACATGTTGAACCAATTAGCCGATTGCAGTGGGTGGTTTCCATTCAAGAACCAGGATCTTCATCAACCTCATGGCAGCTCCAGTAGTCACTACCCCTGGATTGGAAGGAGATGGTAAGCCCCCTTCCTCCCTTACATGCCGTAATCCGCCTCGAGTAGGGACCACATTGGCAAATCACGGCGTAGTGCGACACATTGTTGAGGAAGTGAACGCGGAAAGAAGGAATAAGAGCCAAATGCAATTAATTGTCTGACGCAGCGAATCGGATCCTATCCGGAAACGCCAAAGAAATCAGTGGCTGTTCAACAGCGAAAGCGCTTTTGGTCGCAAGTCTGAACTGCTGGTGTTGGTACCAATTTCCGAAGCTGACCCTTGCCATGGACCATTGCTGCCTGGAGCATTGTTATTGTTGATACTACAATTGAGGCACAGCAGTCTAAGCCGTTGCTGCAGCCCATCTCGGCAGTGCAGTTTTGTCGGTACTCCTTCTGACGGACATAAGATTCAGTCTGCAACGCGACTTGTGCGAGGCCAAGTACGGGTACTTCTCAACACAGTTTTGAGTCGCACTGTGGGCAAAAATGGGCTCACATCGGTTTGCCCAATAACTATGTCGATGAAAAAAAAGAATCCGCTGCGATAACTTTCTCTCTCTTAGGAAGAGGTTACTCGACTTGCATTTCCAAGATTCACGGCTGCAATGAAGTTCAAGTGCCGCGATATTCACATTGTGTCTAGCGGTTGATGACTCGAAGAGCATGATTATGTAATTAGAAAACCCGCTGGCAAGAACGGTGTTGGTAAGGTCGCGTTGTTGACTGCTAGTGCTAAGTCTGACCTTGCGGTGTTAACATGTTTAGTTGTAGGTCAGAAGCAAGGTTAGTAAAGCAATTAGTCTAGTCTAGGTGTTTTTGGATTGGAAAATGATATCATGTAGACACCCAGCGTTGCACACTAGACAATTAGGCTCAAATCCCACCTGCTGCGTTAAGCGAAATTCTAAAACAGCCTTATCATGAAGGCAAGTACTTACTTTGTTCTTGCTACATTGAAAGTTGACGGCTGTTATGGAGTCTCCAGCGTAGCTGTGGGGGCCGTAACTGAAGCCCCACAAATTGCCGTTAGGTTATGAGCCGAATTCTGCCGCTCCACATCAACACCACAGCATCTGACAAGATGTTACATGGTTTCGTGGTGTAGTTGGTTATCACGTCAGTCTAACACACTGAAGGTCTCCGGTTCAAGTCCGGGCGAAATCAATCTTTTGTCGTACTTTCTTTTTTCCCAATCCAACAAACCCCATGGCAACCTTGTCTTGCAGCCGAGAAGTTATATAGCATTTGTTCAACAATTTTGTTCCTGAGAATTAATTACTTTGTATAGTTTTCATGTTTTAGGAACTTAATTTTACGATTGTGCGGCTCGTCTGAGCTACTGCATGGGTATCAGATGTCAATAACTCCAACAACCCGGCCAACGACGCGATCCCACTCCTCGTCCCATCTAAGGCTGCCTTCCTTCACAGCACCAGCCTTCAAATTCTTCAACTCCTCCCTACCACTCTCACTCAGCAGTCGAATTAAAACCTCGGCTAACTCGGTAGCAGTCTCAAAGCCGCATCCATTTTCACCCTCCTTGACAAGCTCACCGAAACTCTCATAGGCCGAGTAGGCGGCGACTGGCAGACCGGAACCGAACATGTCTACTACTTTCATTGGTAAATCCACGCCAGAGCTGGACATGTGCAGGCAGACACCGAGGTCCGCGCAGGCGAGAAGGGTGGCATATTCCCGTGTCGATAGCCATGTCGTAAGAATCGTAATACCCGGCAGCTTGCCCTCTAGGCGTAAAGTCTTGATCTTTTCCTCATATTCGGCTTTTTGAGGGCCCTTGCCGGTGATGATGGCTAGAATGTGAGGCCTTCCAACTCCATTCTCGGTAACGGCCTCCTCAGGGTGCGCATATGCTACCAATGCATCCAGCAGCAAGCCAAAGTCTTCGTCAGGTGTCCATGAGGTACTGCTGACGATGAGGCGGGTGGTACCCTCCAGAATAGCATCGGCAAAGTCTTTGGTTTCTTTAAGACGAGAAAGGAAATCTTTGCGAGCACCAGCCGACTGAATGGGCTGGAAAACTTCAGCAGGACGGTCATGCAACACATGAATAGGCTTCTTATTGTTGTAAGGCTTCTCGCGGAGTTGGCGGGCCATGGCTTGAGTGACGGTGAGGTTGGCTGTAGGCACAATCCTTCCAAAAAAGGTCTCGTACTTCTTGTACATCCATACCAAGGGGTTCTTCCTGCTGCGACCGGTAGCCATGATGGACCAGCCATAGTTGTGCCAATCAATAAGCAGGTGACTGCCCCTCAGTAGGGATATAAGTAGAGCCAGATGCAATGTTGGAATCGATGGTGGATTCTGTAAAGAGTTAGACATGTGGGTAAGAGATTGCAGTTTACGTACCTGAATAATGATCCATCGAGCTGGAGGCGCCGTGTAAGCCAGCACGTAGAAGATAGACCAAGCCTGCCAGACGACTTTGGCAGGCTTGTTGATCAAGAGGGGCAACGTGTTCCATTTGAAAACGCTTGGAAGTGCTGGCAGAGGGTACAAAGTGACTCTGTCATTGCCTACGAGATCAGGATGACGGGCTGTTTCCTTGTAGCCCACGAGGTCAACTTTTCCTCCGTGCTTCATGACGCTTAGTGCATGATACTGCATGCGAGGGCTTCGGCCTATGTCACCCAAGACTAGGATCTGGATGTGGTCATCCTTGGGATTCTCTGCCGCATGATAGCGCGAGGGCAGTATCTTGAATATCAGGTTGATACCAGAGGCGGCAACGAGGGTGGTCAACACACCGGCCAGGACGGCAAAAACAAGAGGCGCCGCCGACATGATGGCGATGCGGATTAGATAGATAAGTACAACGGTGCCAGTTGAGGTCGTGTGATAAGATGAGCTGTGTGGAATCACAGATTGCCGTTGACCCTTAACCCTCAGGCGTTGGCCGTGGTGGTAGCGCTTATGCAAGCTGTCCCGTTGCCGTCCTGTGGTCTTAGCGCATGAGGGGCCAAGTTGGCGATGGGAAAGGTCGGACACGGGCAGTAGCTTTTGTACGTCAGTGAACAGACGTACGTATCTCTGAATGCCTTGCGTATGAGACGGTGGCCTGTTGTCGAAGGTGGTCAAATGCGCAAAAGTGCGTGACTGGGCTAGACCCCTCTTCCAAGAAGCTCGTCTTCGTTCGCGCCTTCCAACTTGGGATGGGCCTTTTGCAGTTGCAACTGTGGCGCCAATCAGGGGGCTACTGCTGGTGATATCGCAAGTCCATTGGTCACGTGTACCGATAAGCAAGCAGGTACGTACCACACAGGGGACCAAATGTACAATATGAAAGTAGATAGGTACCTGCGTTGCGCACAGAGTACATTTTCTAGCCTTGCAGCAAACCCGCAGCTTTGGAAATCGGACTCTTGCTCCATGGGCATCAGCCAGATTTGACCATCCTCTGTGTTTTCGTCATCTAATCAACGAGAAACCGGCTGCTGCACATGCCAAACAGACACAGACCAGCCGCGTTGTCAGAAATTTGTCGGCGACGGCTGCCAACTCGGCGCATTTCCATCTTGACTGCTCCTCCGACAGGCATGGCATGCCCAGACATTTAGAGACATGTCGCAATTAGACTGGATGGCCACTGTTAGCAGAACCACTGAAAAACACCGCCATTTCCGCGGGAGGCCCATCAGATATTATCAGCCTGGGATCGGGGCCGCATTATCTGCATGGGCATCTTTATGCAGCCAGCTCCCAACGCGCCCACGTAGACCCAGTTCAGAGTGTCTCTCTGGATGGGCATTCTACGCCTCTCCAACGAATCATGTCCACTGCGACTACGAACGTGTCGCCTAGCTCCCTCCCCACACGGAGAAATCTGCAGGGGTTGACAGCCGGATTCCCTATTGGGACAAAGTGGGAGGGGAGAGAGAGATTCATCTGAAAGGAGGCACCACCCGACGTCCCGTGGTTCAGCCAAAAAAAAAACCACGCTTCCGCTGCCGGTGTTGCATTCCACCTCTGACGTTAGGTGCCCACTGCTGCTTGTTTTCATTCTTTGATCTGAGCTTTTCAGCCCATTTCTCTGCGTCCATCCCCCTCTCTGTTTTGACAAGCCATCAGTGACAGACACCGTTCAACCTCGCGTTTTTCAACATTGTCTGTGCGACGCGCCAGTACGGCCATCATCGATCGAACTTCTGGGCGTAGCAGCGTTGGTGTGCACCGCAACGTCATTAGCTAACGGGGCGACTCCATTCCGGCCTTTTTAGCCTGTGCAAGTCCCCTGAATTGCCGCTGGGATAAGGCTCAACAGCGCCACTACGAGCACACGACTGTCATTCTACTGTCGCAGCGCCGTTACCTTTACCCTTCCAGCTCCTCCCAGCTCTACGGCATCGGAGGGTCCCACGACACCTCAATTGCAACAATCCCCTTTACAGCACCGTTCCTCTCTCAAAACTTCATCCAAGGAGAGCAAATATTCCTCCGACTCATGACTCAGGCTTTCTCGCGATAAGGAGGATCTTTTAAAAGGGTCCCGAACCAACGGATCTTCGGTGGAGAGACCAACGAGAACGAGCCAAAGAAATTACGACAGAGGGGGCCCAGGGAGAAAGACCTCTTTTTCTCGCCTAGATCCCCGCCGATACCGACACCGACGTCGTCCCCAGACCGACCCAACATCGTCTCGCTACCGTCAAGCATGGCATCGTCCTACGCCTTGCCATCCTCCGCCCTTCCGCACGCTCACCATCATCACATGCACTCCCACTCCCACTCGCCGCCGTCCCTCAATGCGTTGAAGTCGACAATGTCCAACGGCGGGCTGCATACCCACAGCCAGAGCCAAGACTCGGCCGGCAACAGCCACGTACACGATCACGATCACTCCCATAGTCACAATGGCCACGCCCATGGCCATCCACACAGTCGAGCGAACTCGAGCCATTCTTTACACTCTCGAGAAAGGGCGCCACCCCGATCGCTCGCGTCAATGGACGGCTGGAAAACAGACGTCACCCCGAGCGGGCGCCAACTCCTGACGCCTACAAGTGGTTCCTTCTCGGGGGCTTTCCAGCCTCTCGACAGCACATCGATAAGAGAACATGACCATGACCACGATCATATCCACGGTGATCATGGCCATGACCATGACCACAGTCACAGTCATTGTCACGGCCACGGCCACGACCACAGCCACAGCCATGCCCACGGCCATGCCCACAGCCATGCACACGATCACTCGAAACCCTCCCTATTCACCAGGATTATTCTCCAATACACACCAGCAGTTCCATTTCTGCATACGATTGTCGCGGAAAAGGACTCAAGGAGAATCTTCTACTTCATGACGTGAGTCAAGCTGTGTTCCTCGAGTGTCTTTATTGGCTGACCATTGCGTTTCATAGGCTCAATTTTGGCTTCATGGCTGTTCAAGCGTTCTACGGCTACGTTACCGACTCACTGGGCTTGCTCAGCGACACGATCCACATGTTTTTCGATTGTTTCGCCCTCTTCGTCGGTCTCTGCGCCGCGGTTACAAGCAAGTGGCCCCAGAGCCAGCGATTTCCTTTTGGTCTTGGGAAGATCGAGACATTGAGTGGTTTCGCCAATGGCATTTTGCTGATGTGGGTACTCCAAACTGGAACATGACGTATCATGTCTAATCAACACAGGCTATTGAGTGTAGAGATTATCGTAGAAGCGTTCGAACGGATATGGGAAGGCCAACAACTTCATCGTCTCAAGGAGTTGCTCATTGTCAGTTTTCTGGGCGGAGTGATTAACCTGCTGGGTCTGTGGGGTTTCGGCCACCATCACCACGGCCATGACCACTCCCATGGCCATTCGCATTCGCACGGCGGGCACGATCATGATCATGCACATGACCACTCCCACGGCAAGAAGCACAGCCACGCACACTCCCATCACAATGACAACATGGAGGGCATTTTCTTGCACGTCCTTGCCGATACCATGGGCAGTGCGTCAGTGGTGCTCTCGACAATCCTCACGTACTATACTGGATGGACGTTCTGGGATCCCTTGGCATCTTGCGCTATCGCGATCCTTATTTTCCTGGCGGCGATACCCCTTATCAAGTCTTCGGCACGCAACTTGCTTCTCAACATCCCTGATGATGTCGAGTACAACTTGCGCAACACCCTCGCCGGTATTCTGCAACAGAAAGGAGTTGTCAACTACTCAGTGCCCAAGTTTTGGATGGACGACCGCAGCAGCGAGGACACAGGCGACAAGCTGCAGGGCATAGTACACGTTGTGGCGGGCCGAGGGGCTAGTCTGGATGAGGTACGCGATCGGGTGCGCGAGTACCTCCTCAAGCACTCGATGGACATTGTAGTCCAGGTTGAGCGAGAAGGAGACGCCGGCTGCTGGTGCGGTGTTGGACGATCGACGGGGCTGGCCACGACGCCGCTGAAGAGGAGCTTTTAGGAAAACACATCGCCAAGGAGCTTGGTGCCAATGATTATCGAGCCGGTACAGGAACAAGACGACCGCACGAAGCGGGATTAAGGGTCGTCCCTTGCGCCTATTCTATTCTTATGATATGGTGAGGAAGGTTGAAAGAGTGTGTCGCAAACGTGGAAAAAAGACGATGGTTAGTCGGAGACATAGTTTCGATGAGGCGCGGCCAACTTCTTGAACCCGCACGGGTTGGTTTGATCTATTTTTGGGGTTTCTGCTTCTTTTTCTCGTACACGTGTTGTTGGAGTCGGGGGAAAGTTACACAGAGGTACTCATATCACGGGAGGCATTGCGACGGCATTCAAAGACTTGTATGAGTAGACACACATATTGTTTTGCGCGGCAATGGAAAACTAGATACCCTTGAGGCCAAGATTTTGCACTCCACCATAGCTGCAACCAAGAGCGATGCGAAGGCCAAAAATTCCGTCGACCCGAGATCCTTCAAGGGTATGACATAAGTCAAGCAACCAAGCTCGTCACCGTCATCTCGCGTCCGCCTCGCAGCCAAATGGTTGTTCCCACCTCCGTCCGCCCGGAGCGGCGGTTGGGGGGGACTTGGCTAATGTAAGGCAAAATAAGGGAGTGTGTGGGCCAACTGTCACTCGACGTGCAGGAAAAAGGGCAGGCCTGCCTGACCAGGGGTTTTTGGTCCTGACTGGGCTGGATTGGAGAAAGGGTGAGATTTTGAGTTCACAGTCGTACCGAATCTAGCAGTTGAAGAGTTGTTGCAGGTACTGCAGAGTCAACGGTGCAGGTCGAAGCAGCAGCGGTGAACCGAGGACCAATGGCCCGTTTCCCCGCGTGGACCAGATCTCGGGGTTGTGGTGAGGCCGCTGGTGGGGGTGGAGATGACAAGATGCGCCCTGTGTCTAACAAGCAGTCTCTTGATTTGGCTGAATCCTTGTGTGGTTTTTCAAAGCGCCTGAGTAGTTTGGGGTAACGTGGGATTTGCTCTCTGAGAAATTGGATGATGTTCTGTAGTGTCTGCGTTTCTCAAAAAACATGTTGTCTCACTAAGACCCTTTGCCAAATGGGGGATTTCACATGATAATGTCGCAAGGAATTGAGTTCGTCTCATCCCTTCCCATCATTACCCATCATCCCTAAGGTACTTGGGGGTCACACGATGACAAAATGACGATGCGTGTTAGAGGTTGTAGGGGATATGGATGGGACAGACAACCAGGGTTATTCAAACAGGGAAGAGCACTGTGTGCATTCATAAAAGCCGCTGACCCAGTGCAGCAGGTATTAACATTAGCATGCGCCTCACACCAACATGTACCTGGGCCTTATCCCCCGTCCCACCGATATCGTTTGCCTTCCGCGAGGAACACGGTGCCCCAAACTTTAGCGCAGCACCCCGCTAGAAGCCAGGGCCCGCTAACCCCCCCTTCGCCCCGGACCCCAGGCGAGGTATTTGCTGGGTAGTGACAATGAGCCGAACGACCGAGGCCCGTGGGATTATTACGTGGACAGTTCTACAGCCAGAGATGGTGTTTCATTCCATCCCGCGCTGCCGGGATGAGCTCATTCGTGTTGCTGCGTGGGAAAAGGAAAAAAAAAAACGGCCCATGACGCTCTGTCCTTTTCAACCCTTAGTCAGTTGAAATACCAACTTTTAGAACATCCTAGCTGCCATATTTTGTTATTTCGATATTCGTCGCCGCAACCAGACAAATCACGAGCAAATCTGTCACTAGGACTTTTGACCCTAATAGAACGTTCATCAGTGGATCAACCAGCCGGTTACAAGTGGAGACCAGCGAATACAGACTTGCCGAGGCTCGCTGTGACGTAGCAGCTCACACGCCCCCAGCTCCCAAACCCCCGAATTGTGTGCTGTGCTGTGCGGGCAAGCATCTTTTTGGATCAAAAGGTCGAAGAGGCAGACAGACCAACAGACAAAACCTCCACGGAGTACCGACCGACGACGAAACTTTTTTGCTTCGCAGGTACAGTGGTTACATTTACGCTAATTGCGGATCTTTTCGCGCCAGGAACGGACCGCTCGGGCTTGATTCCTTCGATCCATTGAGAAGTTGCGCCAAAGCAGAAGCTAGCTGGCAGCACATATCGCGGACACGTGAATCTCCCTTTCCCCCGGACTTTTCTCCTTCCCCCCCTCCACAAACATTACCACCTCCATCTTCCACACACTCTCTCAAACTCCCCTCTCCTCTCTCCCTCATTCTCGCGAGTGTCGCCTTGAACTTTCTCAATTTCTAACCCGCCGGCTAGATTAGAAAGGAAACTAAAGACAACTCCTCCGACAATGGCGCCCTCAACTTCCCCCGAGGCCGTCAACGACAAACTCCAGTCTCTCCCGAACCCCATCGCAGACAAGATCCCTCACATACCCGAGTCTAAAGAGGAGCTCAAGGCAGATGCGAGCAAGGCCGCCTCCGGTCTCGCAACACAACTGCGCTCCTTCGCTGCGGGCGGTTTCGGTGGTCTCTGCGCCGTTGTCGTCGGCCACCCCTTCGACCTCGTCAAGGTCCGTCTGCAGACCGCCGACCGGGGCGTTTACAGCGGCGCCATCGACGTCGTAAAGAAGAGCATCGCGCGCGATGGCTTGCGACGGGGTCTGTACGCTGGCGTTTCTGCGCCGTTGGTCGGTGTCACACCAATGTGTAAGTTTCCTCCAGCACTATCGAAGATGCCCGTTTCCGAGAGCTTTTGAACTAACAAAACCCCAAAGTCGCCGTCTCGTTCTGGGGTTATGATGTAGGCAAATCACTCGTCCGCTCCACCAGCAACCCCGACGCCCCTCTCACCATCGGCCAAGTTTCGGCCGCCGGTTTCTTCTCCGCCATCCCCATGACCGCTATCACGGCCCCCTTCGAGCGCGTAAAGGTCATCCTCCAAGTCCAGTCGCAGCGCCTGCAGCCTGGCGAGAAGCCGAAATACAACGGCGGTATGGACGTTGTCCGCGGCCTCTACCGCGAGGGCGGTGTGCGCTCCGTATTCCGCGGCAGCGCCGCCACTCTTGCCCGTGACGGTCCCGGTAGTGCCGCATACTTCGCCGCCTACGAGTACATCAAGCGCCGTCTGACCCCCAAGGACCCCGTGACCGGAAAGCCGCAGGGCGAGTTGAGTCTGCTGGCCGTCACCGCCGCCGGTGCTGCCGCCGGTGTTGCCATGTGGATCCCCGTTTTCCCCGTCGACACCGTCAAGTCGCGTCTGCAGACCGCCGAGGGCAACGTCAGCATTGGAGGTGTTGTGAGGGAGGTGTACGGCAGAGGCGGCTTCAAGGCCTTCTTCCCCGGTTTCGGCCCCGCGCTGGCCAGAGCTGTGCCTGCTAATGCCGCTACCTTCCTGGGTGTCGAGCTGGCCCACCAGGCCATGAACAAGGTTTTCGGTTAAAGGAGTAGAGGAGTGGGATTCTAAAAGAGATGGAGATTGGGAGGATGGTTCTGGGATAAGGTGAAAGGTGAAAGGAGAAGAGTGAAGATGACAAAGGGCGTTCGGAGGCACGATTCCTTACACAACTATTACTTACTACTACTACCACACTATTTCTTTTTTTTCTTTTCTTTCCTACGTCACGTTGAAATAGAAGCGCGGGGGGAGGACTCGATAGTCTTTTTTCCCCCGCTGATGACATTTGCCTTATTTGTACACACACACATGATGAAAACAAAAAGAAGTCGTGTTAAGAGATGTGTTCATTCTCTCGCATTTACATAGGCTATGCTTTCGTGAAGTTTGTGTGGGGGGGAAAAAAAAAAGGAGTAGAGACGGCGTGATATACCGCTGATGGCCCCTCTCGTTCTTGACTTGAAAAAAATTCGGTTGCTAATTAAATAAAAAAAAGTATTTGTTTTGGATCTTTAATACCGCCCCTCCCCTTTCCTTACTTTTTCTGTCCCTAGTGACGACGCCATGCAAAAAAAATAACGAAGAAAAACAGAAAAGCAGAAAAAAAAGCTGAGTTGTGTGTTTGTGTGTCCTTCGCCGCCCAATGTGTTTGTGTGTCTCATCGTATCTGTATACGGTTTCGCTATGCCATGCCCTTTGCTGCTGCATTTGTACTGTCTGTCTCTCCCGTGTCGTGTCGTACGTTTCCACCAATCTCTGGCTTAGTCTACCCATTCGTCGCTCGCATGCAAATATGTTTGTATGTATGCTTCCCGGCCGTCACGTAAATTTGATTGACTGTACTTTCCATCTTCCTAAGCGCGCTCGTTGACGGTCCAGCGTCTCTTTGACGTCGTCATGTCGCGCATAATCTCCGTCTCGCCAAGCGGCCGCGGGGCTCCCCAGAGACCTCCGCCGTTTCCGAAGCTCAGCGGCGGCACCGTGTTCTCCTCCTCTGTGCCGTCGCTAGAAGTCGGGCGAGAGATCTCCTGGAACCGCAGCGGGACCTTGGTCGGACCGCCGAACTGCGCTTCTTTCTTCTCGGGCGTCGGGGGTTTGACGATCTCCGGGCCCTGCTTGGAGAGTGCGGCGAGCTTCTTCCGGTGATCGAAGTCAGGGAAGATGTCATCGTCTTCGTCCTCCTCCTCAGTGGCCGCAACCGTCGGTTCCTCCTTTGGCGTGATGGGTGACCACAGACCAACCGATAAGGTCGGCGAGGAGTTTGTAAAGCTTGTTACGCCACTGCCCACGGTGATGCCGCTGGTGTTGAGGGCCGGCGCCCGGGGGAGCGAGTACGCGTTGGCGTGAGACGTGCGGCGCATGCTTCCGAGGCTGGCGTTGGCCGAGGTGCTTCGGTTGCCCGGGAAGATGAAGGATTCGGGGTTGAAAGCGACCGGGCTCGGCGTGTAAGTCGAGTTCACAGCCGGTACGCGACCCCTCGCACCCGACTGGCCGTTCTGTGACTGGTTAGAGGCAGTGGACGGAGCCCTGGAGAGGTTGTGGGTGGAGGACGAGCTTGGCCTCAGATGGTCCGTATTCGCGAACAACTTGAGATCGTAGTACTGGTGGACTGGAATCACTCCGTCCTGAGCCAAGGGGTCCGCAACCTCTGACAGAGGCGTATCGAGGCCGGAGGGCTCTGTCTCACGGCCGGGTTTCCGGACGGCCATGGTCAACGAGGCCATTGCCACGTCCATGAGCACCGGCTGGTGGGTGATGGCACCGATCAGAGCGTTGCAGCCGGCACCGTGGGACACAAGGATAACAACGGGCTCGATGTCGTCGTCATCCTCGTCGTCGATGGCGCACTCGTTGTCGCCGTTGTGCGAGGTCTTCACCGTCTTGGTGACCATCTCGGCCGGACGCTCGGCCGTGGTGTACCAGTCTACGAGCTTCTGAACACCCTTCCTAAAGCGTTGGTGCATCGCCGTCCACTCCTCGCCGTACTTGCCTCCATCGCCCCAGTCCAGAGGGCCACGCATCGAGTCCCATTGGTAGTCAACCTGCACACAAGCGTCCCTTGCATGTGCCACGTAACCGTCAGGGATCTTCAGGTTCGGCGAGGTGGCATAGTTGGGTGTCGGAGCTACGTATCCGTCGTTCGGGTTGCCGGGCTCGGGGACCATGAAGCGAACTCGCTGGCTCGAGGAGCTGGCCGCGCTGTCCGCTCTGCTCCTGGGACGGGCGCCGGACGTGGTGGATGCGTTATCCAGACCAAGGACTGACGGCGCGTTTGAGTCGGTTGAACCGGATCGCTCGGCGCCCCTGAATTTAGGGCTGTTCCATAGCTGGCTCTGCGACTGGCCTACAGAGTTGGCATGGTGGTGGTGGTGCTCGCCGATCTGGTCGTGAACGCTAATGTTCTCCCGCCTGAGAAGATCCGCCTTTGCGCCTGCCAGCATCATGGCAGAGCCAGGGGGAGGCGTAATCATTTCAAAGTATTCGGGCGACAGCCATTCGCCTAGGAAGGCGTCGAGGCGGAGAATGGACTTTTTGACCTTCTTCTTGGGAGGCTCAGACTTTGTGTCGCCCGCATCGGTACACAACGGGTCGACTTCCTCAGACACAGAGGCCGGGAGTACGAAGGGAGAGGAGGAAGGGTTCGCACTGGGTGAAGGCATCGGGTATGAGGGGTTTCCCAGAGCAGGTGCCTGGGCAAGGCCGGCGCTGATGGCGATAGACGTCTGGACGCATCGTAGGAACGGAGAGCTGTGGAGGACGACCTTGAACTTGCGTCGCTTCTTCGCGTCGGTAGAGCTGTCGCGGCCGTTCGGGGCATTCGCATTCAGTTCGGCCTCGGCCTGGCGTAGGATGTTTGCGATGCGGACGCCGAGGGCCTTGGATTGTTGCCAGCCGCCGTAGGTCAAAGGGGGATCGTAGGGAGTTGGAGATGTAAGGTGCCACTTCTTGTCGGCGGCGTCGAGGCGTGCGCCGTGCCTAGAGTTGAAAGATCAGCCTCACGAGCAAAGACACATGCTAGAAACGAAGTGCACCAACCTGACCACGAAAATGTACGCGGGCGGGCGCCCCATGTTGCTGGCAACCACGGATGCGGATGGAGAAACGTCCACTCAGAATGCGTTTAGAAGCAGACTTGAGGTTAGGAAGAGGACCAGAGGCGTGCGTGACAGCTTTAGCGAAGAAAGAAAACGGACGAAGGGTCAAATAACGGCTGCAGGGACTTGTGGCTAGAGAGATGCCTCCTACCACTCAGACAAGCTAAGGGATCAGATGGCTTAGACGGGCCAAATAAGCTTCGGCCGGGGCGGAAGACGACGAAGCGCGAGGTAGCGAAGGGCGGGCCAGGGACCGTCCGAGGTGAGGCGGCAATGTTGGTAAAAATCGAGGGTGCCGCTGACGCTTTGGAAACCCGAGTGGTTTGGTTTACCGGGCTTTAGTAGAAATCAGAGCGGTATGAAAGGTATGATGTATTTGAGAAAAAGACGAGACAGAAGTAGAGGCAAAGGAAGTAGCGGGAAGCGGGTAGCGGCAGAAATTAGATTTCATACATAATGGGTACCTGCGAGTTTTGGGTCGGTCATCCGGTGTTTGAGAGCCCCTCTCTCCGACCAGCGGGCCACCGACTTCGCAAGCGCTAAAAGCGACTGGGAATGGGGACCTGAACCTGGGCTGGGTTGGATGGAGACCCTGTTTGGACCCAGAATCGGGTCGGTCAACCGTCGGTGGAGGGACAGTGTCGTGGAGAATATTTTCGGTAGCGCGCAGAGGGGAGGGGGAGGGGAACATGGGCAAGGTGGGAGTTATAATTGCGATCGGATCCCTTAAGGAGTTGTTGCTATGTAAAGCGCAAGCAAGGGTTTGACTGGTTTAGGCTCAGCACAGAGCAAATGGGCTAGGTTCTGGCCCTGGGTATACTGTTTGGGGCTGTACTATGTATGGTTTTTTTGGATGTGCTAAGGTATGTAAGTGATGTGATGTGATGGTATGTGCGGCGTGTTCCTCAGGGAGAGCAACGATGCCTGCTTGGGAATCAGACCTGGGCCCCCAAGAGTCAGAAGGCCGGCCAAGGGCCACAGGTGCAGGGCTGCGCGGGGCAGTTCTTTTTTTATATTTTTTATTTTTTATCTTATTCTTTTAATTTTTTTTATCTTGTTTTCCTTTTCCTCTTCCCCTCTGTCTACTATGATGATGCAAGGACCAGGGTTGCCAGATGGGCACAAGTTTGGGTTGGTTCAGTCTGGCTTTGGGCGAATCCACCCGTCAGAGGCGTCAAGGATCGCAGGCAGTGGTCCAATGGTGGTATGTTGTCGTTGGAGCTGGGAGCGATGCGGCGAGTGACAGGCTGGGAGGTCACTGCTAACTCTTAAGGAGGGGGGGAGATCACTCGCCTCCGCTACTGTTTATTACCGGAGCTTCCTGCAGCACCGGCAGAGGGGGGAGCGAGACAGGGGTGGTGCTTGCTGTTATGCCAGGCGCGTCAGCCGTTGGAGTTCTTGCAAAGACTTGCCTACACCTCGGCCGCTTGGACTACGGGTTGCAGCGGGTTACTGTGTGCAATGTTACGTACTGAGTAATTAGTACTTGACTTGGGTACCTTATTATGTTTGATTCCATCTGTTTAAAAATTCTCTGCCCCATCCCCATGCGGGTGGATTGGCGAAGACTCATCTCTCTTCTTTGTGCATGTGATTCTCCCCCTCATTTTTAGCGTCATTACCGCACGTGGGCGGTCAAGAACAAATAAAAAAAGATAATATCAGCCGGTGATTAAAACACCAGATGCGCTCCTCAGGGTTAAGCTTAAGTAATCATACTTTTTTCGTCCCGGGGACCCTTCCATCTCTTCCCACCTTCTGTGAGTTTTCCTGTCAACTCTCAACTTTTCCGTGCAGGCCCAAAGTCATTCCATCTATACTAAGGCGGAAATCACATTCTCCGCGGGGTTTTTTCTCATTTAGCTCCCTCAAAGTCTTGGCTTTGTACGTCGTGAGCTCAACTGTAAATTCCTGCTTCTGGCATTTGTAGAACGAAATAGTACCCGCCATCACATGATGGTGACGCAACATGTCAACGTGAAAAGCCCAGTTTGACATGTTGCTGAACGAAATATGCGACGGCGGCTCTCATCTCGGACTTGTATGCTCCGAGCTTGCCTGGCAGACCCAGCAGGCAGACAGTCTAGACCTTCCTGCCGCCCTCCTTCTTGCTCTTCACTGACCCAGTCTCCACGTCCTCCACCCCGAATGTTTATCTTCATCCCATGTGGTAGTATACGTGTGGTACGGTACCAACGGTATGGGGAAATCTCACTAGCCACACCACTGCTAACCTTATAACAGGCATTGTAGTGGCCCGTGCAGGACAGCATCCCTTCTAACTGGAGTCTCCCTGGGAGCTCGACTAGGGGCCCCCTCCCCTCCCCAGTTACTGTAGTAATAGTGTATTACCTAGTATATCTTACACCTCCATCCTGCATCATCCTGTTCATCGGCAAGTGAGTCAATTGCGTTTGCTCCCTTTTCCATGCAAAGTGCTTCAGAAGGTAGCTTGGTGAAAAAAGTTTAATACACAAGAGCATCAGGAAGACAGAAAGTACTCAAATAGTCTCAAACCAAATCAGTCAAGCAAGCAAGCAAGCAAGCAAGCAAACAATCAGTCCCTCAATCACTCAATCAATCGCATCATGGCAGCACTCCCGGAGGACCAGCAAGTCGATGTCATCCCAGACCACCTCAAAACCCGTATTAAGGAATCTTATGATGCCATCGCTCCGGAGTATAATGAATGGACCGCTCAGCATTCAGTCCTTCGTCTCGAGTATCTCGAAAAGCTAATTGAGAAGCTCCTCAGTGCGAAGCCGCTCTCGGGGCAGATGTCCCTTGTTCTTGAGCTCGGCTGCGGCAGCGGCGTTCCTGTCACCGATAGGCTTCTCACGACCCCGGATGTTTTCGTGACTGCCAACGATCTATCGAGCACCCAGATCAAGCTGGCCAAGGAAAACCTCGCCAAACATGGCACTGACCGCATCTCGTTTGTTGAGGGTGACATGATGGGCCTTGAATTTTCCGAAGGCTCCTTCGATGCTATCCTGGGCATGTACAGCGTTATCCACCTGCCGCGTGAGGAGCAGAGTGAGATGATTCGACGCATGGCTAAATGGCTGAAGCCTGGTGGCCTGCTGCTCGTCAATTTTTCCGCCGAAAACATGCCTGGTCTCGTCATGGAGAAATGGCTGCATGAGAAGGGCTGGATGTACTGGAGCGGCTGGGGTGCTGAGGAGACCACGGACAAGATTAAGGACGCAGGGCTCAAGGTCATTCTCAACGACGTGGTGCAAGATGAGGTAGATGCTGCCTTCTTGTGGATTCTTGCAATCAAATGAGAAGCCCGCCCTATGTCACTTGTTACCTCATTATAAAGATGCCAACATTAGAAGTGGATTGTTTGGAAGGCGCCGGAACGGTTTACATGGCTTTGGACGAGGGTGGTCCCCTCCAAAATGACCCCCTCAAAGTTCGATAGATTGCTCATGTATAATGATTCAAATAAAAGTCGAGTGTCTTACGCTTTTTTCCATCTCGAATGAAGTTTGGGATACTCCCGGACACATCTCTCCTCTCTAAAATCCTTTCGTATTTTAATTGCTCAAACCATCGTATCGGTGCCGTCGCACAGATCTTCCCAAAGAGTACGTAGCTTCGATCTTGTGGAGGGAGAACCTGGCGGGCCCGGATTTCAGCTCATCGTGGGGCAATGGCCCGTGTGGTGGCTAACAATCGACCGGGCTGACTAAGGTCGGGTACCTTACTGTAGTGTTTGTCAGGATGCAGCTCCATGGTGCTGCCCCTTACCAAGCCAACTGCCTGCCTACAACATCAACTTCAATTCACCACAGTCCCTTTGCCGCCCTTGATATACCCCCTATAACCTTTTTTAATTCTTTCTTTTTCCCCAGAAGTACTTCGACAACCGCCTGCGCCGTCATGAAGCTGTCGCGCCTCTTGCAATTGCCAGTCCTGCTGGCGGCCTCGACGCTGGCCCCCGCGGTCCTCGCCGAACACACGAGCAACTGGGCTGTCCTCGTCTGCACCTCGCGCTTCTGGTTCAACTACCGCCACCTCGCCAATGTCCTCTCCATCTATCGCACTGTCAAGCGTCTTGGCATCCCCGACTCACAAATCATTCTCATGCTGCCCGATGACATGGCCTGCAACCCGCGCAACGCCTTCCCCGGAACCGTCTACAGCAACTCGGACCGCGCCGTGGACCTGTATGGAGACAACATCGAAGTCGACTACCGCGGCTATGAGGTTACGGTGGAGAATTTCATCCGTCTGCTGACAGACCGCGTCGGCGATGAGATGCCTCGCAGTAAGCGCCTCTTGACGGATGACCGCAGCAATATCTTGGTATACATGACGGGCCACGGTGGCAACGAATTTTTGAAGTTCCAGGATGCGGAGGAAATTGGTGCTTTTGACTTGGCGGATGCTTTCGAGCAGATGTGGGAAAAGAAGAGGTAGGGGAACAGTCTCTTGCAACAATTGCGGGACAATATGCTAACGATTTGATTTAGATACCACGAAATCCTCTTCATGATCGATACCTGCCAAGCGAACACGATGTACAGCAAGCTTTACTCTCCCAACATCATCGCGACCGGCTCTTCCGAGCTCGACCAGTCCTCTTACTCTCACCACGCCGACAACGACGTCGGAGTCGCAGTCATCGACCGCTACACCTACTACAACCTCGAGTTCCTCGAATCCCAGGTCCAGGACCTGAGCTCCAAGAAGACGGTCGGCGAGCTCTTCGACAGCTACACATACGAGAAGATCCACTCTAATGCCGGCGTGCGCTACGACCTGTTCCGCGGCGGTGCCGACGCCGCCCGCAGCCGTCGCATCACCGACTTTTTTGGTAATGTGCAGAATGTCGAGGTTGATGGGGTCAAGAACATGGTACTTGACGAGGAGCTGCTGGAGCTGAGCCAGAAAATCGCTGCATTGAAGCGGAGAGCCGACGAGGCGGACGCTGCGGCGAAGAACGCGACTCTCGCTGAGATGGCCAAGGGTGAGGCACCCAAGGCGAGGACTCAGACTAAGCGGGTGCAGATGGCCAAGCCTTTGACGAACGACAACTGGTGGGCAAAGAAGCTTATTGGCGCCACAGCGCTGGCTGGATGTGCTATGCTGTGGGCTCTCGGAGCATACCTTGAGGCCCCGAAGAAGGTGGACGATGAGACCAAGAAGACAACTGGGCTGAATGGCCATGCGCCAGTCAAGGCATAACTGTTGTCTGTTGTCTTGCACATTATGCTATATTCAATTTGTATGAACTGCATCCACAGCCAGGCGTTTCTTGGGACAGGGAAAGGACCACAGCTCGGTCGAGCACATGTTTTTATGTTTGTTTTTATGAACGAATTTCCGTATATCACGTAACCAATATCTCTGACCAATGGGAATGGGGGTTATACTATTATTATTATGGAAAAAACTACCTTGTGTCGTGCCATCCGTGAATGTTCAGTTAATGTTGATACTGTGGGTGTTTATCCGGAGTATTTCCATTTGGGGCCGTTCCCCAGCTCACCGAAACCTTCACCGAAGTTTTCCACTCCCAAAAAACTTGCCCCAGTGTTTGATCAGAAAGCCGGCTTTAGAACCTCCCTCCCACCACGATATAATCTGCTACATGGAGGGCCGTCAAGGTCAAATCTCATATCAAAATGGATAAGGTCAAGGTCAGTGTAGTTGATTCGTTCCGTAATTGCATTTTCTCGTCTGCTTTTCCTTCTGGCGCAGAGTCCATGGTCCTTTGCCTGACCTCATGAGAAGTGACATCTCTTGCTCACGGTCTTCCTGCCAATGTTTGGGCTACTTCTCCTCTGTCGTCACTATAGATTGTAGAATTTACCTTGAGATGGATAAAATGTTCATTGTCGCTGCGCCATATACCCTTGACTACTACAGTCCCCCCTCCACCTCACTCATGTGAGCCTTCCTTGTCTGTGTGGTTTCAGTGAACGGCAAGTACAGCAAGCTCGAATAGGCAGTTTCAAGGCAGACTTTCATGCCATGATCCGCTGTAAACTCAGGACATTGGGGCTCTCTCGGGCTAAGGCAATGGACGACCTCGACATCCTTGCAAATGCACTCTTACCCGCAGACGACTTGCTGACAATATCTCCGAGTCACCAGATTCCCCCCCTCAAGACTCTAACTCTTAAATCCCGGCCCCTCACCAGCCACGCACTCGCCTTCTCCTGCGACGCTGAACTCGCAGTCGCAGCCGACGACTCTGTCCACGTCTTCCTCCCAGAGTTCCCGTCAGCAGAAGAACCATCCGCACCAACACCGGCCCCTGCAGCGGACGACAACGCCCTCGCAGCGGAAAGCGGCCCAGCTTCGGTCCTTGCCGCCGCAGCGGCCGCGGCCAAGAATGGCGAAAAGATCTCCCGGCAACAGTACTACACTTACATCCTCCGCATCCCGACATCTCGGAAACCCGATCCGCGCATGAACGCCGCGCTGTTTGCCGCCCAGGGTATCACCGTGCCGTCATATGACGACGACTGGGCTGCTTCGGGAGGGGACGACCCTGCCTCTGCATTCGAAGGCGTTGGGTCCGGCACGGTGACTGGGTACGGGGCGTCGCTGAACCAAGTTGTCGCAGTGGAATGGTCCCCTAGTGGCGTCGGGCGTAATTTGCGTGCCGTCCTGGCTGTGATGCTCACTAACGGTGCCCTCATCGTCATCGGCGAAGGTGATGGCGGTGGTGCCATTGATCTAGGTGCGCGGATGAGGAACTTTAGGGACTGGAGGATCCTCTGGGGTATCGGAGCCAACATTCCGCTTCCTGATGCTAACAGCGACGATGGAGCGTACCTCCCCAAGGACAAGATCCGGTCGTTCGCATGGGCACGGAGAATCGAGACTGGCAGAGCGATGTTGGCGTATTCTACGGATGAAGAGGAGGTTGTGGTATTAAGCATACAGTATTACCTCCCTAGTGGGAAAGACGATAGCTCGGACGCCGGATCTTACGTATGGGAGGTGGAGGAAGTTGCACGGTTTGACGGACGGGGACCGCATCCCACCCCAGGTGTAGGTATCATGATGATTGCTATTCTGTTCGTAAAGTATGCTGACAAACATATCTAGATTATGGATCCGGATTACGTGCCATACACCTCCGCCTTCTCGGTAAAGTGGTCCCCGTGGCTCCTGACAGAGAGCACAAGGACGGCCATCATCTCTTACTGTGCGCGTAACTACGTCGGCTTCCGACGCATCACGATTCCTCGGGACTGGAATCGCGGTGAGGGTCTCGAGGTTTGCTTGGAAGAGACGGATTTGACGGGCTTCTGCGCCCACCTCGCTTCGGACGCCTTCGTCGAGTGGGAAGACGCCGTTTGGGATCGCGATGAAGCCAAGGTCTGCCGAGGCGTCATCGCAAGTCCTTTCAAGGCACTGCCGTTCCAAGTTGCACTCAATGCACCACAAGGGACGGCGAAGGAGGGCCATGACACAAGTGTCTGTGGCACGACATACCCCAAGGATACTACCTCCTTGGATGCTACGAATCCTATATCGGGTAAGTTCTTGGTCTATTTTTCCATCTTTCTGGGCAAAGTATTGACGAGGTGGTCAAGGTCTGGTGATTCATTCTCCTGACATGTCGAAACCAACAAAAGCCCCTTCTTACTCGCTTGTCCGCCTCTCAGCCACGGCGACAAACGACAACTGGTTTCAACAGAATGCTGCCGAGGCATCCTCGGATGCTCTTCCCAAATGGGCCGAGACCATCTCTTCCACGGTCAAATTATCCGTCCCCGTCGCAATGCTGGGTCGCGGAGGTACTGCAGCGGTGGGGGATGCCGAGTCCGTCGCATCAGATAGTTCTGATTCCGATGACGATGACTTTGACTTGCCGGAAGATGCGGGCGAGCAGATTCACCCTTATAGAGTTAGACTGTGGGGCTTGACAGTATCGCCAGCTGGAGGGGTCAGCGCAGTGCTGATGTCGCAGCACAGCACGCAGCAGCCGGAGAAGTCCATCAAGACGAGAGTCATGTTTGGCGGTCAGGTCATGGCGTCTGCTCCATCGTCTGCGGACCAGATGGACGTGGACGGGGACGATAGACGGAGGGAGAGACCACCATTTTGGGATCACCTAAGTACCGAGGCCAAGATGTGGGATTGGATGTACGGTGCCGGACCTGCCGTCCCTGGAACCCTCGTATCTGACGGAGATGCGAGCGTTCGTGATGTCTCTTTGAAGGAGAATCTTCAAGAGGTCAAGGTAAAGCAGCGGTGCGTGTTTTGTCAGACGTCTCTGAGGGAGCTTGGGAAGGAGTCAATTTGTGAGATGGGGCATATCTTTGGTAAGTGCCCTTGCCTAGTTTCTTGTTGAGGAAGAGATTTGAACTGACGTCGAACAGCCACTTGTGCCGCTACTGGCCTCGCCATTCTTGCACCTGGTATCTCAAGGGCGTGTGCTGTCTGCGGATTGCGTTGTCTGGTGGCGAAAGAGGTTGTCAAGATTGCGCAGGAACATCTTGGTCCGGATGCCAAGATTGACGCCTCGGAGCAAGTTTGCGGTGGGTGCGGCGGAAAGTTTGTTGTGTAACGGGATTGATGTAGGGACAAGCTAGGTAGGGAAGGCGCTGGAGGTTAACTGACTTGATTAGGACATGTCACGCTGCTTATAGACGGTTAGACAAAGCGATCTGCAGTTTGCTGTACATCTTTTGATCTTAGTCATGCCGTTTGAAATTACATAGCGATGGTTAGAAGGCAAGGACCTGACGTGCTGTATCCCTGTTTTGATTACAATGAAGGAGGGAGCTGTCATTGCCAACTCGTGATATGTTTAGACAAACAAATTTGTTTCACTTGGGAGCACATGGGTTGATCCAGCTACGAAATGTCAAGGGTGTGTATGACGCCCGTTTTCATTGCTGGATGGCCAACTGCCAATGTGTCTATCTAGCTCGTTTGACGAACCCAGTCCATCCAATCCACCAATGACCCAAGACTGCCAGGCTTAAAGTCAGCCTCACAAGTCCACACTTGATATCCACTAAACATGAAGACTGTACGTCGCCCCTGTTCCGCTTTATATGTTGCGGAAGCGGCGGTTATCAGAGCCAAGGGTGTACGGCTTGGACTTGGCTCCGGAGATGGCCTCAATGGCGGGGCCGTCAAGAATGTTAGAGGCAGAATCCTCTGAGCGCTTGTTGACGCCGACCGGGTGGATGGGAATCTTGTGGCCGTCGGCCTTGTAGCAGCCAATGACGCCGTCGTAGTTCCAAATGCCCTCGGCTGCAAGCATAAACCTATCAGTCACAGGCCAACAAGGGAAGAAGGGGAATAAATTGAGAGAGAGAGGGGAAAAAACTTACAGAGGTTGATTTCGGCATGCTCGTTGGTCTTCTTGCCCTTGCCGAAACACATGCAGGTCATGACGACAGGGTCAGAGTTGGACTTGCGCTCTTTGATGCGGCACAGCTGGCAATCGAAGTTGCCCCTATAACTTCGTTAGTATATGAAGAGTGAGTCTTTGAGGGAGGATCTCGACTGACTGGTAAGACCAGAACATGTTGCCGTCGACGTTGACGATGCATTCCTTGAGGTTCAGCCAAGTGTACACCTTGGTGCCGTGGCGGTCCTCGCAGGTGGCCTCGAGAACGGCCTTGGTGACGTCGTGAGAGCCGTCACTGAGCTGAACGTGCTTATTGATGTTGAAGTCAGAGCAGGATTTTTGCATACAGTCGGACTCAGCAGGGCAATCCTTGGCGACGGCCAGGGAAGCCGCGAGGGTCATGAGAGCGGCGAGACTGAGGGCCTTCATGGTTGCAATTGAGTGTTGGCAGGTTTTCTGAGTATAATGGGAGGATGTGAAGAGAGAATAGTCTGTCGAGAAAGAAAGAGGTGGTTTTGAGGGTTATGAATGGAGAGTGTGAATGGGAAAATACGCAACATTTCAGAAAAAAGGAGGAGTCGGTGTTGAACGGCTTGAAGGGTGGACGGCCTCAAACGTCTTTGCACGTGACGCAGGGTGTTTTCGTATGCTATGAGGTGAATAAGTCTCAAGCAAGATGGGAAGGAAGCGTGATTGATGTGGATAAAGAAGGAGTGACTTGCTTTGTGGTGATTGCTTGCCATTTGGTGTGTGACAGGATGAGATGAAAGGGCGAAGCAAGGCATGAAGCAAGGCATGAACTTCTCTCATTTATTCACAGTTGAGAAATGGTCACTGCCAAACATTGTTAACCGTAGTACCAGAAGTAGTATCCTTTGAAATGTCCCCAGATGTTTGCCTCTTATTTACTCTAAGGCATCTGTGGTTTGTGAGGCACTGAGTATATGTTTTCGCGTCCTCGACAGAACAACAGCCAAATGTGGACCAGATATGTGCGTGGTAGAGCAGGTCTCTTAAGTATAACTCGAGTCAAAAATAAGAGAATCGCCTCCATTCAAATGCAATGACATGTTCTGTCATGTGCTATATGTATGCGTGGGCAGTTTTGGCCAGTCGCTTTTGTCATGGGAGACATTTGTCGATATACTATCGTCACACAAAAGTGGCCCAAGACGACGTTTCCCTTGAATAATTAGCAAGTGAGTGGTTTGCATAGAAAATTGGAAGCTCTTGAACATCCATGTGCGGCAATGTTGGTCTCAGTTTCCTGTACAGCATCTCGAATATGTCGCCTGCGCCTACAATTATGCGTAGCGGCACTTGCCATTGTCCTTGACTTTGAATCTAACCTCTCACTCACCAATGTATGAGGAGTTCCAAATTATACATCTCAACACAATGGCTATCTCTCTTGAATCTTACAGCACACGTTCCCGTGTGGGTGAGGTTAATACCAGCACCAAAGCATGGTGACTTTATCCAAGTTTAAGCCTACGCCAGTCAATGAACGTCAGAGCCATTGCAGAGTCCAATATCAGAAGACATAATGAGGATTTACAAGCAAGATCACGGAAGTGATGCCGGAATCGTGTCGTCGACATCCGACCAGTTTGTGGCTGAGCTGCGCCAAGACGCATTTTCTACCCCGCAGTAGCAGTGCTACTGCTCGATGAAATAGCCAGCCGCCAGGCACCCCCATAATCCTGACAGATTGACCAAGGTTTGCGGCAATAGCTCAAGTAACAGCGAAATAAGGTGAACATGCATGGCTGCGTCGCTATGATTTGCACTAATTGGAGGGAAATCTCGCTGTGAAGACAGGGAAAAATTACCCGCACCATGTTCCTGACCCGACTCCGCGCGCCGAGACCGAGTGGTCTTATGGATATCCGCCTGATGAGTCGTCATTGATTTGGCCAACAAAAGGCGGGGTTGAATTGTAGAAAAAGGAGAACCCGTCCTGATGTTTGCGATGGGCATGGACCAAGTGCCTTTGCTCTGCAAGCAAACATGAGGAATCAATTGAAGGGGCTGTGGCTCTTTTCCGTTGGATTCACTTGGTGTGAAGCCCGATCCTTCTGGTCCTCGGTGCCAGCAACATTTGGGGACAGAGATGGAGATGCATATCTGCTCAAGACTGGATATCCTATTGGAAATGGTAAACTCGGTGGTAAGTTTGACTACTCACTAGGTGTTTGCCTTTCTGAGTTTGAATCCAGCAATTCCGTTCGGTCCTCCTGGTTCGGAAAAAGTTAACCTAAACATCGACTCATTGTGGGCCGGAGGCCCTTTTGAAGCTTCCGTAAGTTTCTCCACTATCGTAAACCCGAAGTCAACAGAACTAATAAGTCGCAACAGAACTACACCGGCGGTAATCCGACGGAAGCAAAGTATGAGGCACTCCCCGAGATTCGTTCGACGATATTTGAAAACGGAACTGGAGGTACAAGATGGAAATCGAACTCCAAAAGGAATCGGCTGACGTTACAACCCAGATGTGTCTCCTTTGCTCGGATCTGGAAGCTTCTATGGCGGAAACCGCGTTCTCGCCAATCTTACCATTGATATCGACGGTGTCAGCCAGCACAGCGACTATAGAAGGACTCTGGATTTGAAAACAGGGGTCCACACAACCAAATTCAAGGCGAACGGCACAAGCTTCGAGATTTCGCAGCTTTGCTCTTACCCCGACCAGGTCTGCGTGTACCACATCGCTTCAGATGGGAACTTGCCAGCTGTCAAAGTAGGCTTCGAGAATCAGCTAGTCGACGACAACACTTTCGATGTGACCTGCACCGACGACCATGTCCGCTTTAGCGGTGTCACCCAACTAGGGCCGCCAGAGGGAATGAAGTTTGACTCAATTGCACGAGTTAACAAAGGCGCAGCTACTACCGAATGCACATGTGCAGCTGCATTAAAGATCAACCCGGTAGAGGGCCAAAAGACATTGACGATTATTATCGGGGCCGAGACAAATTATGACCAGAAAAAGGGCAACGCTGAGAACAACTACTCATTTAAGGGCGAAGACCCCGGACCTGTCGTCGAAAGAGCCACGAATTCAGCATCAGCAAAGTCGTTCGACGACATATTGAAAGATCATATCGCCGATTTTCAAGCCCTAGAGGGAGCCTTCGAACTGAATCTTCCAGATTCCCTAAGTTCTGAGGAGAAGGAGACTGGAAAATTGATAACCGACTATGTTTATACAAATGGCGGCGACCCATTCGTGGAGGCTTTGCTTTTCGATTACTCTCGCTACCTTCTCATCACCTCTTCTCGGGAGAACTCGTTGCCTGCAAACCTTCAGGGACGATGGACGGAGCAACTATATCCTGCTTGGAGTGCGGATTACCATGCAAACATAAATCTGCAAATGAATTATTGGGTTGCCGACCAAACCGGTCTTGACAAGACTCAGGTCGCTCTGTGGAACTACATGGCAGACACATGGGTCCCTCGAGGGACTGAAACAGCCAGGCTTTTGTACAACGCGGATGGCTGGGTCGTCCACAACGAAATCAATACTTTTGGCCACACGGCAATGAAAGAAGGCGCAAGTTGGGCGAACTGTAAGTTAATCCCTTCCAGCCAATCTCGAACACGTACTGATCACTCTCCCAGATGCGGCAGCAGGCGCCTGGATGATGCAGCACGTATGGGACAACTTCGAATACACCCAAGACTTAGAATGGTTTAAACGCCAGGGTTACCCGTTGATCAAAGGCGTTGCTGAGTTCTGGCTTTCACAGCTACAGGAAGACCTTTTCTTCAACGATGGCTCTCTAGTTGTTAACCCTTGCAACAGCCCCGAAACGGGGCCGACAACTTTCGGATGTACGCATTATCACCAACAGATCCATCAAGTATTCGAGGCTGTAATTCATGGCGCGAGTCTCGTCTCCGAGTCTGATGCAAAGTTCCTTGATAGTGTGGCATCTAGCCTGGAGCGCCTAGACAAGGGCGTCCATATTACTGAATGGGGTGGATTGAAGGAGTGGAAGCTTCCCGACAGCTACGGATATGACGCCAAATCCACCCACCGCCATTTGTCGCATCTTACGGGTTGGCACCCAGGCTATTCTGTTTCTTCCTTCTTGGGTGGCTACACCAACTCGACAATCCAATCCGCAGTCCAGGAAACACTCATCTCTCGAGGCATGGGCAATGCCGAAGACGCCAACGCAGGATGGGCTAAAGTCTGGCGTGCGGCGTGTTGGGCCCGACTCAACAACACCGAGAAAGCATATGAAGAGCTGCGATACGCGATAGATGTGAACTTTGCGCCAAATGGATTCAGCATGTACTGGGCAATGAGTCCACCGTTCCAGATCGACGCGAACTTCGGGCTGGGTGGCGCAGTTTTGAGTATGTTGGTGGTTGATCTGCCCTTACCTTATGCTTCGAAAGACGAGCTTCGAACTGTGGTTTTAGGCCCTGCCATCCCAAAGAAGTGGGGAGGTGGAAGTGTTAAAGGGCTCCGAATTAGAGGCGGCGGAGTTGTGGACTTTAGTTGGAATGACGATGGTATTGTTACTGAGGCGGTGGGAAGCTCTAGTACCAAAGGTGCCGAGAAGGTACGGCTCGTCAATATTGAAGGGGCGCAACTAGCAGTCCTGTGAGGCTCTCAAGGAGATAATGGGTATCTTGGATTAACCGGCACATGTTCAAGGCAGCATAGCTATAACTCTTGCGAATAATATTGCCCGTTACGAATATGTCACTTGATATGAGATTGTGCAAGTCACATATCAGTCAACGCCCATTGCGTTTCAAGTTGCCATTCAAATTGTACTCATTGATCTGTGTAGAAGTTTGAAGATAGATACACTGGTTCCTTATTTATTTATACAAAAAGCGGCGCAACTTCGAACCAAAACTTTCGATTAAGCAAAGGACACCTGGTACGGCGCATCCCCGCGAGTGAAATACCGCCCCACATCGCAGTCTGCACCAGGGGGGAGAACAATCTCCAAGTGATCCCTGTTCGACTCCTCTATCCGGGCTCTGACTTGCCTAGAACCGCGGTTCTTGAAGTTGAAGGTGATATCATCGTCGCAATCACCGTCGGGATCGCAGGAGTCCCTCTTGGATTGCATCTTGATGTAGATGGGGGTTCCGGCCCATCTGTAAGTCAAGGTTTGGCCGACGTTTGTAGGAGCATTTAGGTTGCTGTTGCTCCCAAAAGGACCGTTGTAGAATCCGTTGCGGGTACACTCAGCGGCTCCATAAGCCGTGGCTAGCATGGAGAGCAGAGAAATCGCGGCTGAAAGTTGCATGATGAACTGATGTAGATGGGCTGCTCTTAAATTGTATGGTGGAAGAAACTGGACGCGTGTTTGGCCAACAGCTAAGCTTGACTGGAAAATAAGTTGGTAGGTAGTAATGAGTGTGGAGGAGTGAGTGAATGGATGGATAGAGCAGCTGTATTGTAGTAAGTCCAACAGGCTCTTTATATAAGTAATCGAGTAGGCGTCGTGCGTGGCTGCAATTTTCGGCGAGCTGGCCCGAATTTCATCTTACAGATTGGTTCATCCCATCGGTAAACCTTAATCAGCATTCCCCGAGACTACTGAGAAGGCGGTAATCGTCTCATAGTTGGAAGTGTGCAAGCTAAGCCTCATTTACGGACAACATACTTTGCGGCTTGGTCCATGTAGAGGATTTCTTTAGGCTTCTGAGCTTAAATTGATATGAATGCGCTTCGTTATTTGCTTTCCTAAAGCGAACAGTTTGAGAAAAACACTAGAAGAACTGACTCGGATTAATTGTGAGGGAAGCTTAACGAGTAATGACCTCCAACCTGTCCGTGAGTTGTGGGCCGGCGACGGCGTTACCGACTCCTTAGATGAGTCTGCACTCAAATTCAGTATAGGTGTCATGAAGTGGCCTGTTTAACCAAACTCGGGTTAGTGTCAACTGGTGGAAAATCAGAGGTACACAAAGTTATGTAGTCAAACAAAGTATTTTAGCGGTTGTATGTAAATCAACGTCAAGTCCGAAGAATCCGGCCGGGGCCTTTTGGCATATTTCGCGAGACTAGACTATCCTGAAATGTCCCGGCGTCAAAGTTTATTAGGACATTGAGCTAAGTCAAAAGAATGATCTGGAATTGGATGGGGTCCTCACATCAGTGCATGCTAGAGGCACAATCTAAATAACCTTCGCAACTTCTATCATTTATGGCTCTCAACCAGGTGTTGAGGTTTAGAGTTGCGAGAGGATTGCACTTTCGGAAATGCTGGAATTACTCAAACCGTCGGGAGACTTTTAAGCAATGTGATGATCAGTAGCAACCCGGCCGTTAACCCGTCTGGTGGGAAAACTCCGCCGCAATCTTCCCTTCTACATGGAACGGGCTTAGGATGGGCGCGAAAGTGCTCCCATCTAACCGACTCCCTCTTGTCGCAAAGTGCGACCACCTGATCAATAGCTCCAATCTGAAGTTCTACCAGTTTTCGTCAATGCGGTTAGCCAGGTGTGGCACAAAATTTCGGCGAGTCTGGCCCGCTCAGGGAACTGCAACTACCACCAGCTCGAAATTCACATCCTAGTCACCCCATACCTAACACTATTTTAGACGATCACAGAAGTTGTACTTGCGATAGCATTTCACAATTGTCTTATTTCTTTAATCTCGCTTAACACAGGTCCCTCAATTAACACACGGACCTCGGTTTCGCTCTCCTTATCCCACACCCGGTGCTAGTCACCCTTCAACTCCTACTCCGTATAGCTACTGCTCTAGTAGCGGAATATCAGGGATCTCCTTAGGGAAACCATTCCTTGTTAGGCGGGGATCGCTTGGGAAACCAGCATAGGCGAAACCTTCTACATTTTCTTCCCGATTTTATCTTCAGAAAAAGTAGTTTGAGGATCAAGTTTGACACACAGGGAGAAACGTGCATATTAAAAAGTGTTAAACTAAGAATCACCACGCTGTTACGGCCAGCTAACTGACAGTGGGTTTGTGTTAACAGTAAGCCAGGGATTGAGAGTAGTAACAGTCGTTCCGTGGTCCTGGTCGAATAGATCGTAGATCTTCAAAGGTCTTGGTGATCAGTCAAGGCCTCAACAAGAGTCGTAGAGTAGTCGTCACTTAGGTATAGCTGAAAGTACCGGTTAGGGTAATCACAAAGTTGATTGCTGAAGAGCTATGGAAGTCTGTCCTCGAGCCCGGCTCGAGTCCATCCTATATACAAGTCCTGAACGGTCCTCCTTATCTTGGCTATGTTGGATATTTGACATATCCAACATATCCGGGGATCGGTTGGATATTTGACATATCCAACATATCCAGCCCGGGTTGTCCTTACCCCGCGTTATCCCCGAGGCCACGTGACTTGTCCATAGTTCTTCCGTTCCGAGGATCCCTGGTTACACCTGTCCGGCTGGGTTACATATGCCCTGCGTTAGCCGCCGGGATCCAGGCGGGGTCGTGTTGGCGACCATGTCCAACGGGTCGTAACATCAGGTCTCCTCTCCAAGGGTCTTGTCCTCAAGACCAGCTTAAGTAGGTCGTCTGCCCTCAGGTGGGAGGGCGCCCAACTTGCTTCCTTTAATGATGCTCACATCATGTCAGGTCGCGTCAAAAAACGAAAGGTCGTTCGATCGTTCGATTCTCGTGCGGAAAAGACAAAGCAGCGCGATTCCCTCTTGAGTCTTATCTTGGGTAATCGTACCGTCATGCCTGTTTGTTCCTCCTGTGAGGTAAAGGGTTTTTCGTCGTGCGAAGCTTCTCTTTCTGATTCCTCTCGATGCGCCGAATGCGTTCGTGGCGGCAAGTCTTACTGCGACCTTCAGGGTCTCAGTGCCCAGCAACTTCGTCGGATTGGTGATCAGCATCAGAAGCTTGAGGATGCTTTGGAGAAGGCAGAAGAGGAGCGTCGTGCTCTGGACGCCAAAGTAGAGCGTCTTCGAAAGCAGAAAAAGATGTGGTTTGAAAAGATGATGCGCGCGGTGCGCCGTGGTATCGACAGTGTGGAGGAGTTAGAGCGTGTTGAGAGAGAGGAGGCAGAGGCAGAGCAGCGTCGGGTAGAACCGGTTCGTCCTTCGGCTGATTCGCCTCGTCTGCCGGTGGAGTTCACAGCGGATTGGGATACCCTGTACCCGGATGTCGCTTTGTCGCCATCCTTGTTGGCTGAGTTTGGTTTGTTGGATTTAGGGTCGGTTGTTGAGAGGCGGAGTACTCCTGAAGCGTCTCCTGGGGGTGTTGGAGGCCCTTAGTGGGTTCCTTTAGGCGGCTCTGGGGTTCCTAAACGAATGAGAGGGTGTTTATCCCGTGGCTTGTTTGATCGTGGTGGACGGATGATGGGTTGTGGTTGTCGTAGTCGAAATTGATTTTTTGGCGTTTGTTTCTCGATTCGTACTGGTGCTTGTCTTTGTTGTTCTTGTTCTTGCTGTCTCTAGTAACGTCCGAGTTCTTCCTGTGCGTTTTCGAGGCTCTGAGGTGGTTCCCATGTGTTGTCTTCGTGTCCGTATCCTTTCCACTTGACAAGGTAGCGGATACTTTTTTGTTCTTCGATGTGATCGATTATCCGTTCGACTTCGTATTCTTATTCGGGATCTACTTCGATATAGTCCGTAGTGTACGATCCCTTTGGTGCTGATTCGAGAAGTAAAATGTGAAAGACTGGATGATACTTTATGCTGTCGGGTAGTGCGAGTTTAAAGTTGACGTTGGATACCTTCTTCGTAATTTCAAAGGGTCTAAGTTTCTTGAAGTCTAACTTATCGCTTGGTCGTTTTGTTTTGATGTTGCGGCGGAGAAGGTATACACTATCCCCCTCCTTTAGAGTTGGTCCCTCAACTCTTGATTTGTTGGCGTATTTGCGCATGCGTTCGCGCACAAATTCGAGGTCTCTGGGGAGTTCCTGCTGGATCTCCTTAAGTCTGTTGATGTCTGCTATAGCTTTCAGAGCTGCTGGGCCTTGTCGAGGTTGTCCGTAGGCTGTTGGGTTGAATCTATAGTTTAGATAGAATGGTGATTCTTTTGTACTTTCTCCTACTGCGCTGTTGTAGGCGAACTGGGCCATAGGTAGCAGTTGAACCTAGTTGTCTTGCTGATAGTTGACGTAGCAGCGTAGGTAGGTTTCCATGATCTGATTGATTCGCTCTGTCTGGCTATCGGTTTGCGGATGGAAAGCGGTGGACATCTTGTGGTCAGATCCTAGCTGCGAGATCAGGGATCTCTAAAACTTGGAAGTGAACAGCTTGTCTCTGTCGGATACGATTTCCTTCGGCATTCCGTGTTGGCTTACGATCACCTGTAGAAACTTGTAGGCGAGGTCTTCTGTAGTGCTAGACTCTATGTACGGGATGAAGTACGAATACTTCGTGAGTCTGTCGACGATGACGAGGACACTGTCGTAGTAGACGTTGGTCATTGGTTCTCGGGACTTGGGTAGTTTGGTGACGAAGTCCAGCGAGATAGATTCCCATGCGGTTTGCGGTACTGGGAGTGGCTGTATCTTTCCATAAGGCTGATGTCGGCTGGGTTTGCTTTTCGTACAAACCTTATAGTCCTTAATCGCTAAAGATACTTCTTGTCGTGTAGCCGTTTTGTCGTAGTGTTGGCGGATGCGTTTCTATGTCTTAGTTACGCCTTGGTGACCGTGTGCGGGTGCGGAGTGTATCTCCCTAATGGCTTCAGGAGACATCCTTCCAGGCGTGCTGGTACTGTCTCTTCTGGCCATCATTAAGAGTCTGGCTGCTGGCATAAGGTCTCTGTTTTTGTCTGTTTTGAGGATAACTCGGGTTTCCTTAGGTACCTGGACCTTATGGTCCGGTCTTCGGCTGAGGGCGTCGGCCCTGCCGTTCTCCTTGCCCTTCCGGTAGATGATTCTGAAATTGAATTCTGACAAGAATTCGGACCATCGAATTTGTCGTTTGTTGAGATCTTTCGATGTGGTGAAGTGTGCGAGGTTCTTGTGGTCGGTGTATACTTTGACTTCGTACTTGGTCCCTGAGAGTTGCGGTCTCCATTCTTTGAATGCCTCGATAATTGCTATAAGTTCCTTGTCGTGTATCTGGTAGTTGAGTTCTGGGCCGTGTAACTTGCGTGAGAAGAAGGCGCAAGGGTGTAGTCGTCCTTCGTCGTCTCGTTGGCCTAGTTGTCTTCCTATAGCGTAGTCTGAGGAGTCGGTCTCGACTTCGAATGGTTTCTCGGGGTTTGGTATAACAAGTATTGGTTCCGATGTGACTTGTCGTTTGATCTCGTTAAAAGCTTGGTCTTGTTCCTTTTCCCATTGCCATGGGATATCTTTCTTCGAAAGTCTCG